CAACACAAAGGCATTGAACAAAGATCGTCATCATTGTCTACTTTTCATGCTCGGTTTTGTTTGCAATGGTGATGCGGTTGGTGAAAGTGAATTTTCCAAAATGGAAGCCAAAGAATTGCTGAAGCAGCAGGTGAAACTTGTTAGCCATGCAATTGCAGACCAAACTCAAGCGAAATCCACTTCAAAGATGAATCAGTTTGCAAAACAAGTTCTCAGAATCATTTCTACATGGAGCGTAGTGACCATGGCAGAAGGACAGCAGGTATCTGGATTCCTCGAGGCGATCAAGCCTTACAAAGCCTTGAGTCTGTGGCACGTGGTTTCGAGCCCAATGGTTTACATGATGGTGATTGGATTTATTTTCATGCTGGCATTTGTGATTTTTATGATACCTTTTGGTACTGGCAGTGCTGAGACAGCTGACGAGCCGGAGCCAGAAGGTGATGTGGATGCAATTCAGCTTGAACCAATAGCTGAACCTCCGACTTCACGCTTTGCTATGCATGATGGAAGCTTGGGAGCCAAGTACCCAAGCGTACTTTCAGATCCAATGGTGCGACCAGAAGGTATTCTTGTTTGGTTGCATAAACGATGTGAACTTCGAGTGCGACGAGATTACAAGGTGATCCAAAACAGAATGCGCATGCAAACTCTCTCAGAAATGTTGCATGTGTGCCTAGCTGGAATGAATGAGTCTCAGACACAAACAATGCGAGACAATTTAACAGCTATGAATGATTTGAGTGATGACGAGAATTCGCCACGTCACCAAGTACCAGAAAGCCAATTTCTTTTGCAGGTACAACAGGCTTACCAGGCCTATGTAATTGCAGCTTCGAGAATTTCGAAGAGCAGTGGCTATGCAGCCAAATGCTTTTGGTGAGAATCTTGAAGATGAAGGAGAAGAAGACATGTTTGAGCGATACGCTCACTCAAATTTGAGCGATGTTTCACAGCCTGATTTGTGGATGGAAATTCATAATCAAGATGAATCAAGAGAAGAAAGATATCATCGCTATCTCTTGGCAGAAAGAGATGAAGTTTCAGATGGTGAATACTGGGACGAGCTTTTCGAGCAGGCCATGCACGAGAATGAAGAGATTGCAAATAGAACTCCGAATGAAACTTTGGATGAGTTGGAAAGAGATGAAAGTGATGCTTGGTGAGAGCTAACATGATCTCTCACAAGCTTTTCATGCTGGTTGGTGAGAGCTAACATGATCTCTCACATATTCTCTGAGAGAACAGCTAGTAGGAACATAATGTCTGTGACACAACGTCATAGCATTGTGTTGGAATGTGACAAGCCGTTGTTTCAAAGTTTTTCCACGTCCCTAGCAGTGGAGCATTGATGATGCTCACGTGGAATTTTGGTTGTGATGTTTTGTTTGTTGTTTCATGCCGTAGGTATAGGAACTTCAACAATTTGTCCAATGAGTAAAAACACTCATGGTACAAAGGCGGGGTATGTAGAATTTTCGAACGGACTTCACCCCTTGTACAGTAGCAGTTTGCTAGTTGAAAACTACTCCAAAACAGTTGGAAACAGTTTCAAACTCACACCTACGTGTAACACACATGTTTGGTGAACAGCGCGGATGTCCGAGGCTTTTGGGGATCAAAAGAGTTTTTTAGGATGAGTGTATTGGTTGTTAGATGTTTCCTGTTGTTTGCTGCAGACTGGAGCGATGGGTGTATGTATGATAGTGAATCCCAGCGCGATGTCATGTCACTGGTATGACGTGCTTGCAGCTCTTTGAAGTGGTAGCTGCCAACGATAAAGTTGCAGTTCGTGGTTTTGTAAGTACAGTCAGGAACATGCAAAGAAGAAGGCACCAAAGTTCATGCAATGACGCACATGTCCTTGCCACCTCCATGTCTCTACTAGCTGTGTTACACGAAAGGAGACATAGAGACACTTCGGCAACCTACTATAGGTAAGCACTGCTGTTGCAAAACTATTTTGCTAGCGTCCTCGTGCGACAGTGCAGTCCAGGAGGATAAACGCCATGGCTATCAGACCTTGCGACTTCATGAGGTTTGCAACGGATTTCGAATTGACGTGAGCGCTGCTTCGACAGCTACGGATGCTTATGTGCTGCAGAGCGCTAACCTTAGAAACTTGCTGCAACGCAAAGTCGAAGAGGAAGGGAATTTGGAGTCGCAAAACTTGATGATTGACATTGGCTTGGAAGAAATGGCAGCTCTCAAACACAGCTTGAAGATTGCATTGCACGTCTACGACGCGTTGCACAATTCACAGTGCTTCGCGTGCAGACGAAGTATCCCAACCGAGGAGCGCAGAAATATTGGTTTGGGTTACTTCAAATATGGACTCTGCGCTCTTTGTTTCGAAGCTTTGACAAGTGTTTCACGAGACAAGACGATACCTTGGCAGAACATCACTGACAGATGAGGGTGTGCACGCTGTGGCGACCTTGCTGAATGCTTGTCGAGTAGGCGCAGAATAATGTTTGTCGCAAGCAGATGCAGCTTGGGCCCGCAATGCCATTGCGGATAGTGAAAACTTCTTGCCTGATTTGCTGCGTGAAGATGCGTGAAGTGCCATGACGAGCACCAGACGGCCAACTAGTGTTTGCGGATCACGCTGTCCAGCCTTTCGTGCCAGTGCGGGCCGAAAGAGCTGCCGAAACCTAGACATAGTGCAATGCTGAAAAAACATGTCGCTGTTGACGCTGGACTGCGTCTGTCTGATTGACAAATTTCAATTAACACAAGATATATTGTAGTTACGCTTTGCTGCAATGCATGAATATCCGGCGTGAATTACCACAATACATAAAATGGTCTGGGCGTGCAATTTGCACAAGAGCTTTTGTGTGCTAACAAAATTCTTTTGGGACACAGAAGAACTGGGGAGATGAACTAAGTTTTGTAGTACAAAAATACTTTCTGGAGGCTTTTGTTGTGTAAAGTGTAAATGCATCTGTGTGTCAAGCTTCTGTGTGCTGACAGTGCTCGGATGAGATGAAAACAGTTGAGAAGAACTTACTTAGATGACATGTGAGAAGAGATGGGATGAGATGAGAAGATCTGAGATGAGGTCAGAAGAGTTCACTTGATTTGAGATGAGATGAAGTGCCGAGTGCGAAGTGCAAGTGTGAAGTGCGAAGTGCAGGTGTGAAAAGTGCAGTGTGAAATGTGAGGAAAGTCTTCGCTTGGCGTTGCATTGCGCCGGGGTCGCGCGCAGGTCCTGTTTTTGGACAACAACATTGCAACACCTTTGCACAAAGCACGCACGCACGGGCCTGGCTGGCGCACGGGGCATGCAAATTCTATAGATGAGAAAGATCTTATAGTATATCCCAAAAGCAACTTCTGTCCCGCCCCGTGCGGGCACTACTGGTATATATGTATTTTATCATTTTAACATGCACATGCAAAATTTGTTTTTGTAGGCGTTCTAGGTGATGTAGAAAAGTGTGAGGAGGATGTAGGTAACGTGCATGATGTAGTTGGTGATGATGAAATTGAAGCTGATGTAAGTGATGTAGATGACGTAGATTTTTTTGGATGATGAAATTGAAAGTGATGTCGATGTAGGTGATGTCGTACATGATGTAGATGGTGTAGATGCTGCAGATGACCATCAAGTAAGTGATGTTAAATTGAAATTGGCAGCAGTTCTTTTTGAAAATCCCTTAGCAGGAATTTCCGCGAAATAAAATGACATAACTTGTTTTGCCAGCAATTTCATCGCAGTACATCGCATGGAAGGCGTTTCCAATTTGCTGCGCCTGCAACATATATTTCAAAACCAACGGCAATTAAAATTGGCCCGTGGAATGGGGAAAATGGAAAACGAAAGGTTTCGGATTTTGTCGTTCATGGGTCATTCACGGGTCATTCTAAGTTTGCTTGAAAACGTCCATTTTTCCAGACATTCCAATTTCATGGTAAATATTTCATTTGTTTTGTCATTCAAAACAGAAACTTATTTGGCGGAACTTTTTGGTAGGGTTAATTAACTATTTTTTTCTTTAACGCCTTAGTGAACAGATGGGAAAGGTTTATGGTTGGCATCACCAACCTCGTTTTTTGTGGAAGGCGCCCACGATTCCTGTGAGGGCTGGTGATGCCAGCAGTTTTTTTGATGTGACTGCATGCTAAGACTTGGGTGCCTGATAGCTGACAAATGTGCCCATGGTTAAAAGTGCCTAAGGTTGGCCTGTAAGTGGATGGTTTGAATTTAAACCTAAACCATCAAAATATGGTGGTAGAGCTTGCAAACACAGGGATATTGAACAGGATTTGGACAATCGATGTAAATTGACACGCAGGAATTGAATGGTTTCAGGTGATGAGAATTGGTGATGGAGGTTTTGGTTGCATCATCATGGTACGGTTTTTTGGTTTGCACCCATTTGAGATGGTGTTTGCATGTGTATTTGATTGAAAATAGGACGTACCCTCAACGTGGCAACTTGATTGAATACATGATGATTAACCACCGGATTTGGAGTATACCTGCGATTCTACGATAAAATTCACATATCGTGGCACGATTTGTGCAGCCGCTTTCGTTTTTCGAACGCGGCGCACAACCTTCGAACAGCGCGCAAGAACCGCAGCACTGCGAAGCATTTGTGCGGGGGCTTGGTGTTGAAAAAAATCACCACCACATGACCGCAAGTGGTCTATTTCGTGTGATCATGCGGCGAACAAAATGCGGATAAATCCAGTCAATATCACAAACCTCCTTACCGACTAAATAATTTTACCATTGCAGTAGGGAATGGAATACTCTACATGCTGCATGTTCCGTTGCCAGGTTTAGATTCCCAGAGAACAATGGTTTGATTTTAGGAAAATCATCGAACAAATCAATTAAATGCAACATTTGCTTGCAAAAAAAAACATTCAACCTTCAGAGTACAGGTATAAACGTTGGAAAAGGGTGTATAGGTAAAATAAAGGTAAATTCAGTAAACTCCATTGTTTTCCTGATCGCCGTGAAATGACACTCGCAAAGGTGAGGCATGGCGGCCATGGCCACGGAAGCCGGTGTGGCTGCTGCGAGCACTGCAGCGGTGGGGTTTGGGCTTTTCAACTACAATCGTGCCGAAACTCAATGGATTTCTCGGATGGTTTGCGGGTTTTAATTTCTAAGATGATCCACATTTATTGGGAAAATCCGTGTATAAAATATAACTCTACCAATGGTGAATTATGGGCCTATTGGGCGGGCTCTAGTTGTAGTGGTTGGTGCTTCCAATTGTCCAGTCTTGAGGTTCATGGAATTTCTCAATTACCGTAGAAGACGATGGTTTCATTAGAAGAAACAGGGGTTTGCCAAACGAATGTACCAGACCTGGGGGTCTCAATCTGATGAATTATTGGTTTCTGGGCTCAGGTTCTATTTTATGCTGGTTGCAAATACTATATGATACTATACGCAAAGTTTGACCTATCGACGTACGGTTGGTCAATATCAGCCAAGAAGGATGGAAAGATACTGGTAGCTTCCAGTCTGCCAAGTGCCATTTCAAGGGAATTTATTTAATTTGTGTTATTCTTGGAGATTTCATCAAGAAACCAAGGAAACCCTTTTGTTTGCTTCTCAACTGTGAATGGGTTGACTTTGACATCAGGTTTGTACGTTTTGCTGCTTGTGTGCCTGTTTCAGCAACAGTGCCGTGTGAAACTGAGGTGCCAACTACCTTTACGATGCCGAGTTCCGCTACGAAAGGCCCTTTGATTGGGGAACATCAGCTAGTAGATGCAACAACATCCCACATCCTTTGTGAAGGATACGAGCCTTCACAACTCATGATTTTCTGTGAAAGTTTTCGTTTTTTGCTAGAGTTTGATCTTGTGGGAACTGCCTATGTCTGCCCAAATAATGGATGCCTCTTGTGCTGCTTTGAGAAGGTTGGACGTTCTTTGCAAGGTACCAATCCTGGTGTTTCTTTTCTGGATAGATTGTTAGTCAGTTGGTTGGTTGATTAGTTGCTGTAGTCAGTTCGTTAGTCAATCAGTCAGTGAGTCGCTTAGTTAGTTAGTTAGTCAGTCAGTCAGTCAGTTTTTAGTGAAGTATTTACTTGGTTAGTTAGTCACTTAGTTATACCTGGTTGGTGAAATTCCACTCTGGCAGGTTCCTCAGGACTCGGGTTCCATCCTTTGCTCATTTGATCAGGTTCACAACAGGACGAGAGTATGCTGTCGAGCAGCAGAACCAGTGACTCAGCCTCTACAGTCTCTACAGAGTTGTCGCGGTCGCAAGCCAAGTTTAGGCAGATCTTTTGAATGGGCTTTAATTTGAGCATCCAATATGACTTTATATGGGTAGATCAACAAGAATGGTGAACGAACAGGTGGATGGAGTTATGGATGCCACCCCATTAGGGTTTTTGACCCATGTAGGGTGAGATAGTACAATTCATTTCAGAAAACTGACTTGATGTACCAGAATCTACCAATCCAAGAGGGGTATGTCAATGGTGAGCCCACAGTGTTTCGCCAGACAATATGCTCACCACTGACGCGCGAATATATTTTGATTTTTCGTTGTGTGGGGAGATGGAAGAGTAGCTGATTTTGGCCTGGCATCTTCAAAAGCTTGAAGGCAACAGTCCTTTGGGTTCGGACCTTTGCTTTTTCATGATTTCTCCCAGAAATAGGGCAGCCACCAAAATGTTCGGTTTGCGTTTAGCAAACAGTTGGGGTCTATGTAATGTCACCCAAGGCAACGTGATAATTACTGGTCACGATAGTTTCCCCCTGCTCATCAACTCCCTGTCAATCCAGGGTTGACCTATGTTGACCTTACGCCCAATTTCTTGCGACATGCCTTCTGATCTTCGCCCCAGCACATTTAGGTACCGAAACGACTTGCGAACGCTTTCCGCACTGACCATGGTGAAGAACAACCAATATGCCGTCAATCTGCCAAGTTTAAAAGTGCTGAAGTTCATTTGTGGTCTGTAGATACGTGCTATGACAAAGACTACGAGGAAGGGATCATTTGATCATTCACTTCACTGATCTCTACTGTAATTGCACTTCCATTTGCTTTAGCTGAAGCCGCTGGAAAGAGCACCTAAGCACACCCACACAGGGATGTCAATTCAGATCTGTCAAAATTTGCAACTCAATTGTTAACAGTTAATCAATGTTAATGAACAGTTAATTAATGTTAATTGTAGACAATTTGTATCACAAAAAAGTCGCTTCAGTCGCAGCAATTCGCAACATGCTTTGATCCCAAGATCCGAGCAGTCGCCAGGGTTTGGCCGCCTTGGATATGGCTCTTTGCATCGCCCTGTACTGTGGGAGCGCTTGGAGTGTGCGGATGAAAAACGTTTAGGCCGTTGCATCTCCATGAAAAATAAGGTGGGTTCAGTCTATTTCTACTGCGGGTTGTCTGTCAAATCTCTGGTTTGTGGATGTTTGCGGTATTTTGTCGCAATTGTAGATGCATTAAACTGCCACCAAGCTAATCTATCTTATTCATTTCGATTTATCATAATTCCAGAGCACACCGTCTCGATTCAATATGTCTTGACAAATAGATCTAGGAGTTGGTTATCAAATGATTTCAGCTCTACATCATCAACTCCTCACTGCTGAACGTGGATTCAAAGTTGATACATTCCTTTTATTCATGATTCCATTAGGGTTTGCCCAGAAGTTTGGAATATATAGTAATATAATAATATAATTATATATATATATATATATTTAATGGTCATCAACACAGCGAGAAAATGACATTTTAAACTCCCAAAGTTCTTTTTGGTTTCCGCTAATTTTTGGACAAACCCACATCATATTGTTGGTGATTGGTGACATATACCTTACCAGATTCTCAGCCGTGCCCGTGGCTTGGCAAAGGTGCTGGTCGTTTGGGTCTCCATGGACCCTCACCCCCCGGATGGATCATGGGGCTGTGGCTCACCAACAATGCCGGCTCATTCAGCCGGATGGCCCGGACGTGGAGTGGGCCATATCCAGTATGACTCATCTTTAGGAACCAATTTTTCAGATTTCTTGCTAAATTTTGGATGGATATATTGGAAATGTATGTACTGTACTGTATATACATACTTGTACTATTGATATGCGTGTAAAGATACACTACATACTGTAGTGGCATATATAGATGGCCATACCGAATTGATTGGCAGCTGACACCAAGAGTGGTTCAATCCACACCTGGAATCTGGGTAAATCGTTTGGTGAACCCTTACTGTTGGGGATACCACCTCGGATGATTTTGGGCATCCAAGATTAGCCATGAAACGGGTCATTCACGCCTTTTTTGTGTGCTCATCATATTCAAGAGGCTTGGTGCCCAAAAGATTGCAACGATTCAATCAGTGTAGGAAGAGCATCACTAAACCGTTCCCTACACTACATAATCAGATTGGTTTGATGTTTGGAAGATCCCGCCACTGCCGTGATTTGATACTGTTACAGGTATCTTCTACCATAGCAGTGGAACCCAACCTCCTGTCTCATTTGCATAAGTTTCCCTGCTGGTTTTCCAAAAATGGGACTGATCTTGGAAGGGAGTATGGGAATGGAGATCCAATAAGTTTGGAGCTTCGCTGGGATGGGTCCCAAAGTTGTTCAAGGCTTTGTAAACGGGGTATGTGCCATGAAACATCCATGCACCTTATTTATCCTATGTAATATATATATATATAGAAGCGGGTATTATATCTCATCATATCCCACTATGCCCCACCAAAAAGCCCTCATGGAAGATCGGTGCACCGATCTCCGTTGTGACGCCAGTGGAGCGAGGCTTCATGGGCCTTGCGATCTTCTTAGCGCTTCATGCGTCCTTCAGAGCTCAGGCATGGCATGGCGCAACGGAGCTTTTTTGTGGGTTTCTCTACCTATTGGATCATCGGATTGGGGAAACGGAAAGGTACAAGGGTGAACTGAGCCACAGCCATGGGAATCGTGAAGCCAAAATTTCGGATTCTAAGCTGCGCATAACGTGTTTGACCTGCAGCAATGGGGTTTCAAGCTGATTCTAGTAAGGGTTCCTCATTTTCGAAGTTTCTGAAGGGACCACCAGTGTTTGATGCGCTGGAGATTGTGTGGTCAACTGACTACCCATGTGCAACTGGGATCTCAATCGGATATAAATACAGTAAATATCTGTATATATATATATACACATATGTAGTGTAATCATATGTAATGTTGGCATGACAGTGTGGAGAGTGGGTAGGTTAGGTTGGCACAGAGCTCATTAGGAAGCATGCCAGGTTTTCCGTGGTGTCCTGGGTTGAGTGCCCTGTGAGGAATGTTGTGCCCGGTAGTTTTGGCTAAGATTCAGGAGGATTTGAATTTTGACCCGCCGGCCTCCCCTGTTCAACCTCCAAATGCCGCTGGAGCGGGTGCTTGCTGAGATTTTAACGGATTCGGCTGCGCCTCCAGCATTGAAGACATTCTTGGAAGCTGAAGGATTGACCACTTGTGCCCTCTTTTTCGATTGTGTCAAGGACATTGACGACTTGGAGGCCAAAGTAGCAGCTCGGCTCCAACCTCCCGCGACCAGCCTCCATGACTCATCGGTCATTCGAACGGTCTGGCGCCGGGCTCGGGTGGAGGCTGAGAAGGCATTGACGGGGTCAGTGGATGCTCCGGAAGATTGGGAGATCCCATTACAACCACCAAAAATGCCTTGACTGCAAAAAGTTCAGCCGCTCACGGCACAACTTTTCGTGCCCGAAAAATGCCATGTGATTGCCTTCTCGGGCGCATCTACAGAGAGCGGGAAAAGCAGAGCTTGACAGCGTTTCCTTTGGCAAGGGTGCGTAGCCTGGCTACCTCCCCCCAAGCCAAAGAACGCCAGACCTCAGTTTCTGTTGCATCTCGGCGCGCGGCCGTGGGGCGTCGGGCGTCGGGCGCCGGCCGCGTCGGGCGTCGGCCGCGGGGTCGGTCGCGGGGGCGCGGCCGCGGGGGCTGTCGCTTCTGGTGTGTTTTGTGTTTTTGTGTGTTTGTGTTTGGGTGTTTTTTTTTTTTGGGGGTTTCCCTCTTTCCCCCGTTTTTTTTCCCCCCCCTTTTTGTGTTTGGTCTTCTTGCTGTGTTGTTGTTGTTGTTCTGGTCGTCGTCGTCGTCGTTGTTGTTCTGGTCGTCGTCGTCGTCGTCGTTGTTGTTCTGGTCGTCGTCGTCGTCGTCGTTGTTGTTCTGGTCGTCGTCGTCGTCGTTCTGGTCGTCGTCGTCGTCGTTCTGGTCGTCGTCGTCGTCGTCGTCGTCGTCGTCGGCTGGCGATGCAGAGTTGGACCGGGCCAGTCTGCAGAAGACACAGAATGAGTTGGATTCCAAGGTCATGTTGGGGCCATGGGAAGCGTCCGACCTTCCATCGTGGGTGGCAGTGGTCTCGCGGCGTTTTCCTATCTGGGAGCACCATGGGTCTGCAGGCCGCCGGAAGTGCCGGAACATTGACGAGATGTCAGAGAGCTTGGTCAACGCCACAGTGGAAGACTACGAAACCTATGTGCCCCGCGGCATTGAGCACATTTTGGCACTCATTCGGCACTTGCAGGTCCGTTTTGGCCTTGGTGTGCAGCTAGAGGGCTTCACTGCAGATTTCAAAGCGGCCTACCGACAGGTGGCGGTGTCACCGTCCGAGTACAAGTTTCAGGGAGTGGCATGGTGGGATTGCTTGCGAGCCACAGTGATGATTGGTGTCCTCACAGCGCTGCCTTTTGGAGCTCGTAGAGCGCCAGCCAATTGGGGTCGTTTGGTGCTTTTGCTTATGACACTTGCTTGGCACCATTTCAGCCTGCTGGTCTTGGACTATGTGGACGACGTGAATGGTGTTGAGCCGCATTTTTCTGCAGAGAGTGCGCGGCAAACCTGGGTGGAGCTAGTCAGCTTGCTAGGCCTGACGCTGGACATGGATAAGTGCAGCTCATCAGCTTCAACATGCTTCGATTCTTTGGGTGTCTCCTGGGCGCTCAGCAGCCCGCACGCTTTGGTGCAGATCTTGCCCAGCCGATTAGCTGGCCTTCAGGATGACATTCAGGCAATTGTCGCTGCTAATTGGCTGCGCCCTGGGCATGCAGCCCGCCTGCGAGGCAAGCTTGGTTTTGCGCTGGTCGCTTTGGTCGTGCTCAGTTGTCGGCCATCAAGCGACGGCAGTATGCATCGGGCGGCAAGAATTTTCAATTGTCTGCGGTGCTGCGGGCTCAGTTGGAGTGGTGGTTGGTGCATTTGCGCTCCCTTCCTGGTCGCGGGGTGCCCCGCTCGCCAGCTGAGAAATTCTTGGTAGCTTATTCAGATGGAGAAGGCAGTGGGAAGGTGGCGGTATGTCTGACCTTTTTGGATCGAAGCACGGAGTTTTGTTGTGCAGAGATCCCGCACTCCATCCAGCAGCGGTGGGGTGGGGTCAACAACATTCACCGCATCGAAGCTGTGGGGCCACCAATTTGCTTCCTGACATGGCCTGAAAAATTGCGAGGGCAGCTCTTGCTGTTTTTCATTGACAACCAATCTGCCTTAGGCAGCATGGTTGGAGGCTGGTCGCATGAGGAGGTACTGAATGACATCACTGCCTTGTCCTGGTCTCTTGCGGCCAGTTTGCAGTGCTTTGTCTTTCTCGAATACGCACCTTCGGCATCCAACATTATTGATGCAGCTAGCCGGGCGCAGTCCACGGCTGACCTTTCTGTTTACTATAATAGAGGTTGGTCCCTGGTCCCGCCATGCACTCCATGGCACAGGCTGCAATGACCGTTTTCCTTGTTCATGGCGAACATTTCTGACACACCGGTTGGTTTCCAATTTGCACAGGGGACACTGAAGGTGCTGTGCAGCATCGATGTAGCAACGAGATCAAAAGAATGCTGTTGCATGCCTGCCTAATGGAGAATGTTGAGTTGACCCTGTCTATACATACATTATATGCACAGGGGGCTCACAATCTTTTAATGAATCTAGGTCCCCCAATTGTTCGGTTGACTCCCCCAATTTTCCCATGGTCTACCCTCCAAGAAGCTCTCCTGTCAATCGAGACTCATTTCTAGTTGTTCCTATTGAACTTGGGGGATTTTCCGGCAAGGTTTGGATACCAGACAGCGTCAATGCAAAAAGTTTCGGGCCAAAGTATTGAATGCGACATAGTACATAGTATGACTAATTTCAGGTACTACCATGGTGAGAATCCCCCACGAACCCAGGCATGAAGTGAATCATTAGGGTTTTGGTCAATCCCAATCAAACGATCCTCATTAAACCTCCTGATTGATTGGCACCGATCAAAGAGTCGCAGCAATTCTCCAACAGAGGGTACCTGGGTAACCCTGGGTACCATCCAATTCCATACACCTGAGGGTTTACCCTCTGGTAAACTAACATAACTATGGAAAATCACAATTTTTAATGGGAAAACTCACTATAAATGGCCATTTTCAATAGCTATGTTAAATTACCAGAGGGTTCAGGTTTTTTTTGGGGTCATTGAATGATCAAGTTGTTCGGCTCGCTGGAAGGCCGCCTCCGTGAACCTCCTCACCCGCAAGATCCGAGTGCCAGTGCCTTCCATGCGACAGTTGGACAAGGCAGCGGTGTGATGTAGGATACCCTCTGGTAATTTAACGTAGCTATTGAAAATGACAGTTTATAGTGGATTTACCCATTAAAAATGGTGATTTTCCATAGTTATGTTAGTTTACCAGAGGGTAAGTGCGAAGGTGATAAGCCATTGAACCGAGATGGGTCAGGTCAGCGTCCTTAGATCTTTCCTCCTTTGGCCACTTAACACACTTAACCCTTGGTTTTTGCTTGTTAAGTATAGTGGTCAAAGCCGTGGTCCAGGTCAAGCCATGGTCAGACAATGTTTATTGTGACAACAGAAGGAACTCTGTCGGATAGCCTGAAAATTTGGAGGGGTGACACGGGTGACAGCTGAAAATTCCGTGGATTGCGGTTTTGCACTTTGATCCAGAGATTGCTGGAATCCTGTCAGTTACACTGCAGGCGAGGGAAGTACCACACGTGTTATTTGTTTATTGATTTTGTAGCCACAACTTATTGGTTTTTGCCCGTAAGAATCATAAGATTGTCAGTAGCTTCCTGGTTTCAATGTGACATTTGACGCCAGGCACGACGTTTCAGCTCGGAGTTTGAGCAACAGCAGTGGAGTTCGGGACACCCGGGCTCTTGGCGCGGTTCAGTCCAGTTGACTGGGTAAACCGTTTAAAACCTTGGTTGGGCAATGTTGTGTACCTTACTAAGCCTTACTACTACTTTATGATCTTTATATATCTTTATGTATATAGTGTTTTGCTCAAAAAGCAACGTATCTAAGACATTCTAAGACCATGTTGATCTTTAAAGCAACAATGAGGGCACAGAGTGCAAAAACACAGGTGGCTGAACCAACAAGAGTTGAGATCACCACCTACAAATATTTAGGGTTTGACCAACAAACATATGGTGGAAACACCAACCAATGATCCTTTGGGGCTGGTGACAACGATGCAAGGGCCATGCTTGTTATGTTGGAAGACCTTGAGGTCCATCACATTCCATCACAATGCTGTAAGTTAAAATAGGAATTTGAGGGACATGATGCAGTTTCAGATTTGTGTGTTTGTTTGTTTGACATTTTCTAGTCGTTCTCCAAAACATTTCGGCACTCAATATGCACATCCACAGAGATGAATAGCAGCGACAGCATGACCGGCTGCTAGGGAGGTGCTTTGTGCAGCTGTATAACAAATAGTAAATTAAAGTTTCGTGATTCGTACAACATACTCGCAGTATAAATGGAAGCATCAATCCAATACCGCCCAAAATCCCTGGTGATGGTTTCGTTTAGGGTTGTACCAAACTGGTTGAATCGGGGCCATTCTAAGGCATCATTATGGTGGGATTGTGGAGCCATGAGCAGATACGTGGATGTTCAGCATAACAGTGGGACAGGTAGTACCCCCGACTTGGGTAACCAGATGTAACCAGTTGTGAGGTGACATCTTTCGTGTGCCCTACATCGCCAATCCGGGTGTGCCCAAAACTGACGAGACGTCTGGGAGCCTAAAAGGAACCAAAATCTGTGCCGAATCCACCAGGCGAAGAATCGAGCTGATCAACCCGGCAGGGTCACTACCGATTTCAAATTTGAAAATGGCATTAAGGTAGAAAAAACGTCTAGCAGCCAGGGAACGAAAGATGTGTTATTCGTTGCACTACACGATGCTATTTGTTTTGGGTCTCAATTGTGACCCGAAGCCAATTGTCCATCAACTGTTGAGTATAAGTGAGTATGTCTGTAAACCATGATGGCATAAGCGCGTACAACCCCATAGGGGTTTTGGCCCATCTCCAGCTGGGGCCTAACATAGTGAACCCCCAACATTGCATGGTCAATCATCATTTTCTCCACTATGCCACTCTATGCATGTCATGGTCATAAATTGAGGTATCCAACCTCCATTTTGCCTCCGATGGGGTTTTGATCCATTCCGAGCTGCTTCCTGCTGGGTCTTCGTGCTGCATGCTGTTGTATTCGTTTCACGCATCGATGATTCTTCGGTGCCTTCGGCACTGCAGGTCTAGCAAAGTGTCAGGCAGCCGAGCACGTTCTGCTAGGGGCTCAATTGGTGATGGCCAGTGTGTTCGGATGTCGGAAGCACTGCGAAGCATAGGTTTCCTTTTCCCGCTGGTTGGTTTGGGAACAGGGGCCTCCCCTGTAGTACTTGTGGGTAAATGGTGGTTCAAAAATGCACAAAAGGTGTACAAAACTGACATCCACATTTTTCATCATTTTTCCCAAAGGGGCATCATTGCTGACGAGTTTCTCTCGCCCTCATGCAGCGCATGTTCTCTTCTTTTGTAGTTCCCAGATGTTCCCAGTTGTCACCGGAGAATCCCCAGAGTTGGAATCCATAGTTGTAAGATGTTGTAAGTGGGGCATGTCCCAAAAACAATATCCCAGATACATTTTGGGCTCCATATCCCACAATCCATTTAAGCTGATCTTCCAACATTGGAATCAGTGGGAATGGCAGGGATTATAAACTCACTTGCAAATCCTCTATGAACTTAGGGATCATCCCATCACACCAAGAGCATCACTTGGAAGTGCAGCTTGATAAGTGGGATAGTTGCAGGATGTTTCAGGTGTTTCAGGTGTTTCAGGTGTTATATCCCAACAAATGGGGATTATAAGTTATAAGTTATAACCATGCTAATAAATCCAATATGAATGAACCCCCAAATGCACTCCCAAGCAATAAACATCTGCTTTCATCACCTGCAGCTGTCACGGACCGAACAACCACCGTGGTCAGTCCCACTGCGCCGCTCGCCATGTTTCCCCGGCCGCGAAACGCTGCCCGGGCGGCGGCCCATGTGGCCAGGTATGGACGGTGGCAATCCACGGTACCTTGGATGCAGATCATACAGAGACATACTGAATGTATTTCTGTGAATATATTATAGTATACATACACAAACACACACGCACACACACACATATATATATATGAGTATATATAAATATATTAAATGCAGAAACATATCAATGGATCTGAATATGTATCTACATACGTACATAAATGTATACATATACATATGTATAGTTCTGCTTATATTTACTACGAACAAACATACTAAATAGACACACACACACAGAGACACTCATCTATGCATGCATCTTTGAAGGGAAGAGCAAAAGCACAAAGTGCCGTAGCATGCGATCAGATCAGATTCCCATTTTTCCTGCTTCTTGATAGTGATAAACTAGGGTCATAAACTACTCATTTTTGATTGATAAACTATAGACTATACTCATTTCTGATTTATTCATGGATAGTGATAGACTAATATAAACTTCCCCTTTTTCTGATTTATTAATGGTATTTTTCTGGAGGCTCAACGTCTCCAAAAATTCACCCAGCAACTCGGCCCAGCTGCAGTTGCATGCGGCCAATGCTCCCAGCCACGTGGCCGGCAGCGACCTGCCCTTCGCGGCGTTGAAGGAAAAAGCCATGACGCATACCACGCATCTGGGAAGGCCCAGGGACCAGGGTCTGGGTGAGAACGGTTGAGATATCTTTGCATCTATGTATTATAGATATAGTGTTCCACATGCATATTATATATATATATATATATGCATATGTATCTGGATATATATAGATAGATATGGATAGATATGGATAGATATGGATAGATATGGATAGATATGAATGATAAAATCTTTGTTACATGTTTATAATATGTTTGTATCATCCCCACCAGGCATGACATCACCAGGCTGCGTTTTTTTTCCTCCCAGCCAAACCCTTGGCCCGGCTGGGCATCTCCAGGCATCGAGCCATCAACCTGGCGGCTGGCGCGGCTGCTCTGCCACTTGAGGCATCTGCCACTAATGGAAATACGACTTTATACAGAAATCGTACTTTAATGTACTTTATGACACTCATTCCAGGAAAATACCCATAGACTCAGACAGAAGAAGTATATATATATATATACCCGAGGGGCCCCAGGTTCTCCGATGGAGAAGCGGTGGGGTTGGGTGGGGTGGGGTGGGGCATGGTAGCGTCATGTTACGTTGCTGCTACGTTCATGGGAGGGGTGGGGTGGGGTGGGGCATGGTAGCGTCATGTTACGTTGCTGCTACGTTCATGGGAGGGGTGGGGTGGGGTGGGGCATGGTAGCGTCATGTTCATGTTACGTTGCTGCTACGTTGATGCGGCCTCTCGGGTATATTTGTATATATATATATATAGATGCAAGCTCCTGACAAAACATTAAGTGTTCACACTATAGTATATACAATGAAAACACAGAAAAAACGCCTGACTGTCAGCACTTGCAATTTTCTACGCATTGCCAATTCATTGCAAATACCAGTACAAAATGACCATGACGCAAAATGCCTGAGAAAACACAGTACATTTGCTCAATTTTACATGACCACGATATGACTATACAATGAAAATTCACCATTTTACACCAAACAATGCGATTTCTGACTTCTGAGAACATAATGTATGGCACAAGATGACTCTGCTTTAAAACGGACGAAACAAATTTGATCCGTTTAACATGATGTTGAAAAGGACGTTGCCACTATTGAAAAATTGGCAAATTACCTAGGCGCCAGCTGTTTTTTTACATTTTCAAGCTCAAACACAGCTGAGGGTATCGGAGAACCTGAGGCCCCTCGCGTATATATATATATATGTATATGTATATACATGATGTGGGGGATACAGTACATGATATGGAATCGATATGATATTTGCAATACGTAGAAAGTATATGAAACCATTGTGAACATGAAATGGGGATGAGTACTGTGTGTATACATATACACAAACATGTTGGTGAAGACAACTTCTTGGGATAGAACATTTAGTTACAAAGGTTTTTGGCGATTAACATTCGCCAGGGTTTTGATCCCATAGCCATACGTGGGATAAGATCAGATAGTCTGAATCCCATGGTGATATAAGTACGAACTGCATGTACAAGATCTGGATAGTTTGAGTTCAGTAGATGCGACTTGTGCCATGGCAGTAGCCTCCGACTCCCCAACATGGGGATATCAGATATTCACCAACTTGAGGAGCCCAAATCCGCCAGTTCAGATTCTCTGTGGAGACACCAACTCCCATTTTCAATCACTTTCTTGTAATCACGGTACCAGGAGACACGCGCACAAGCCCACAAATCTTTTCCCTTCCACTGAAGTATGAAAACATGCTGTTTTGAACTTGTTTCCAGGCCCAGACTTTGTTTCATGGAACACTTGCCAGTGGAAACCCTTCATGTCTATTTGCAGAAAAGCTGAATATACATCTATATTGTGTTCATGGCAAAACAAGGTATACAGCAGTTTTTCCAGCAAGATTTCCTCCCCACAAGCCCAATGATGCTCCAAGACATCATCGGTTCATGCGGCAGGTGTTGGAGAGGGCCGCCAGTAGCTTTGTGGAAACCGACCACAGTGGCATGAGCGCCTCAGCACTTCCGGGGGATCTTCTGTTTGGAGGGAAACCTGGGAGGAGCTTGGGTAGGTTGGGTTGGAGGTTTGGGATCAAGGTTATCTAAACATGTTATGGCTGTTATGGTAAGAATGTGGTTGCTGCGGTTGCTTACTTCCAGGATGTAAACGATGACTGTGAGCTGAATTGCCAGTGTTTTTTTTCGGGGACCTTCGTCCATTCTCGCTGAAAGCAGCAAAGATAGACCAAGATTTAGTCCTGGTGATCCTTGGCATGGACCGACATGGACATTCCCTCCGGTAATCAAACATGGCAATGGGAAATCAATTGGAACATCATGTTTTTCCAATCCATAATATTTTTCTCCAATCCAGAATTAAAATACAATGTCCAAACCTCAATATAAATATATATTCCAATCCACGTTCAAAAAGTAAAAACGATCACGACAATCCATCGATGCATTTTGCAGCTGTTCTTGGCTTTTCAATCCTGGCCCTTTTCAATCCTTCAAAATACATACAAAAAAAATGCATTCTGGGGAAATACAATGGCCAAATTCTACAGTTGGGGCAAAATGCAATGGAGAAAGCGTGCAGGTTTCGGCACAATATATACAAACAAAAACGCATTCTAGACAAAATATATAGGGAAAAACGGCTTTTTGGGCAAAATACAATGGAGAAAAGCGTAAAGGTTTCGGCAAAATACATACCAAAAAAAACATCTTGGGCAAAATACTATAGAGAAAGAAGTCATTTTGGGCAAAATACAATGGAGAAAAGCGTAAAGGTTTCGGCAAAATACATACAAAAAAAAACATCTTGGGCAAAATACAATAGAGAAAGAAGGCATTTTGGGCAAAATACAATGGAGAAAAGCGTAAAGGTTTCGGCAAAATATATACCAAAAAAACATGTTGGGCAAAATACAATAGAGAAAGAAGGCATTTTGGGCAAAATACAATGGAGAAAAGCGTAAAGGTTTCGGCAAATACATACCAAAAAAAACATCTTGGGCAAAATACTATAGAGAAAGAAGTCATTTTGGGCAAAATACAATGGAGAAAAGCGTAAAGGTTTCGGCAAAATACATACAAAAAAAACATTTTGGGCAAAATACAATAGAGAAAGAAGGCATTTTGGGCAAAATACAATGGAGAAAAGCGTAAAGGTTTCGGCAAAATACATACAAAAAAAACATGTTGGGGGCAAAATACAATGGAGAAAAAATTGCATTTTGGGCAAGATACAATGGAGAAAAGCGTAAAGGCTTCGGCAAAATACATACAAAAAAAAACAATTTTGGGCAAAATGCAATAGAGAAAGAAGGCATTTTGGGCAAAATACAATGGAGAAAAGCGTAAAGGTTTCGGCAAAATACATACAAAAAAAAACATGTTGGGCAAAATACTATAGAGAAAGAAGACATTTTGGGCACAATACAATGGAGAAAAACGTAAAGGTTTCGGCAAAATACATACAAAAAAACATGTTGGGCAAAATACAATAGAGAAAGAAGGCATTTTGGGCAAAATACAATGGAGAAAAGCGTAAAGGTTTCGGCAAAATATATACAAAAAAAACATGTTGGGCAAAATACAATAGAGAAAGAAGGCATTTTGGGCAAAATACAATGGAGAAAAGGTTAGAAAAGTTTAGGCAAAATACACAGGAAAACAATTTTTGTTTGGAAAAATATAAAAGAAAAAAAGGCATGTGAGGCAACCTGCAATGGAGAAAAGAGTAGAGGTTTCGGCAAAATACATACAAAACAAAAGCATTCTGGGCAAAATACAATGGAGAAAAATTGCATTTGGGGTAAGATACAATGGAGAAAAGGTTAGAAAAGTTTAGGCAAAATACACAGGAAAACAATTTTTGTTTGGAAAAATATAAAAGAAAAAGAGGCATTTGAGGCAACCTGCAATGGAGAAAAGCGTAGAGGTTTCTGCAAAATACATACAAAACAAATGCATTCTGGGCAAAATACAATGGAGAAAAATTGCATTTGGGGTAAGATACAATGGAGAAAAGGTTAGAAAAGTTTAGGCAAAATACACAGGAAAGCAATTTTTGTCTTTTTTATCGACGCGGCACAGAATTTTTTGTCGAAGATTGGAAAATAAAAACTAGTCATGGATTGGAGAAGTCTTTTTTTATCAATGCTTTTTTATTTTGTAAACGATTGGGAAACGAGATTTTGATCGAGGATTGGAAGGTAACAATCAATCGTGGATTGGGTAGCGTCTCCGTTTGATCACTGGAGGCTATTTCTTTTTAATCCAGCAAATGGGAAGATGATGATCCAGATTCACTTTCACAGTTTGAGGATGGATGGGAAACGCCACCCAGAACATTGGTTATAGATGTTATAGCTTGGGCCACCCTCCAAAACTTGGGATGTCAATGCAGAGGTGCCTGCTTCCTCCGGGTGGCAAGTGGCAACAAGCTGGATTTGTTTCCCGATGAGAACGTATGTATATGGTTAAAAACTCAGTTGACACTCTTCACTGATTCTGAGCCACCCCCATTTTGTGCTCATCCATGGGCTGAAAAAACATGACCTTCGGGTTGCCCTTTTTTGTTGTTCCTTTAACAAAATCCAGGAAAACTAGGGATTCCACCAATCCCAGGTGTGGCTGAGATGGGCTACCGCACCAAACCATTCCACCGCATCATGGAGCGGGCTGAGAATTCCCTGCGCGACTTCCTGAGGATCCCAGACAGTCACGAGGCGCCCAGGATTGGCCTCGCGGGACCAGCAGTCTAGGATTGCTAGGATTGGGGGACATCAGTTGAACCTTGCTATTTTTAATGAGTCAATATCTCATGTTTTGGAGGGTGACAGGGTGACATGATTTTTTCTTGGGGGTGAACGAGTTGTATGATATAACGTATTAGTATATATATATATATATTTATATTTATGTATACATATACATCCATCATTGCGCGTGCGCACACGCACGCGCACTCCAAACCTCAATGTTGAAGCTGTGTGCGAAGCCTACCCTGTATTCACCGACGAAAGCGAACCCTCCAACGTCCAGGACTAGCCCAACCTGAGAGTTGAAACTGATGCAATGGAATTGAGCGACTCTGTGGTACTCTGCAAACGTGGCAATGAAACATCTCCGAGTTAAAGTGAACTGCTTATTGAAAATGGTGATTTCTACTGATTTCTTGCCAAGTTTGAATATCAGAGGGTACTTCAAGCCCGCAGCCCAAGCCTAAAAGGTGCACTTCTTCAACGGTGGCGCCACTCTGCAGTTTGCGGCGATCCCATTGAACCTGCTAGGCGTGGGGCCCTGCAATGGAAGTCTCAGTGCGGAAGGAGTTCAGCTGATTCCAACTAGGGGATCTCCTGTTGTGACTGGCTGGTCTCGTAGTATATGCACAATATATATATATATTATGTATGCATATATCATATATATATATATAATTACATATATGTATCTATGGGGATAGCTGGTGCACAAGTCAAGTTGGATTCAACCAAGAATGTGAAAGGTCATATTGCCATATGCATATATAATATACATACACAGTATAAAGATAATGCACACACACACATATATATATATTATAGATGAATCATCTAAAGCGACTAAATGATATGGAGGACTTGCATCAAACAAAATGGGGATTCAACCAACCAAAACCCAATGACTTACACTTACTGTTTGGGGTGTCACGACCAAAACCATGTTCATTTTAAGGAGTTTGTGAGTCAGGGTTTACCACATTCACAGGTTCCCTTGAAAATTTGGTGGCTGAAGGTGCTACATTTCCTCCGGCAGTCAAACACGGAAATTTTTCTATTGGATTGCCAAACTGGACGAACTCCCAAGTTTGATGGTTTAATCATGGTTAAACCATCATTCTTTGGTAAAACTACCACTCGCAGGGTCTGAACATTTTGCTGCAGCATTTTTTGAGCTGCGTCGCCTTTGCATGAGGTGGTGTCAACGAGGGGAAGCGAGCGTGGTGACCTCAGACTTCGCCATCGACTGCGCATGTTGTATTTTTTGGCTGTCATCATCATCATCATCATCATCATCATCACCTTCCCATTTTTTCACACCATCTTGCAGCTTCAAAAGAAGCATGTTTCGCTTCAACAAACAAACACCATTCATGGACAAAAACCACTGGAGCATCAACCCATCGCCCACCTAGTGCCACAGCTAGGAATGATATATCCATGTTTGGAGTGCTTATTCTCCAAGTCCTAAGTACAGGTTGGTTGCTTCATTATCCAGTCGCTGATGATTTTCCCCTCTTACTAAACTATACCAACCATACCAACCACCCAAGCCACCCAAACCACTGGGATATATCATCTTTCCCAGCTATATTTTTATGTCTACAGAATTTCCCGGACTTTTTCCAGTGACCAGCTCAGCACGAAGGAACTATCTGATGAGCGGCCACTGGAGCGAAAAGGCGCGCAATGAGGCGCAGCTCTTTGGCGAGGTCAAGGAGGTGGCGGTGGATCCCAAAGGCGGGAATCAGTGCCGTGGTAATGTTTATACTTTAAAATACTTTAAATATCTTTAAATATCTGTAAAATACTTTATATAGTTTTCCATGAACTTATTTATCATACTGTTTTTAGATTTATATTAACTTATTCAATTGTACTAACATGATCGGTATGCAGGACCGGTATCGGATATATTAACTATATGATATCTATATTTGCATATGATCAAGACATATGGAGATGAGATGGGATGGTGGCTACGAGTCCAAACCCATTGTCCGAAAAAGGACGGCTCTTCAGATTCCAACCTTTTGTCTATCCTGGCAACCTTTTTGAACTACTGAGGTACACAGTTTTGACCCACAAACATGAAGTACACACACATATATATATACACATACCCAACCAAACCTGGAGTTGGAGATTAAGAATATTGGGGATTCATATATGTTTTTTTGTGATCCCAAGCTGCATGTGTTTGTTGGAGGAACCAAGGGCGTTTGGGTCCTTCCCATTTTCTGGAGATTTTTTTGTGGTGACCCAAACGATGTCCCTGATTTTCCAAGAAGTTGCATTTGCGCAAGGCCTCTATTTCGAGATTCCAGACAGCCACTCGGGAGTTTGTGCACTGGGCGGGCAGGGTTTGTGTTCTTCTGAAGATCGGATGAAAGACAAACAGAAAAGGGCTCAATATCAGATTGGTACGTTCCTTCACAGTGAACTTCTGAATTCAACAACTGCTGGAGGTAGTTGTTACGAAGGCAAGTCTTAAATCATCTAAAATCCAATTTGCACTGATGAGAAACAGTATCATGATGAGAGCGAATGAAAGCGATCACAAATTTGAAGACGATGGACTTGAAATAAGCCGATCATCCCAAGATTGATTTAGCAGGGTGGGTGAATATCCCCCAAAGTTTACTGGTCGAATCCCTCTTTTCCCCATTGATTCTGACAAATCCGTGTGTGCGTTTCCTGCAAGATTTCCCTGAAGCCAGGCCGCCAATCCCACCCGATCAGTGACAAATGATGGATCCTTGGATCCTTGGATCCTCACAATCAGTTGGTAAACACGTAAAAACAAATAAACTTTATAAACATCCAACCCGGTCCAACCCTGTATGGCTGATCCTCATATGTAACAAGAGTGATGTTTCAATGGGACATTCAATAGACAGTTCATCATGTGTAGGTAACCTGCCTACATTTTTCCTTTTAACAAAGGCTGTTCCATTGCCAGGTTGATTACACTGGTCTCAGCCAAGGCAAGACTTGGGACATGGATCCGAATGGAGCCTACTTCCACTACACCTCTGCTGACACACGACAGGGCGTCTTGGTCCATCATTGCAGGTAGTTCTAGCCCCGTCACCCCTCCATGGGTTTGGTGACAACCCTGAAATTTGTGGCTAAGAAAAGAAAAACCATTGAGTTTGTTTTTCGTTGAAAAACAGCTACTATTACAGTAAATGTTGGTCACCCGGTCAACCCTCATGTACACATATAAATGACATGTGTCTGTTTGTTCAAAACATCCACGGTTTTTTATTAGTGGCCCTCCGCGTCGAACCGTCGCCGTCCTTTGACCCAGGTTTGGAGATCAGAGATTTTGATTTTGCGGCGATTCCAGCAGGTGGGCCTACACAAAAAGGGAAGATTATCAATAATATATCAGAATATATAAGAATATATATATATATACAGTGTGTACATACATATATGTACATCTAGATCATTTGTAGATAGGTCTGAGCCGATATCCAAAGAAATATAGCAACCAAGGGGGCTCGGCTGCGAGTTGGGTGGGCAAGTGTTTGCTGAAGTTGAGAGGGATGCTGTCTGAATAAATGGGCTTGGCTTGATAATATCTCAAAATGGCTGGATACACTGAACTTCTCAGCCTTTCGTATCACAAAGAGGCTGTGGAGTCAGTCGGATTTTCATGCAGCGTTTGTTAGAAGCAGCGCTCCTCCATGTCAATTCCAACTTCTTGCTTGTTTTTCGTTGAATTCAGAAAGGTGCATTTCCTGCCAATCTTTATTCCTTGATGCCTGATCAGTTCAAACTTGCCACGCTAAACATCTACAGCAGCAGGCATGCCGGTTTGTTGCGATGCATCAGCAGCTCATCTGCGTTTTGGACTGCGGGCTAAAGGGATGGAGTTCATTTACAGCGATCAAAAGAGAATTGCTGTATGTACCCTGAACATGGGGTTTGAGCTACGAAGGATTCTTATGCTCCTTGGCCTCCAAAGGCCAACCTTGGCAGCGCGCCGATCGACGTGTCAAAGCTGCTGGGCCGCAATGAACAGATTTATCAGAGGTTTCACCAGGGTTTCTGAGGGTTTAAAATCATTTAAAATCATTAGGAGGAAGGGATTAGTCAAATGGGATGATTAGATGAGACTAAACCATCAACAATGGGGATTTCATTGGATTTTTGGGGATTTTAACATTCAAAAACATTTGAACCGCTTGGCCCAAACATGATGTCTTGGAGGGGTATCAAGCCAACACAGATGCACGGGATTTTCCAATAGAAACTGCCCGCACAACCCGCAATCATCGGAGTTGACCCACAGAAGTAATTGCTGGTTGGTATTTTAAGTAACTATCAATTTGAGATGTAATTAACTAATTCAATGGGTTTTCAACCAGCAATCATGGAAGTGTACCCAGCCAGAAAAGGGACATGTACTCAGCCCAAAATGGAAGGAATTGCGATAGGCATTAAAGCACGCGGACGTCATCAGCAAATGCGGATGAACATGGGCTCCCTCTGGGTCAAAATTTAAGGCTCAGCTGGGCGCAAATGGACTGGTCATTTTTGGAATCTAGACCATTGTCAAGGCACCAACTTTTGACCAATGCCCAAGTGGTTCGGAAGTCGGACAGACAATGGTTCTTATAGCCTGTGTGAACGCATAATGATTCCCAGAAGTCTTGCCTTGTCGTTTTGGACTCTGACTCTGTGGAGCTGTTCCAAACGACAGGCAATGCGACACATCAGGCAAAATCCACCTGGGATCCCTTAGTGAATGATGGTTTTGTCGTTTCTGTTTGGCTCACTGGCGTTGTACTACACGCTTGATTGACCCAGATTGATCCTAAAATTGAATGGCCTATAATATGTATATATATATGTACATAGTTAGCTAGATCAATACCTCACATGCTGATGATTGCGATTGTTTGGCCAAGAAGGGTAATTCCATTCTTGGTTGCCATACCCATTTGTGATTGGAAACCATTGGGTTTGTTTGAAAAACGGGCACCCCATTCCAGCTCATGGTTGATCCTCCTCCTCCTCATCATCATCATCATCATAATATCAATATAATAGTAGAACCATAATAATCAATATATAACAACAATAATAATAACAACAACGGCAATAATAATAATAATCATCATCATCATCTTCTTTATTTTCACAATCATTATTGCTATTTTGTGGTATCCCCCAGCCATGTCATGGCCTTTTTGTGTTGGCTTGGATGTCCCCATATGTTTGGGATACCCAGCCTCAACATCCATTGCCCTGGCAGGTTGATTTATAACTAGGCTAACACATATAGGTGTATGGGGGATATCTATGATTGGATTTGTGAAAGTATATATAAATCAATAGCATTTGCACGCCATGCACTTAGACCTTTTGAACTTCTTGATTAGTTTGGATTCCTTTACTCTATATGTCATACACCCAAACATGTAGTCTTGGCAGGTTTCGGCAGCTTTTTGGAGGGATCAGCAAGCCACCAACTGATACATGGGGTCACTGCAGCCCGCAGCAAAGGTATGGCGTTTTGTATGCCGCCTCCCACAAGAACTTCTCCACTGCGGGAGTTTGCTATTCCATCATTCGCAGAGATGCTTGGTCTGGATCCACACTGGGAAAATCTTACAGAAAATATGTAGCTTTCACACCCAAAATTACTAGAATGAAACATCAGAAATATTCAAATTCACATTGGTTTGATTTCCATATGGATACAGTGAGTGGTCACATCAGTCCAGCCTATTCTGGCAATATTTAGGGGATGCGGAAGCGGAGTGAAGGAGTCATGCCCGCTTGTTCCAGACATGTTGGATTTCGATGTAGGTGTGCCCAAAACTCAGGCAGTAGGTATCGAAGATTGTCTTGACCAAGGTCTTGATACACTCCGGCATTCTGTGTATGGATAAAAAACGTGACCCATGGATGCCTAAACATTGTTGATACATTCTTGACATTATGTGTACCCTCTGGTAATTTAACATAGCTATTGAAAATTGCCATTTATAGTTGATTTACCCATTAAGGGTGGTGATTTTCCATAGTTATATTAGTTTACCAGAGGGTATGTGTATGGATACAAACATGGACGGTCTTTATAATTTCTAAAGACATTTTGGGCCCATTGTGGGGCCATGGGTATTTTTCCAGTGGTCGTCGCCGACCTTTTTTGCTTCTGAGGATCTGATCTCCAAGGACACCCAGATGAAGGCCATTCCAACGATGTGCAACTGGAGCACCTTTCAGATGCCCAGTTTCAAAAGAGACACCGAAAAAACAATGAGGGCATTGTATAAATATATAATAGACAGATACATGTATACATAATAAAATATAATTACATATAATATACACTGCATATTTGCACTCATACATTATGTATGTGTATACACACAATGTTGTATGAGTAAAACATCCGAAGCGATGAAGTTTTATCAGGAACACCAGAATTATTTGACAAACATGAGAATTGAACCAACCAACCATTGGAATATTTCCATCTGGTTATTTAACATAGCCATGGAAAATCACCATTTTTAATAGGTAAGCCATCTATAAATGGGCCATTTCCCATGGCTACGTTAAATAACCAGAGGGTATGAGATCAACAGCGAAAGTGGATATTATGAATCAAGTACTTGCAGAGACGCCCCACATTGGAGCCCTCTATGCCTTTGATGATAACTTTGAATTGGTTTGAAGCACATTGCGCCATCTTACTGTCAGTTTGGTACCCTGGTTTAGACGTAATGGCTAATGCAGACGACTCTTCCGCCGTGGTTTGCCTCTTTTCCAGAGATACAAAGTGTGCGACTGGAAGAGTCAGATCTAGATGTGGGTCAAAACTCTTCTGGACCCCCAAAATGGGTACGGGTCAACGGGTCAAGACCATAAAATCCCAACTTGGATTTTTATTCACATCCGAACAGGACCAAAGATTCTGTAACTGTAAACATTGCTGGGGTGTGAACTAAAGGGTACGAGGGTTTCGAGCATGAAACCAATGCTTAAACCATACAATTGTGAAATTACCCGGTTGAATAAACGGAAGAGACGAAAAATTCAGATGTGGATAACTATCAACTATCCGTTTTTTGGATAATTCATTTGGCCAAATCACCTTTCTTGATGCTTTAGTCCCCCTTTTTTGGTAAACATATGACTTTGCTGGCTTCAATCCCAGGTCTTGCTTAAACCCTCATGTTCAATGCTTAGAATCCCAATCTTTGGATATTTTTTGAAGCTCCACAACATGACCTTCTTGTTTTTTGTTGATACTCAACATCCCCTTGTTACGTTTCTTGCCCAGGAATGCTCCCAACAAGATCTACAACGTCCCTGTGCTGATGTCCGTGTGGATTGGCGCCATGAACACCGAGTGGATGATCGAGCGCGGCGGCGTGGAGGCCTTCCAGGACTTGGCCATCACCCGCAGTCGGCTGCTCTATGCCGCTGGCATTTACCGGGGGATATGGGGCTGGAGAATACTGAAGATCTGTGTTTTTTTTAGTGTAGCGATTTTTTGGGTCACAAGCAAGATATAGAGGAAGTGGGCAGGGACTTTGTTGGCATTGGCCGTGCCTGCGATTTGGCAGATTGGGATTTTTTATCCAATTCGAACTGTTGGCCTCTCGAGCGCAACAGCAAGCAGCAAAAGACAGTGCGAAGCTAGAGATCAAAAGGTGCCCGGGTCGCTGTTTCCTGTTGATTCGCAAATCGCTTGGGATCTTGTGAAGATTTTGCAATTGCTCATGAATAGAGTAGCAAATCCGGTCAGCAAGGTTACGTTGAAGGTTTTGGATCGCAAGAAAAGCTAAGAAATACCACACCCTGGAGACGACAAAAATTGAGATCTCTCAAGAAACCAGATTGACCAAGACCAAAATCGCAGGTTGAAGTGGATTTGTCGAGCTGGATATGTTGACTCGTGTTTTCAAGCATTTTTTTTTTGTCACGCTTCGAAATTGGCACATGTTGGTATGCATAGAACTGTGAGCAGTCCACTCACAACATTCAGGGTTTGAGGAGCAGAGATCCAAAAACAAGAGCAACCAAGGAATGCGCTCGCCCTCTTTTCAGGCTTTCGCGGTTTGCGGGCGCAACAAGAATAGCAAAACGACTTGCAAAACCACAATACTGATTTTGAAGTTGCTGAAACAAGGGAGAAGAGACTCGTTCAGTTACGCAATCTTCGCAGTACTGTTCTTCAAGACCCGCAAGCCAAAAAGAAGGAAAACTATTGTCCATACAAATGCCGCTGCACACTTGGACTTTGCCCCCTACATCGAGACAATGGTGGACAAGAACAAGTATGAGAAACAGATATGGTAGGTTGCTGCACACGAGCGGAATCATCGAACATGTTGAATGCCCCATTAGTAGCATGTTCAGCACATGCAATCAGAGTAGACACAATCGGCGTTTGAAGATTTACAGCATCATACAGGCGATGACTGAACTCAGCAAAACAAATATCAGCCAGCTGTTTAGCTTTAGATTTGGCAAGTGCATCTCCTGTTTCATTTCCACGGGTGAGAAAGTCAGATTGGGATCTACAACCAGGTTTCACTTGCGCTTTGACCTTAAAAACCCGAGTGTCGTGGCGCAATTCTGCCGCAACTGCTGTCCATAAATCTTGATTATACTGGGAAAGGAAAGCATTCTTTGGGGATTGCAAAACACTTATATATATAGATTTTACATGATTTTACAATGATCCATGTACAATTAGATATCTAGGTAGTATACAATCAGATAGTTGTAGATACATATTTGCATGGTTATTAAGTAAATATGCACAGAATTACATGCCGTGTATGCATTTGCATACCATTGGGTACAGGTGTGTACATGCGTGTGATACATATGTGACATGCGTGTGATACATCCAAACACGCTGGCGTGTTGATTCTGGCTAGGAGATCTCCAGATCCCAAGTCCTGGCTGAGGATTTGATCGACAACTCCGATGGCTTCTACAATACCTTTGTGAACGATGAGGTGTCCAGATGCTTCGTGCAGAACCGGTGCCATAGCGTACTAACTCCCAATTGTCACATCATTGACATGGGTCAAAACCTATGATACCACATGGGGGTATAAACATCTACAGCCGGCAGCTGTTTTGATGCAAAAACCAGGGTAATTACATCACATTGCGTGTGGATCCAGTGCCATACAGAAGTACTTCATGGATGTAAGTCATGACATATTTGGGATTGGCTCAAGGTTGAAATGGGTTGCCCACAAAGAACTTACCAGTCTTTGAATACGGTCGACTCCAATAGTTGCAAGAAAAGATATGCCAACCACTGTGCATAGTTCAATAATCCCTTCATCCCACTAACAAACACTAGTCACTAGCATTTGTTCATTTTGGGGTCCCATAACATAACAGGGCAGGGGCTACTATTGGAGGGCTGGGATTAATTTCTATGGATTGCGCCCCTCCCATCGGATCGGGCTTGTTTGGATGATTTTCTTAGCTGGTTTCACGAATTCATCAACTGCAAACCTGCAAACCATGCGGGTTTTGGGACAATCTCGGCATTTTTAACCATTAAAATACGCTGCAGATGGGAGTGTGCCACCAGAGAAACTCTGGTCAATCGGCCACTAGGTATGGGAGACTTCCAGGACTTAGGATACTCAGATACTGTCAGATTCTCGGCCGACTGTCATGACCGTAGAATAATTTGAAGAACCATGCGGACTCATGTTCGGTCCTACACAAAATCAACGGCCACAAAACTCTGCTGTTTAAGCATCGTGTGAGATTGGCATGGGTCAAACGAATCACGCAGAAATTGGTAGTCATCCACATCTCAGCGTTTCATCTCTTCCTCTTGATTTGGGGGTATGGCCAAAACTTACTGTCCATGAGCAACGCCAAAGATTATCAACATTTTGCTGGTCCTTCTCGGGGTTTGGGTTTCCCTGAGGTATCCTGGGTGATCATTTTACAGCTTGTTGCAACTTGGGCTACCCATTATCCAGTCCAAATTTCTATCCATTTCAATTTTTTCCCACAGTTTTTGATAAAGTTTTCCCTTTTTTAGGATCCTCCAAGTACCTCATGATCTTAGTTTTCGTCGCGCAAAAAGTTATTCTTCGATTATCCTCGAAGATGTCTGGTGTGTTGCAGGCCTTCCGCTCGCGGATGCAAGTGGTCTTCACCATTGGCACTGGCAGCGGCCGAGACCATGACCTGGTCGAGTGACTGGGCGCCCTTCGGGGCCAAGGTGTTGGGAAAGAAGGAAGTGAGGGAAGTATTGCTCCAACTGGGCGCAGCAAATGGGTATGTATACTATATGTGCATGGTTGATCGTGCACGAGATTTATACACGAACGTTTCATGCCCCGATGTGCAGTGTTTCGGCTCACAGGGAAGTGCTGACATCCCCCCCGCTCTGGTTGTCCGGCGGAGAGCCCAGGCCTTTGGGTAGGGCTCAGAACGCTGGACTAGCCAGACGGTGGGGTGGTGACGGCAGCCCAGACCCTAGGGGGAGGGCTCACGCCGTCTAGGCCATGGAAGGCCTTCAGCGACGTGGGGCTGACCTTGGGTTAACCCCTGCCGAAGTCGAGCAGGCGCTGTCTTTGGGTAGGTCCACACAGGATCTTGCCTGGTATGAGGGTGGCGACCTGGGAGGTCGGGCCCAACGGGCAGCCCATGACCTCTTTGAGAGTGAACGGGTGCTGGAGTACCAATGCTATGATAGCAGGTGGCAAACGCAGGGCCGGGGTGTGGTAGCCCTCCAAGAATGGGAGGACCGTGACAGATGCCTTTTCACCGGCCTTCATGGACCTGCGTCTGATGGGTACTACCAGTACTATGTGGAAAAGGAGATGGGTACCGGAAACGGGCTTTACCATATCTGCAATTGCGATGCCATCCGCTGCAAGCTGCGAAAAGAAAGGGGAGACCGAAGAGAGCTCATCCACATTGATCGGTGGAGATTACAGACCCCGCTGACAATGGTGGACAGTCCCTACCTGAAGAACCTCGGAGTGCAGCTGGGCGAAAAGGCCCTGAGTCAAGCAGCCAGGGATAAGAAGTCCCAGCAGGCTCCTTTTGGGAGTGGCTTGGACGAGGCATTGCTTGGAGAGGCAGACCCTGGAGGGGGAGCCCTGTCAAAGCCGAAAAAGGAGGAGGATCGAAGAAAAGAGAAAGAGCGAAGTCGCTCGCCACTCAGAGGAGCTGGTTCCATGGTCCGGTACCTGGCTCGACAAGTGGCCAAGCAGGGCGAGAGCAAGGCCACTGAAAAGAAGAAGAAGAAAAAGGAAAGTGATAAGAAGAAAAAGGAGAAAAAGAAGAAAGCCAGCTCTAGCTCCTCAACGGAGAAGAGCGAGTCCTCGAGTTTTCAGATTGCCCCAGCCCGGGGGGGCGAGCTGTGGAGGACCGCTCAAAAGAAGCCCGGGCAACTCACCAAGCTGGCCCTCGACGAGATGACGCGCTACTTGGCCGATCGGGTCGAAGACGGCGACGTCGAGGCGAAGTGGCGCGGCCAGAAGATCTGTGCTTATCTGAGCCAGATTTTACTCGTGACACATCCTCCGGCCAAGATGGGTCTCCGGACACTGCGGGAGTTGCAGACCCTGTCGGTGAGCATAGACCACCTCCTAGCGGGGAGGGTGGCACAGGCCACCGACACGTTGGTTCAGCGTCTGAAGGCCTGCGAAATGTCGCTGGTGGATGGAAACTGGGCTATGGCACGCCATTTAGAAATTATCCCTCCGAGCACCGCCACCTTGGTGCAGTCGGAAGAGAGGGAGCTGGCAGCAAAGCAAGAGCTCCGGAATCTCAAGCTGAAAGAGTCCATGAAGAAGGTGACCAAATAGGGAGGGGGCAGCGAGCCAGACCCCGGGGTGGGGAGGTTCGTGAGCCACTTCCGTCCATCGTCCCCTCCGAAGAGCCGCCGGCTAGACGAACGAAGCAGCAAAGGGGAAGAGACCCCCAAGGCCACGCTAGTGAGCTTCGACGAAGAGAAGATCGCCAGGCAGAAGAAAGAGGCTCTAGAAAGGAAGCCAGCCCTGCGCAGCCCAGAAAGAGAAAAAGCAGGAGCGGATCCCGCCCCTCAGCGGCCAGGGTGGTTAAACAGAAAGCAGAGGAGGGCCGCTTTCATGAAACAAAAGAGGAGCAAAGGCGGACGAACAGACCCCCCGCGGGAAGTTCGGGTTCCGCGGCAGGGCAGCCCCCCACCTACGGTGGCACCCAGGAAGGTGGAGCTGAAGTGAGCTCAGGAAAAGTGAGAGATCTGATGGAATGGCTGTCAGAGAATGCAGGCGAGCACCTCACTGCTGCGCAGGTGGCACAATACCTGGTGCTCCAAGCAGTCAATCTAAACGGAACGTTGGGAAGACTTTTGGAGAGCTCTTTGAAACCCATCCGAGGGCAAGGGGAAAGGGTGAGGAGCCTCATGCCCCTGCCCCTCTGGCCTGACGTAAGAGATGCCCTTGAAGCGGTCATTGCAAAACAGAGATACAAGGATCAACCAGGTGAATGGCGAGAGAGAGGAAACACGAAAACACAGGCCTCCAGAGCGTTGCGTACGCAGGGGGCTCTCTTGTGGCACGGTTTAGTGGTGGTAAGCTTGAACTGGCTCCACAGTGGAGGAAACTTGTCTCAGAGCATTGGTGGGCCAGCTGGACGAGCGACGTCACAGCAAGAGATAGCTCTATGTCGTCTATGGGATCTGGTAAAGGTCTTCGTTGACGAGAAGCCAAAGAAGGGTGGAGTGCCCCGGACCCCTCAAGGGGATTGGGCAGCTGAACTCGAAACCTTGCGGGTTTCCTATACCGGAGAGGTGGTTCAAAAGGCGAGACCCTTGACTTTGGAGCAGGTGCTACCGGGATTGCCCTCCCCGCAGCACGGAGGCCTGGTTGACATCTTAGAAGTGGTAGATGAAAAGCTGAAGAGAAGGCTGCAAAGACCAGACCTTATGCTAAGGGAGGCCTTCGAAGACATCCCCACGCCTCAGGTCATGTGTGCAGATGATGAGTGGGAAAAGGTGGTGAAAGCTCTGTATGACCGACACTTGGTCGTCCCGGTGGAGCGGAACCCTGTGGTGGACGGGAAATCTGTCCTGAACGGCGCTTTTGGAGTGATCAAACCTGACCGCCTCACTGAGAGCGGTTTGCCGGTACTGAGGATGATCATGGACCTCAGAGCCAGCAACACGATCCTGGAGCAGCTAGAAGGAGACTGCAAGACGTTGTCTGGGGCGGCGTGCTTCCAGAAAATTGTGATGGAGGAAGGAGAAGAACTCCTGCTGTCAGGTGACGACCTGAACTCAGCTTTCTATCTGTTCCGCCTACCCATCCAGTTTTCAGAGTATCTGGTGCTGAGGAAGCCCGTACGGAAATCCCTGTTTCAAGCAGGGCAAGAAGGCACCACCTTGGTGGGGATCACAGTACTCCCTATGGGCTGGTCAAGTGCTGTGGCCATCATGCAGTGTGCCCATAGGCAGTTGGCCCTCAGATCTGAAATGAAGATGGGGGCAGGCCTTTTGGAGAAGGCTGAGATTCGAAAAGATGCCGTTTTTCCAGCTCTGGAAGACACCCCGGCCTGGACCATATATCTTGATGACACCACGATCATTGAGAAGGTGGCCAAAGGGGTGAGTGCGGCCTTAGAAGGAAAACCAGCGGAGGAGCAAAGCAGACTTCGAAAGGTGTATGAATGGTGGGGCATCCCCACAAATGCCAGCAAGGCCCTTGAGAGAGTTCGGACAGCTGAGCGCTTGGGAGCTCTGATCGATGGTGAAAAGGGCGTGCTGAGGGTCACAACCAAGCGCTGTTTGGACCTCATGAGCTTGGGTGCCTGGCTTAGAAAACAGGGGAGTTTCCCCACCACGGTGCTTCAGATCTACGCAGGGAAAGCGGTTCACATCCTGCAGTTCCGGCGATGCCTTTTCTCGGTGCTGCAGGAGGTCTTTGTGGAAGTGTCCCAGAACCCAACGGAGGTGAGGGGCAAGGTGTCGCTTTTTGACGAAATGATGCTTTTGGAATGTTTGCTACCGGTGGTCTGCACAGATCTTAAAGCAAGGATTGACCCGATTGTCACGGCCAGTGACGCGTGCGAGAGTGGTGGAGGTGCAACTTACGCCTCCCGGCTGAGCCGCCTGGGGGAAGAAGAGTTAGAAAGATTGATGGAAGAAGACTTCCCAGAAGGGCTCAGCCTGGCAGATGATTTCAGGGACATGTCCCAAAAGATTGTGGTGATCGACCTCTTTGCTGGAGTGGGAGGACTCGAAAGGGCCTTGCAGCATGCCAAGATCAAGCCCTGGTTTGTGGTGGCCGTGGAGTCAGATGCTGACTGTCGGCGTTGCTTGCGCAGGCGATTTCCAGGATTGGAACTGTGCACTGACATCAGAAGGATCAACAAGAGGATGGTTCAGGATTGGTTGAGGAAGATCCCGGATGCCAATGGGGTCATCTGTGGAGGAGGCAGCCCGTGTCAGGGGCTGTCTCGGCTCTCAGCAGACAGGACGCATCTAGAGGATCCAAGGAGTGCGCTGTTTTTCGAGGCAGTAAGGGTCATGGACCTGGTGAAGGAGGTGGCCGACGCTGAAGGAATGTGGAACATCAGATTCCTCGAGAATGTTGTTCCGGACGAGGAAGACATCCGGACTATGTCTTGGGCCCTGTCCATGAGACCCCTTTTGGTGGATTCCCAGCATTTATCCAGGGCGCGCCGGCCTCGGCTTTTCTGGGTGTCAGTGCCGCTGGTGAGTCATGAAGAAGTCGAGGTACACCAAGGAAGCCTTTTTGACGAGGTGGTGTATGGAGCGGCCACAGAGCCCATGCATGCTATCCTGACGGAGGGATGGACGTGGACCCCGGGTGAGCGAGACTCAGCCCTGCGTTTTCCCACGTTCACTCGGGCCATTGCTCGGAAGAGGCCCCCAAAAGAACCAGCAGGATTGGCATCAGCCTCAGAGAGTGCCAAGAGCCGCTGGGAGGCAGACCAGTATAGGTTCCCTCCTTATACTTACAATGCTGAATACATGATCGAAGACGGCCAAGACCGGAAGCGACCTCTGCTGGCAGCCGAAAGAGAACTGCTGATGGGGTTTGAACGAAATCACACCTTGGACCTGGCCCGAAAAGTTCCTGAGACGCAGGAGGAGAAGGAAGCGTTGGAAGACCAGATGAGCAGTGCGCTGGGCAATGCTTTCCACACAACGGTGGTGGGGGCGTTGCTTGATCATGTCTTGTGGTCTTTTGGAGTGAAACAGTTGGTGGGCCACCATGAAATCGTTGACAACTGGAGCCAAGAGCTAAAAAGGACCCAACGGTTACCACCGGGAGAACTGGACATTGCTGAGGATCAGGCCCCTCAAGGGGAAGATCCAGGCTATGAAAGCGGAGCCACAGAGAAAAAGAGTCACCAGATGGAGAAGATGGAATTGCCTCGCACGCCAGCCTCGGCCACAGCCATTGCAGGGGTGTCTGAGAGAGACCTCAACCTCTCCGTGGCAATGGTGCAAGCTTTTGTGCGCCGCCAGGAGTACAGAGGGAGCGATGTACGGCTGGACGTGGGAACTCTGTATCGACCTGATGCGTTTCCAAGGGCCACAGTCAATCCTCACCGATGGAGGTGGCACGAGGCGCACTCGTACCCCTTCCAAGACCCAGAGCACATCAACATATTGGAGCTCCGGGCCCTGATCCACACAGTAGAGTGGAGACTACGGAAGATGCAGTTCAATGGCGTCAGGTTCCTGCATCTATGTGACTCACAAGTGGCTCTCAGCGTGTGCGTGAAAGGACGGAGTAGCAACCGTCAGCTCAACAAACTGCTCAGGCGATTGGGGGCCATGTCAGTGGCTGCAGGCTTGTACCCGGTGTTGGCGTGGATCGAAAGCCACCTCAACCCGGCAGATGAGCCGTCCAGACGGTATGAGCCGTAGGACGAAGAAAGTCTTGAATGCCCCCACTAAAGCCAGCAGAAAAGTTGAGCGAGCACGCATAGGACGCCTCTCCCAATTGGTGGTTCAACCAAAAACCAAACAACGGTATGAAGAAGCCTTTTCGAGCTTTTGCAAGTTTCACCATCTATCACGGGGTTTTCAGTTACCGCAGTTTCACACCTTTGACGAATGGGTTGCAGACTGCGTGGAGCAACTCTGGGAAACAGGTGCTTCCAAAAGTGAAGCCTCTTATACCTTGGCGGCCATTCAGTTCTTTCGACCCCAGGCCAAGAACAACTTGGCCTGGAGTTGGAAGCTGGTCAAGACGTGGAACCAAATAGAGCTCCCAACGCGAGCCACCCCTTTCAGCGCAGAGATCCTTCTCAGTTTAGCAGGACAAGCGTTCAAATGGAACCAGTATCGGATGGGCTGGCTCCTGGTTTTAGGTTTTTCTGGCTTCCTACGAACTTCGGAGCTTTTGTTGTTGGAACGAAAGGAAGTCATTTTGCCAGCAGACGGCAGACCTCAGGAAGCCGTGTTACTGCTGAGTAGTACCAAAGGTACAAAGAAAAACCTCTTGCCCCTGGATAAAGTTGTTCTCCAGGAGAAGCTGGCCATTCGGGCCCTCACCGAACTCTGCGTGGGACTCCAACCAGGGGACACCCTTTCCCAACAATCATCTCACCAATTTCGTCGTCTTTTTCAAGACCTGTTGGAAGCTCTCCATCTCCAACAACAAGGTTACATGCCTTATAGCTTACGACGCGGTGGCGTCACAAGTGCGTACAGGTTGGGTATTCCCCTAGACGTGCTGGTCACGCAAGGGAGATGGCAACATATGCCCACAGCCAGACTTTACATTGACGCAGGGCTTCAATCCTTAGCACAGTTGGCCCTCCCACCCAAAGCCCTGGCTAAATGTGCCCTGATGCGTCAATACTTTCGCACTGTGAGCCAGAGAGGACGCGTGGAAAGAAGCTGGTGTGACCGGTCGCTGTGGGCAGCCCCTTTTCTATGAAAAGGTGGTCATCCTAAGGATGATGACTGTCTAAACAGTGGCCTGTCTGGCACACCTGATGCTTCGCCATGACAGATGGCTCGGGTTTCAAAAATAGCCGAGCGAGGAAGTGCTAGGGGCTTGTACAGTGAGTGTATGGTTGATCGTGCACGAGATTTATACACGAACGTTTCATGCCCCGATGTGCAGTGTTTCGGCTCCCGCCACCGTCCCCTTTTCACCGCCGGAAAGAAGCTGGTGTGACCGGTCGCTGTGGGCAGCCCCTTTTCTATGAAAAGGTGGTCATCCTAAGGATGATGACTGTCTAAACAGTGGCCTGTCTGGCACACCTGATGCTTCGCCATGACAGATGGCTCGGGTTTCAAAAATAGCCGAGCGAGGAAGTGCTAGGGGCTTGTACAGTGAGTGTATATATATAATATGTATATACATACACATTATACATATACACATATGTAAGTATTGTATATATATATATACACGTATATATGTATATACATTATACAAACATATATATATATGCATTATACGCATACACACACACATATTTTTTGAATATATATATATACATACATATTATATATATATACATTTACATTCTGCAAAAATATAGATTATATGTATATATATATATGCACATTGTATCTACATTATATATAGTAGATATACATTATATATATATACATTATATATATACATTATATATATACATTATATATATACATTATATATATACATATATATTATATATATACATTATATATACATTATATATATATACATTATATATTTACATTATATATATATACATTATATATATACACATTATATATATACATTATATATGTACATTATATATGTACATTATATATATGTACACATTATATATACACACATTATATATATATACCTATCATACACACATTATATATATATGTATATACCTATCATACACAACTATATATATATAAAGATTATACATATAAATGCATTACACACACATATATATATATATTGCATCTATGTGCAATGTCCGGAGCTTGCCTTTGAGGATCATGCGCAGGGTCAACATGGTTTGTAGCCGATCTGATTGCTCGAGGAAATTCCTGGAGAAGGCGAATGACGAGCTGGGATGGTTGGACATTCGCTCGCATCCACTGGGCCTACCTTCCGATGCCATCCGGGTGACTTTCTCGAAATTCTGTAGTTTGACTTTCGCACAGTGCCTGGAACTTCAGATCCATATGCAGCATTTACATATATTCTGTATATACACACACATACTGCACACATTTATATGGTATATATATATATATGTACACATATGTGTATATACCTTATCTTAGAATTGAAACCCATGGGTCTTGGGTTTCGATTTTTTGGACATGCACATCAATTTGATGGCTCAATTCCAGGCAACTCGTTGCTGATTTCAGGGGCTGTACTTGGGGAAATTCTGCCGAACTTCCAGGGCCCTTGGTTGATGATTAGGCCAGGGCCAATACCTGGGGAAACCATTTTTTTTGTTGCCAGAAATCGATTGTCCGTGGTACCAGTCATCAGATGGGGATTGTTGTAACCCTTTGCAGGAATCGCCTCTCAAGCACTGAGGAGAACCACTCCACACTAGACGAATCAAGATGATTGATTATCATTTTATCCCCAACTTTGCAGCTTTGAATAACGCATATCGTTGGTTTTATAGATCTCCCCATTTTTTTGGGTACATAAACCACTACGATTTTGTGGGTCGGTGCATGTAGCTGTATCTGTATATATATATAAAATACATATGGATACATATCTGTGCGTGCACATGCACATGTCATATCCACCACATTTTCCCATTTGGATTGCCCTTGGCTGTCCTCAGGTGACCATGTACAATCACCAAACGCTGGAGACAATTAAGGCTGGCACTGCCGAAACACAGAGATGACCCACAGAAATATGGGGACGACGAGTAAACTGAGTATCCACCAACCAATGATTTCGCTGTAAAGATAAGCGTACCACAATTTTGACCCATAAATATGGATAGGATGTCAGCCATTGCCTGGTGAGTATGAAAGTCCCGGTGCCTCACCAATGGGAGGATGCCAGGAATCTGGGACCTCCAGATGATCCATGAAGTTATAACTCGATGGATTCAATGGATCATCATTTTCCAACATAATTTTTCATGCTATCAGATTTACAAGAGTTTCAATCTCAACCACCCATTCTGGCTCAACTTTTATATAGGTTGTTGTTTTTTCCAAATTTTGATGGAAGAACACAGTGTCCCACGACACATGATCAACTTTCTGTGAGATCTGGGTTTGTGCAACAGTAATTTACGGTACTGCAAAATCTTTTTTGGTTTGCAAAAAGATATCCTGGATATCCTCCATTCTTTCATGGCTACTATGGGCCATATCTTTCATGGTTTAATAATTTATATTCCATTATATCCCTGTGTATCCCAGAACTGGAAGGGACAGGCTTTCGCCTCATACCTGAGATCATTTTTCGAGGTGGTCAGGGACTTCATGCACGAATTCCAGCGGCTTGGCCTCGTTGCAACAAACCCTGGCTGACCTCACTTGGAAAAAAATGATGGTATGGATAGGGAACAACCCAAAACAGGCTCAATCATCCGAGGGTTTGTTTGGTCATTTGCCCAGATCCATGGGGGATGGGTAGGTCTCTTTTGCTATGGTTGTATTAATCTAAGGAGCGGTCGTGCATTCCACACCCCCAAGAATGGATTCGTGCATACCAAGTATAAAGACAACCTGAGGATACTGTTTCGGGTTCATAATTTTGAGCCAAAGCACTGAGATGGATTATGGTTCCTAGCCAATTACAGGCTCGGATGATAACCAATGTCCCGTGTCCTCTTCAATCTGTTGGCCAAATATCAGGCTTTTTGGGCCCTTTTCCATGGCGGAATTCGCAAGCCCAGATGGCCGGCTCCATGAGTTATACCCCCCAACTGCTAATTAACCAAGATCTTTGGATAATTTCTCGCTTCACCTGTTTGCTTTGTGTGGAAGCACATCAATTTTTCATTTGTGCAGCGACATGTGGCAGATTGCGGTATCAAAAAGAGAGCAAAACTCAGCAATAATAGATATATTTTGGACTTGAGTGATGTCTCTACACATTTTCTTCTGTCGCAAAAACTTCATTAGGTTGTCATTTAATTAAGGGCAACCTGGCTTAACTTTTCTCATAAATCTCAGGATTCTCAGGGATTATATACTGCCACTTTTCCCATCAAGGTCATAGCACGGGCCGTTTTTCACGGGGGTGAGTTGCTTCTTTTTAGGAAGGAGCACTTCGACCGGGACATGTACTCTTTTGAGATGCCCAAGGACGGCCATTGACCAGCCAAAAAAAAGGGGACAGCATCACATCCTGCAAAATGATGGCTTTGTTTGCCATAAATCATCAAACATGAAGGTCTCAACGAGTCCATGTTACATATAAACATATATATATATACATATCATATATATATATACACATACACAAAGGCGCTTACCTACATGAATATACATTTTCGTAAAAGCATCTGCTCCAAAAGACCAGTTGCTGTTCCCTGTCAATGCGGTCAGGACAACAGACCTGCAGCTATGGCGTGAGTCAGGTGGGTTACCATGAAGGGGGATGGGAGTTGATGTGGTAGAATCCTATGCAGAGTGGCATCCAGTGAGATTGTAGGAGATGTACGAAAATGCATATTGTTAATTTGTACCATATATACCACACATTTAACATTTGTGTAGATGCATGTGTACATAAACAGATGAGATAGATGAGTAAACAAGTAATTCCACAGACAAATCAAGGTGACACGGAAGCATTGAGTGAGATTACCAGGTCAAAGGTGTGACAGGCACCCCGGGCACCCTAGGCACCCTAGGCATGGCTTCCATCTGGAGGGTCACCTTTCTGGGTCCGAAAATGGGGGCAGCCTCAAGCCATCCACAAGTTGCCTGTTTCGTGTTAGGAAGGACCTAAGGACATGGAACCAATGGTTGGGATATTTCCTTTATAGACTCTTGCCTAGAGTCGCTGGTTGGTGTCGCCATCCCACAGGGGGAACACTTTTGAACAAGTAGATAGTCCTCGAGATATTGCTGTAAGATACTATAGTTTGAGATTTTGCGTAAGACTCAATTCCTGACTAAAGAAGGCAAGCTTGGTCTAATCAGCTGAAGAGTTTTAGCAAGTGATAAGTCACCATATCATAAACAATGTCTCTTGAGAGTGTTTGAGTCACTGATTTAGTTTTGTCCAAAAATGGTATACGGTGTATGTATATATATATAATATATATAATATATATATATGCGTATATATATATATATATACACACACATAGACATACACACATACAGTATACAGCCAAAAAGCCAATGGTCATGGGGAAATTATGTTCCAGGAGTGTTGGTACACTGTTCACAAGCTGTCAATCTTCGTCCTGGAAATACCTCAGTGCTTGACCTGCTGTCCTTGTTGAGGTGGCAGCGAGTGTGCCCCCTGTGCTGGGGACGGCAGGTCGCTGATGCTTTTTGCGCTGTGCACTTTCGGAGACAGAAATGAGGCACTTTTCTGATTTTGTGAAGCAACACATGACATGCAATTCCGAAATTTGAGGCAACACATATTTAATGCCATCGTCAAACCTGGGGATGTGTAGCAAAAACTGTCTAAACCGTCCAAGAGAAGCTTTGTGAGTTCGCTTTCTCTGCAACTGCACTACGGTAGTAGCAGAATTGGAACGAGCGGTGAAACACCGTGCACGCATCCATGTCGACCCATCATCATCCCCTCAGTGGGGATGGCAAAGCGTTTTCCTGGTGGCTTTGTTTCCATGTCCCCGAAACGCTTGAGGAATGACCAGAAAATGTACAAATAAATGATCAGCAAAATGGGGCTATGACCGGAAATAGGGAGTAAATCAATGTAAATCATGACTATCCGACTATCCTGTGCACATTAATTTATGTGACCTCCAAGGGTCCCGAGTCATCCACCATATCATGCTGTGTTCATGCTGTGGTAAAGGGAGTTGCACAAGACCTCCAAGGGGGTTTCTTTGACGGCCACCCGAAGATGGGAGGTTCACCAACAATACAAAAATGTGGATTCGCAACCAAAAGTTCCAGAAGGGTGATGTCAGCCAAGCAAAACAAAAGATACCCGCGATTCCCCAATTTTGGCGAAACTTTTCTTGAAGTGGTGGTTCAATATTCGTTGGGACTCGTTGGTTTCCTGCCAATAGGGGATTTTTTGTACAGGAGGAACCCCGCTTCATATCAAAGAGACTCAAAATCTGCTCTGGTCCATGGAAGCACCTCAAAATCTGAGAGGTGATTTCAAGGGTTGATCAGGGTGCTAGGTCTTACGGGTACAGCCAGCTCATTTCTAAGATAAACATCCCAAAATACTCTACTGCAATCTAATCTGCTGAGTTGTAGCATGTTCATGATAATACCAGGGATGATCAGGAGCCACTCAATGCAGCCAGCCACGGAAAAAGTGAAGATTTCAACTCCTCCCCAGCAGGCTTGCTGCTAGGGTGCCCGGTGATCTCGTGAATTTTACATAGTGCGAAACAGCGGATTTCGTAAAGTCGCTGTTCTCTTAAGCCATGCAGCTTGCAGTTCCCGTGGCTCCTACCGGGTCAGAGGTGTTTGCAAGGGATGCGAGCAGATTTCAGATGCTAACTATGGCGCTTTTCAATTCGCACCTCAAAAATCCCATTGGAATGGGGGATTGAACACAGCCATGCGAGCTATTTCGGTGTGAGCACCAGGGTGCATACCCATAGGATTGATCTGCACCCTCATGTACGGAAGAATGTGTTTGCAACTGATGAACACAGAGGAACCCAGAGTCTTCAAGCTTGGCCACCATGACTGACTCCTTCTGCAAGCTGCATGTGCCAGCGTGAACGCGCTGTTCACGAATCGCGGGACATCAAAAGGTCAAACAGTTGCAGTGTCATTTGTTTTTGAGGGTCAATTCAGTATCCACGAGTGAAATGGTTTACAAAAGACATGAACATCTCTGATTTGTAGGGCTGTTAGATTTACATTACCAATTTTGGTCTCCAAAAAATGGTGATGGATTGCCTCCTTCATTCGTACAATGGTCGGGACAAATTGCCTTCCTATTAAAATACAGCCCTCCCAGAGGCCTGGCTCAGGAGTTGATCTGTTTAGGGTCCCATTTAGGGAAGGTCTATGTGAATGTTGATTAAGGCGATGGGATCAATTTATGGCATATGGAAGATGTACTGGTTATATATATATATATAATTTTGTAATTGTTTTATAGGATATGAAGGGATATTTGCCAGGTTGTCCTTGCAGCAGAATACACCCATCATGCTGCCCAATTGTAGAATTGCATACCCCCTGCGAGATGGTTTTCCTCTTGAAAATTGTGGCGGATCTGGACACACCCCCATGTTCAGTTGACTAAAATCTACATTTTCAACTGGTTCACATCCAAATTTCTGTTGGTTGCACCGCAAAATTTACCGGATAAACTCCATGTTGAACTGGTGAACACATGGTGAATGGTTGAACTGATGAAGATGAGAATTCTTGGCCGAAGAATTGCAGTTTTTGAGTGGACAAATGCCACGTTTCTGCAACGCACTGAGGCCTCGCCCGGGCGCCGGCCGCAGGCCAGTAAGGCTTCCTCCTGGATCCGTGAGGCCTGGTTAAACTCGGTTGAATTTTGTTGGAGTGGAATCATTTCACCAAGTCAAACTCTTGATGGTTGTAGGACTTTAAGACCCACCTGAAAATATTTCAGGACAATTCCCATCATTTAACGGTACATATCAAAATTGAGACTGAAATGATCATAATGATCTGTGCTTTTTTTCAAAACGGGACTTTAATTTTGACCTATCCCCAGTGAGAAGTCCATTTGGCCATCGCTAGTCACAGGAGTTTGACACCGATCGCGCGGGGACCGTCACTGGGACGGTGCAGCCGGCTGGGGTCCCAGTGATGGGATCGACGTGAGATTTTGCGCAGAAACAGGCCATTGTTTCACAACAATTCCAAGGCGCAGGCAACATGCCTATTCCCTATCGATGGTGCCCAAGCAGTAAGCTCGTAAATTATATATATATATATCAATACATACATGAATAAATTTAAATGCATCAATGGATAAATGCAGAAGATGACAGGATTCCTGAGAAAGATCTTGGGTGTTTCACGAGCTCATTCCAGGGCGCGCTGCTGCCATCGGATGCTGCACCTGAACACTTCCGATTGTATGCTGCAGTGCAGAAGGAGTGGTTCCAGTGCCCCAGTGGTGGGGGGGTAGTATCCTGGAAGATTTGGGAAAATCTGATACTCAATCTTTAGATTTTTAGGGTGAAAAACACCTTGAAATGGATAGTAACGTTTTCCTTAAATCCAATAGGTCTGAGGTTGAACATGGATCCATACAGGCCGTGTCGTGGGGTCACCGGTCAAGCTTTGAGGCGCTGGGTGACCGTTCAGACGTGCTCACGTGTAGAGTTGTATGGTGTATAAACATGTCCGAACTTAAGTTCAATGCTACCCCATGTGTGAGCAATGGTCATTTCAGGGCATGGCCATCACAAAGTGTCTATGCGTATATTCTATTGCATGATTTAAATACCAATATCAGGAATCCCTTTGAGATAGTTGGCTGACGATCTCATTTTCGATGCCCATCAATGTTTCGGGGTAAGTGTCAGGGACCATTTCAGATTTTGCTTGTGAACCATGGGCTTACCAGAAACATTTTTTGTCATCAACCGGTTGATAGGACACAGTCATCAGGGGAACCACCATCATTTGTTTTGGTGCTTCAACTCCCCGTTACACATCTCCCACAATGCATAATTTCAGATCCTGTGGGTCCAGAATGGTACTCAAATGACATAGGATCCTAGTGGATCGGCCATGTGAATCGAAGGTACGATATCTACGCGCGCGTTTGCATGCTGCTGGGCTTCTCTTCGTTCGTGCAGGCGCTGTCCTTCTACGGCCGGGCACCTCATGAGGGTGACGGTGACCAGCTGATTTGGTGCAGTGGGAATCCCTGGAAATCCGTTATTTTGAGCCAGAATACTTATATCTATATATATATATATGTAAATGTATACGTATTAATTGTTGATATATGATATGTGTACTACTTTTATGTATACACATATGTATTACTTAGATACATATATTACTTATATATATACACATATATATATATATATACACATCATACAATACTAATTTAGTGGTCCGCTGATTTTTTATGCGACTTCTCCTTGACAACAAGCCCTTGTACCACGGATATCTCACGCGACCAAAAATCCAACCAATACCTACCATCACCATGGATTCCAACTTGTGTATATTACAATATATACGTATATATATATATATATCACACACACACATTTCGTGAGCTCTTACCCTTGTTTAAACGCATCATGGACCCAAACTTCCAGGACCCCTAGCCCCCATCGGATCCACCATTTTTCAAACGCTCAGCCAATGGCCACATTGTGGTGGAGTTGCGTGGCTTCTACGTGGCCCATGCGACTGCCTTTGTCTTGGAGGCCTCGGGCCGCAGCATCTTGTGTCGAGACCGGGTGTGGGGAAAGTTCTTTTTAGGCGGGATTCGAAGCACATAAAATGGGGAGTCGAAGTCACTAAAGTATACTAAAGTCACAAAACATGGGGATTCTAACTGGTGAACTTAAAAAATGGGTTTTGAAACAACACGACTGGAGATTTTATGTAACGAGCTGATCGACCAGATGGATGGGGTGAAGTAACTCCTGAGTGGTCTACAGGTCGGAGTCCCAGCATTCCCTGCCAAGGTCACTTGAGCACCAACAGCCCTGTTGCTTATATAGGGAAAAGTTGGATAATTATACTATATTAAAAAAAAATTAACAGTTTAACATAAAAAAAACATCACCTTCCCTGGATGCAAGACCCCATGCTCCCATATTCTCCTATTGTTTCATGGCGGGAACCATCCGCTCTCCAACAGGTGCTTCACGTCTTGCTGCTCCGCTTCGACGTCATCCAGGGACGTGTGAAGCGCCTTGGCAACCGGGTTTTTTAGGATTTTGTGGCGGTGACATATATGTTATATATGTCTAGCGATATCGGGATACTCTATGATAATCACACATGGCAATGTAAGCTTACTAGTTTGTAGATGATTTAATGTCAAAATTCGCGATTTTTATTGTCCAGGTTGAATACTGGTGGGCATATGCACATGAATATCTGGTAAACGAATACAAACCCCGACATATAATGAAACGACTATGACTAAACCAAATGGAGGATTGAATCTCCACCCAGAGTGGGGATTTAACTGACTAAATGCAATGGGTGATATCACAAGCATGATGAGCGAAAATTGGGGAGATAAGAGGATGTATAATCACAGTACCAATGACATCTCTTGATATAACCAAGATAGGGCATGGGTGATGCCATCGAGGGTACCCAGAAACGACCTGAAGCTTTGACTGTTGTCCACAAGTGGTGTTTCCAAATGTGTCCACGACTGTCTTCAATACGCTCTCTCCTGCATGCTGATCCCAGTACAGTCCTGTCCCCCACTACTCAAAGAACGGTTAGATTGCCCTTTGCTGTTAGTTGCAAGCCCATTTGGAGTCGTTTAAGTCCGCATTCTTGGTGGTAAAACTCCACAAGGGTACCAGTAGTCCTTAATTGGCTACACCTGGTCTTGCCTAGATCAAATAATTGCACAAGTTCTTCTCCATTTGGTTGGTTGGTGGAACTTGCGGCAACCTCGAGTGATGGCACCCCCATAGTCCGTTCCCCAATACTTGACAGCTCAATATCCCATTGCTACATATTGAATCATATTGAATTTATTAAATCATATTGATACCTCATAAATCATCCCATACCGTACCATACCCTCTCGGAATCCAACCTGACAATGGACTATCTCAACTGTCCCACCAGTCCCACCAGTCCCACCAGTCCCACTCGTCTATCTCCATCTCCATTTGTAGCCGCTCAGGTCGACCGACCGTACCCCCGCCTGGTTCCTGTGGTTGGGCCCCGCCTCGGTCTTCTTCGCAACGGTGGGCATGGGATGCCCAGGGATCCGAGGCGGATGGCCAGTCGCACATTGGTTGATTTGGTTGATGAAATTTAGAGTATATACTGAACAAAACATGTATATATAATTATACAATATATATATATATACATATATTGTGGACTTACATTGGAGTATATTGGAGTCATAATGGCAAAATGTTGGTTACACCCCAATGAAAACAAGCAGGGGTGTATTAATCCAGAGGTCATTTGTTCTGGCGTTGAAATCCCTTTTTGGCAGGCAAACGATCCATGGTTGGTTGTATGATTACTGCCTTCCCCCGAAACAAAATGAACGCCCACCCCACACACCTAAGCGGAATGTGTTGGATTTGATTTGCGGAGATTGGAGTAAATGATGTGAATCGATGGGAATTCGAGACGTGGAACTATGAAAAAGGTTTGCGAAGAGAAGTCCAGGATTTTTCATCCATACCAAGTCTGACATTGACCAAAATATACTTCTGCCAAAGTCTTAGCCAAGAATTGGATATTCCTATTTTACCAGATCTGGCCAACGAAAACATGGGACATCAATTTTAAAGAATTGAAGCCCAGTTGCTACAGATGGACAGGCTCTTACGGTTGTAATCCCATCCCATTTTGGCTGGTTCCAAGACCTGCTGCTACACCAATACAATGTCATTTTTGGATACTTATTCTGGTATATACGGTACATAATCTGTTGCATGCCAAATTTCGACCAATTGATTTTATGATATCCCCATTAACATGAAGCCCTATTTTCTGATGGGAACTCAATCAAACCCTCCAACTCTGCTGAGGAATGTCCCTGGACTTTCACGTGCACTTCAGCATTGTGGTGGTCATTTTCACCTGGTGAGCACCTCATGGGACTGTTTGGAACAACAGAATTCTGATTCCATTGAATTGGGTATGGATCAATACCTATTAATACCATTTTTAGGGGGATGAACATCCATTTACCAGCTATTTTGATGTTCACCAGGTACAAGGTTTTGACACACTGCCAATTATTACCATTTAATATGTTTTTTTGTCCAAAAATGTGTCAAACTGAAGAATTGGGCACCAATCTTCCAGTGGATTTCTTTTCCTTCGCAAACTTTTTTTTTGTGGTTCGGATGAACTGGAGCAATCTCAAGCATTGACTAATGAAATGTGCACTGATGGATTACCCTCTGGTAAACTAACATAGCTATGGAAAATCACCATTTTTAATGGGAAAACTCACTATAAATGGCCATTTTCAATGGCTATGTTAAATTACCAGAGGGTAAGGGATATTAAGGGTCAAATCCCCATTTTTGAGCCTCTAAATCCCCACTGATCCCCACCCTGGAATAGTTAGATTCCACTTAAATCTGACTTGTTTGAATGGTCAACTCCTCATATCTTGTTGGGTATCCAAGCTTAGACATTTTGAGGCCGGAGAGTGGCATCGTTTGGGAGACCCCAACGAATGATCCCAATCAACTTACAGAGAGTTGCTAAAGTCGTGCCTAGATTAGTGGGAATCGTTGAAAATAGCTTCGGAGCACTTGATTTTGAAAAGTCGTGCCTTTTTGTGAAACGCATAGGAAATGCATGATTTTCTGGTTTTCATGATCGGATCCATGATTTTATATAAATCCTGCATTCAGTTGGTGTTCAGGCTACTATTTTTGAAACTCAAAAACCCAACACTTCCTACAGGCTACTATTTTTGAAACTTCCGCCACCGCCTTGTGCGGTACTACTGGTATCAGTTAATCAAAATGAAGCAAAGGTTTCTGCTGCATTTAGATGGTGATTTGGGTTGCGGGCATGACATAGGCATGACTTCCTGGAAATTGCATTTAGATGGGGGAAAGCAGATTTTCAGCACACAGGCGTGACTTAGGCATGAGTTTCGCGCTTTCCTGTAATTGCCCACAGTTCGGGGTACTTATAGTTTATGATGCATGAACATATCTGGCATATCAATTTTTTGGAGGTGATCTAACCTATCTATCTATTCTATCTAATCTATCTAATCTATCTATATAATCTATCTAATTTGTCTATCCATCCAGCTATCTCTCTCTCTCTATCTATCTATCTGTCTATCTATCTGTCTATCTATCTGTCTATCTATCTGTTTACCTATCTGTCTATCTATCTATCTGTCTGTCTGTCTATCTATCTATCTATCTTACTTATCTATGTATCTATGTATCTATCCTATCTATCTATGCCCATTTTTTTGAGGAACCCCCCAGTGAGATTGTCTAAGGTGTTGGAACATGGGGGCCAAACATTGATTTCCATAATCTCGGGGAGCTACCAATGGTCTAACCATCCTTTTGTTGGCTTTATATCTTTGTTGGAACTCTGTTTTTTTTTCAAGATCCCAATCTGACATCTGCATCTAGTCAGGCCCTTTTTGGGTGTTTCAAATCTTCACTTTTTGTGCGCCAAAGCCTCGTTTGAGTGCCTCAACCCCTAACATTTTATTGCTTCAAGTTCCAGTAGACCGCTCGTTTTGTTCAGGATTTGCATCTTTGCCGCCTACATTTGTCAGTTCCTTTGCCCCAGAGGGAGACCGGGCAGGGTGGCAACCGGGAGGGTGGACGTCCAGGTGGGGTGTGAGGAGATGATGAAGGGAATGTCATGAAATTCCACATTTGTTTGATCGCAAAGGCTACGGCTATGGTTTTGGTCTGAATCTTCCTTTTCCTATTAAAACAACCGAATGATGTTCCTCTCTGTTTTTGGCAACTTAGTTGCCACTGCCATGATCTGCTGATCTGGTTATATTCTCTAACAGATCATGTCCCCAGTCTGTGTTGATCAAAGATGTAGCCTCTGGGAATCTCGCCTGGCACTGGACATTTCCCCCTTAACATGGTGATTTTGAGAGGTTTGTTTACCGAAGAGTCACCATGTGGTGATGTCCCGTCACTTGGATGTGCAGGAAGATTTTCTAAATGGCCACGGCTCCAAATCTTTGATACTCTTATCTTGTTGTTGCTGTTCATGTTCTTTTTCTTAGTATATATAGCAGTATATATATACACACCCATTTCTGACTATGTTATTCTTATCATTACAAATCATTATCGCCACCATCATTCTTTTGATCAATTTGTTTGTTTGTTGTTGTTGTTGTTGTGGTTGTTGTTGTTGTCGTTATCGTTACCCACCTGTGACACCTCAGATTCCCCCCGTGTCCCTTTTTTGTCTCTCAGAGCCTCCTGTGTCGGGCCTTGTCTCAGGTTCTGCTATCAGCTGCGCATTTTGGAGGTGATCTTGCCCGATGACGTCCGCAACCCCCTGAAGTTTGGGCCTCTGGCTGTGGGTCAAGGGAGGTGACCAGGTTAGTTTGTTGTTGAAAATCTACAGTAAACCATTTTCTTAGGCCAAATAAAGGGGTGACACCTTTAAATTGAATCATCTAAGTGGATCTAAGTGGATTCTTGGATGTGGATCACAGGTGACAACTGGATGGGCAAACCAACTGTGGCTATGAATAACTGCTCTGCACCAAGAGCGGATGAGATGAGCTGACAGGATTCTGGGGCTGTTTGACCACGATATGGCAAAAGATTGGGCACCCGCAACATTGGTTTCCATACCCGTATACGGCTCCATACTATTGCCCCAAAAGGATGCTTTAATAGAAACAAAGACACCATGACCAATTTTGTCGGTACATGGGTACCCATAGCCATACTGCAATAGGGGGTGGACATCCATTTGCTGAAATTGTTGAAATTGCCCTAATGGGAGGACCATATCCATCGGCCAGAATTTTCTTGAATTCCACGGGTTGACAAGTCAATCTGCATGCAGTCTCGATTGGCCTGCCCTGGACCTTTGCCACAAATTGTGGCAATAAGCTTAAACTATGCCCTCTAATTTGACCGCACACTCTTCGCAGCAGCAGCACATATATATATAATATAATATTATATATATATATGTATGTATATATCCAGCATGCAAGACGTCGACTTGACAAGAGCTTGCTGAATGGACTTATAGATGTCCTTTTGCCAGTGACTGCCAGTGGTTAGATGACACAAATAGAAGGGCCCTCGTCACAACCATTCTGAGAGAAATGCGGCTAAAGTTGTGTACCAATCTCTGGCCATTTTCCCCATTTTTCAAATGTTTTTCCACATCATTGGTGTTGGTTATACCGCCACACTTGTTTTTGGTGAGTTGACATTGAGTCTCATTGATGAACTCCCTTATTTTGGTGGGTGAAACCCACATTTTAGATGCACTCCTCAGTTGTTGTTGGACCAAGAAATATCTCCCCAGATGTTTTTGCCTTTTCACCTTTTCCTCCCTGGCCATGTCCTTTCCGGCATCCTGCAGGCGTGACCCTCGTAAAATTCCATATACTGAGGTATGCCAAGTTGATATGGGTATAACTTTCCGCAATGTTTCTCACCTAAAGTTTCCCCGTCCCATGGGCTTTACCATGCTACAAATGCATTGTTTGATATTATACATGTATATATATATATATCTCTCTCTCTCTCCCTATTTTTCGGAGGATCGAAGAGTCCATCGGCGATGCCTGGTGGCCCTCCTCCTGGCGTTGCCCCAGCGCCTTCGCGCACGTCCTGTACTTCGTGGCGCCGCCCTCGCGGCTGCAACCGGGGCAGTTCGACCTCATGCGCGAGGCGGAGGGGATAGGGATTGGGATGATGGGGATGGGGATGGGGATGGAACCAGTAAACTTATTTTGAAACTGGGAGGGAAGTGTTGAAAGTATGTGGAGATGATGTTTAGGAAGTGGTTGATTTCAACATACTACAATTTGATTTGTTCTCCGAGTTTTCAGGATAACCCAGTTGCTGCAGATTTACCAGCTTCAGGATCATGCAAGGGGGTGTGGGGTGTGCGGGATCGATAGTGGTAGGTTTTGGCCACCATGCAGCTGCCAAACACCAGTCAAGAGTAGTTCTTTCATTGGTTTCTCCTCGTTGTTGCCGGCTAAAACCCTTGTCTTTTCCGTTAAAGCTCACTTTCCAGGCCCCGTATTGCTGCTGACGGTCTATAGATTTCTACGGACCCACTCGAAATTCCGTCAAAGGTTCGCAAATGGACAGTTGACAAATCACTCAAGAAGGTGCAGTTACGTTACACATTATGAACCCTCTACCAAAATTTTACTTGCAGTTTACAAGCGAGAATCGTCTGAAAGCCAGTTCCTGATCTGCATCAAGCATCATCCTGCCTCTAGAACATGTGCAACACCGCACCTGAAGTTGCCAGAAATTCCATCAGGTGAAGGAGGGAGCATCTGGAAATGCCTTTGAGCAAGCCGGTCTCCCCATGATGGAATCCAAGCCTGTTGATACCAGCCAGGAACCTCAGGAATTGGTTGGGAGGTGCAGGGAGAAAAAGTTGCCCAAATGTCGAGTTTTCTTTGGCTGGTTGATTCAAAAGCTATCCGTAGATACTTTCTTTTGCCTTGTTGATCTTTTTGGTTCAAACAATTCACATTTTTGATAAGTAGTGAAGATTGCCAACCAGAAGCCATTGGGTTCTAATCCCCTTGTTGCTTTACAGATTCAACACCGCTCGTAGAGGCGATGCCAACCCCGGCATGTCTGCAGAGGAGATTGCGATGCAGGCGATTGGCCAGTATTTCTTACCAGGGTCATCTTCCATTTTTTTATTTGGAGCCTATATATTATATCAAACATATTTAAACCATGCTCCAAAATTGGGGTTTCTTCTTGGGTCTAGCTGTAGCCTTGTAACCTTTTGGCGGCTCACCTCCATTTCATGCTGTTTTGAACCATCGGCTCTACCGCTGACCAACATTGCGGTGCAAGGTGCAGTATTTGGACCGCCTTTTTGACTACTTCCAGTGCCAAGCTGAGGGCTCTCAGAGTGAATGACCTGAATGACCATCGTTCAAGCCCTTCAATTTCGTTCAATGATATCTGCCCGAGTCCTATTGATCAATGGATTGACTTTCCGGGGAATATTTTTCAGGTAATCCCCAATTATGCACGGGCCTTTCCTGGATATTTTTCTTCAAACCGCTTCTGGAAGATTATCTAGAACCGCTTCGTTTGATTTGCTCCGTTGAATTATTCTGAGGTCCGATCAGGTTGATGCTGCGCTGTCAGAGACCAACAAGCAACGTGTCAAGGATGAGCTCGGACAAACCTGGATTAATGATAAGATCCTGCTAAATTCGGGGCTTCTCACCAAAAAGTGATCAATGGCCACTCAAGAGGACCACGCCGAATTAGGCAACCCCGGGGTCTACCATTCATCTGGGGTTGGCATTGTTACGGAAATGACGGCCTTGGAAAGCAGTGGAAGAATAGATGTCCTTTTCTCACTGGAAGGTTGATGTAAAGAAAGGGGCAACTCAGCAACTCCCATTTTTCAAAACGATTCTGGGTAAATCCAAATTTTTGTTTCGCACTGGCAATTTTTTTCTGAATCTCTTGCGACATCATTGGTTCCACAGCGCCCCAGGACCTCTATGGAGACTTCTCGCAAGCACGCCGAAAGGGAAGTGGACCAGAGGTGCTCGGGACCGCTCGGGACCGCTCGGGACCAGGGGTGGATGGAGCTTCGCAGCTCAGCTCGTTGCTGGTTGTCCGATGTGACAGGCGCTACGCACCTTCCAAGAGTGTCTCATGGCATTGGAGGGCATCATGGTGGCTGAGGGCATGAAACATGAGGGAGGCCGGGAGGGTCCCAGTTCAGGTTGGTGGGTGGGTGGAAATGGATTTTAATTGCCATTGGAAATAAGACACTTGGGAGAGTGAAATTGCGATTGCAATATAATGATATGGGCTCCGGACTGTAATAATACTTGATAGTGTTGGAATGCAGGTGGGACTTGCAAAGTTATTTCAACCTACTGCTTTGGCATGCTTTCGTTGCTGCTTCTCTTGACTGAACCCAGGTTGACGTTGAACATGTTCGGTTTCTGCTTGGTTCCAGCCCCTGTCGCCAAATTGCTTGTAGCCTCATGTTTCTTCGTACTAGCCCCGTTGTTGCTTAAGTTATATACCAATTCGAACTGGGTCAATCCGCCTGTGTCCTTTCAGCATCTTTTCCTGCCCATTTGTCTCATTCCCAGTTGTTGCCAGCTATGGCCCGTGATCCGCAGAACCCAGCACCACCGATGCCGGCTACACATCTGCCAGTCCACATCTGAGACATGTTGGAGATGCCATTGATTGAACGGCTTGAATGACCGGGAATCACTTGGTATAAATGGACATAGTAGTAAGATACCATACAGGTTTAAGATGCTCTTATCTATGAAGGGGATGATATCTTTTTCTAACCAACTGTTCCTAGAATTGGTTCAAGGTAAATTCATTGGAGCTCCCTTTGTTTGATGGCAGTTTCCACTAGAAAAAACTGGGTGAGTAAGACTCAACTCCACCACCAAAAGAGATAGCCAGTCAGTGCAAGCAACCCAAAATCACCTGATTTCAGGTGGGTTCAATTACCCTCTGGTAAACTAACATAGCTATGGAAAATCACCATTTTCAATGGGTAAATCCACTATAAATGGTCATTTTCAACAGCTATGTTAGTTTACCAGAGGGTATTTTTACTAATTATACAATTATACTTCATCCAGATCAAACCAAGTTCGTTCACTCGGTGGCTATTTCAGATAGAATGGAGGCTATGCCACATAAGGTGGATCTTTTTCGCGGTTGTTGTTCTGGGAACTATGCCTTACACATACACCACAACACTGGTTAGGTACCTCCATAGTTGTCAGGTTCTTGACATTGTCCTTTGCATTTTGTAGATCCCTGATCCCAGTGTTTGATAGCTAAAATCCTTTTTGCGGCGGCTTAAACTCCGAGTCTGGTGGATGAACATTTGCATCTTGGTGGATCAAAGTCAAAATCCACGATATGTGGTGGTTAAACTATGTTAAACTTCTATCATGATCTGAATTCACACATTGTGGCTGGTCAAAGTCCCCGTTTTCGTGGGTTAACCGATTAACCTTGCCGAGGGACCTCGCCCATGACCTGCCCGAGGTCAGATGAGTTCCGGCAGTTCAGGCAGTGATGGTGAGGAAGGCAAAGGTCAGTGAGCTCAGGCTGCTTCAAAGCGCACTGGTGTGAGCTGGGTCAAGGTCAACAAAGAAAAGTAGATAGCCTTAGATAGCTAAACAGAAACGGGTAGGATTTCAGCAACAACCTTTTAGCATGTGGTAGCAACATTGGTGATACAAGCGAGACATATGGGGATTGAAACCAGAAATCGTGGCTATCGTCCCCGCAGTTTATAATGGTCTTTAAACAACGGAGTTTGGGGTTGCAACCGACAGACGTAGCCATCCGAAGATTGGGCAGATTGAGATATAGACAACGAAATGGGTATATAGCCATCAAATGATGATACTAGATATGGGGATTGGCGAATGTTTATGTTCATTTATTCATGAGAGAAAAAAGGGAGGTACTTGGATTCGACTTGGATACCTAAATTTGATCTATACTACCACTTGGGTGACTATCCCGATCAATAAAGCATCATGCACAAAGCCTGGTATCCAAGGAGTGACTCCCACAACTCCCCTACTTAAAGGAGCTGAGAAACCACAGATATGAGTACACAAGGTGAGCCTCCCAAATGTAAGTCGGTCTATATAAACTAACTTGTGGGGATACCCATTATATTCCATACATTTCCATATTCCACCGCATCCACAGTGCCATAGTATATCATAAACCCATCTGATAGCCTAGCTTTGAACCAACTTACGTATTTGGGCACCCCCACCTTGCATTTCTTGTGTTGATTTCTTGCCGAAGAGGGTTTCTGGGACTTGCCGAAGTGAGGTGAATATTCCTGGGATGGCCGCCGCTTGTGGAAGACTGAAGTCCCTGGGCGTTTTTTCGACGTTTTTTTCTACGTGTAGATGGGCACCTGGGGATCGTAAGCTTCAGATATTCACTGACCACAGAAGTCACAAGTCACTAGGTATAAACCTGGGCAGTTGAAGCAACGGAAATTGTGACATAACTTGACATAATCAGGAAATTTATCACGACACCTCGTTCAGAACTAGGCTTTGTTTTCCCAGATGTGATTGGAAATGCCCTTTGAATCTGGGACTTGCTATCTGACCACTTCTGATTCCTGGGACGCCATTCAAGTTGGGCCCCACAGAAGTGGGCTGTTCACACGAAGACTTTGGCCCAGTTCCACCAGACACTCATGAGAGAACTGAGAAGCCCAAATGATGGAGTTGGAACCTGATTTTCTTTCTGACACGATCACTTTGGTGGGGTTCCGACTGAATTTTCTGGCTATTTTCCCATATTTTTCACCACTCAACATTACTTAACCACATTTTTCTGCAAAAAGTTCCACTGTAAGAGATGCCATGGCGTCAGGTGCGCCTCTTCTCAAAGAAGGGCAATGTGGAACCCTGGCAGTTGGCACGGGATGCCCAGAGGACTCAGGACTGTGTGGTTCTTTCAAGGGTCATGTGGTAAATCCAATTCTTGAAAAAGTGATGTTGTGATATTTTATGATATGATGATCTGTATGTATGTGTGTATGTATATGTACACACGCCCACGGGTTTAAAGAGTAACCCCCATGATCTTTTTATACTCCCTCAGTGTTTTGGCTTCAGCTGCATGGCCTGCTCTGACTGCAGGGTATTCTTAGGGAACCCTGTTTGCGGAGCGTGCCGTGCTGGGGCACGCATTGTGGGAATCCTACGCTCTGGCCGGCTCCCTGTCTCCGAAGAGAAGCGGGTAGTCGCGCTTTTGCGTGGGGCTGCGGGGGAACTCTCCGATTTGTTGGAGGGATCTCTCCCGGAAGGTGGGGCCAAGGAGGCAGAGGCCACACCTACCCAGGGGGAAACGCCTGGCTCTACCCCCGAGCCGATCGTAAAGAAGGCTGCCAAGGAGGAGAAAGAGGGCAGTGAATACAGTTATACAGAGGGTGAAGAAGAGGAGGAACCTAAGGTCAAGGATTCTCCTGGTGGTGAGGCAGCTTCTACAACCGACAGCATCAAGCAGAAAGAAGACGTCGAGCCCAAGGAGAGTGAGAAGGAGCCAGCCTCCAGCCATCGGGAGGGAGAGCCCGTCAAAAAGGATCCTCCCAAGAGAACGTATCCCAACTTTGACCCGCATTATCTCACCAAGAGGTTGCAACTCTTCCCCTGTGGAAAAGCGAGTGCCAGAGGCAGGCAGCCCGCTGTGGAGCCTACCAGAAGAGAGGAGAGAGGAGAAGTGTCGAGGAGAGACCGTAGCAGAGAAAGCGACAGGAGTCCTCGCCCTGGAAGAGGGCCTTCTTCACCAGACAGGCCTCCGCTTGAGCGCAGGCGGCAGCCCCGCAAGAAGCAGACAGCACAGAAAAAGAAGAAGAAAAACAACAAGGGCTGCAAGCGACGCGAGAGAGGTCGCGAGTTCAAGGTTTGGAGAGACAGTAAGAAGCCTGCCTGGCACGGGAGGTGGTGATCATGCCTCCCAAGGCCAAGGCGAAGGCTGCGGCCGTGTTACGTCGTCCGGCAGGGCACCCACGGGTGGGCGCTCTCCGCAGGCCAGCCGGGAGGGGCGAGGTGCGCTCTCCCTGGGCCCAAGGATTGGAGCAGGAGCTGTGGAAAGTGAGTCCCACGGAGCTGGGTCCCGGCTCCTTGTTGGCCATCACGGAGGCCGACTACTTTGGTGCCCCGGTGAAGTTTGCAGGAGAAGTGACCCAACTGGTAATCGAACATGGGGAGAGCACGGTGCTTATGAAAGCACTTGGCACCGATCACGAAGGCCTTCTCAGAGCCCACAGTGCCGGGCCACTCCATTTGTTCAAGGGTCACATTTGCCCGCCAGGGTGTGGGAAGCTGACCAGCGGCGAGTACTTGATACATTGTGTCAAGGGGCGTCGTCTGAACAAGGAACAGGAGGAAGGCTGGACAAGCAACCTGGAGGGCCACCGCCCTCCAGCCGAAGAAGGAGACGAGATGGCCGAGTTGAGAGAGAGGTCCCATCGACTAAGGGGAGGCGATCCGGGAGGGGGATCTACTATGAGGCAAGGCGAGGTCCCTCCCCCAGGGAGGCTAGAAGCAGAGGCATTAGTCGACAAGAAGAGAAAGAAGAAGGACAAAAAAGAGAAAAAGCGGACCAAGGAGATTTCCGAGGGGAGGCACCCAGCGGTGGCAGCGCAGAAAGAGCTGAGGGACCTCTATGCCGGAACCGCACTGGATCCGAAGGAGAGGATTCGGCGAAGAATTCTGGGGAAGGCCCAGAAGTTTGCAGCCCGCAAGAAGCCCAGGTCAAGCAGCGGGTCTTCAGGGAGTTCGAGCTCCTCAACCAGCCCTACAGTGGAGGGGTTTCGGGGATTGGAGTCGGTGTTTGCAGAGGGGAACAAGGTACGTGCGCTGGCGGAGCGCTTCCCAGGCGCCTTGACCCTGGAGGCCGTTACAGCCATGCGTCAGGCGCTGCTGACGACCTCCGGCGAGGAGTTGGACGATACCGGGGTGAAACCGGTCGCCCTCCTTTACTACCGGAGCGTCCTCTGCCGCCGGGCCACGGGGGCCCAAAGCAGGGAGATGTTAAATCTAGCAGCAGCGTTGGATCATCTCCTTCGCGGGAGAGTGGTGTGTGCAGCAGACATCATCTCCCAGAGGCTAAAGGCCCAGGAGGCGGTGACGCAGGGCACAAGCTGGAGTGTAGCGCTCAGGATGGAGGTGCCACCTCCAGAGAGCGGCAGCCTTGTCAGCAGAGCCGAACTACAACAAGCCCGGCGCGAGGATTACAGCGAAGCCCAAGCCCGGTGGAGGACTCAAGCGAACAGTGGGTCAAAGGGAGATGGAAAGGGCAAGGGCAAGAATCAGAAAGGACACCAAGAACCTTGGAAGAAGGACGAGAAAAAAGAGGAGGCCAGGAAGGGGAAAGGATCGGAGAGAAAGTGAAGATCACTCCCAGGTCAGAGGATCTGTGCGGGAGTGCGTCGTGGCCTATGGGTTCTTCTCCCAAGGTGAATGCGGGAGACATACCTAATGCCAGCAACACCGAGTGCGGCCATGGCCCTTTGAAAAGCACAGGCCACATTGGTCTTTTGGAGGAGGTGGCACCGCAGAATCAGTGCTTTTCACCTCCTATACCTTTTCCACCGGAACCCCCTAAGTTTCTTCAGGGTGGTTTGCAGAATGGCGACACGCCAAACAATAGTTTTTCCATTGATACGGATGGGACTGGCCATGTTTCATCAGGTGACCGCGAGACCTTGTCCGTCAAGCGGAAAAAAGGGGATCTCGGTGACCTCGTTGGCTTGAGGGTTTTTGATTTAGGGTCCAGGGTCTACCAGCTACTTTTAGGAGTTTTACCACTCCGCAGCACGCCCATGGGCGATCGTGGAGGAAAGGACCTCTTCCCGTTGCCCACTTCTGAAAGTAGTTTGAGTAGAATCCTGACCCGTCTTGATCAGCAGAGCCTTGGTTGGGTCCAGGCTATGTGTGTGGCGTTGAACTCACTTTGGGGGGGCGACCTCCAGTTTTGTGGTGAAGTGGGACCAGTAGGGATTGCCTGTTTGAGGCGGTTGGAGAAAGAGGTTTTACGGCTTCAGGGGATGACTGGCACCTTGGAAGATTTTTCCTGGCGGGAATTCTTTTCTACGCGTAGCATAGACTACAAAGGTGATGAAGTTAAGTCTGCTCGTAGTTTTTCTTGGGAAAACATCAGACACGCCCTGCCGACCCAAATTGGGGTGGTGCCCCTGGAGGAGGTGTGCACTCTGGGCGCCCACCACTACGTAACACACTTTGACTCCTACATCAAGGACCCAGGTTCTTGGGTTCTGGCCAAGGCCCCAAGGGTCATGGTCCCTGACAGCTCGTGGGCTGAGGTATGTGAGGGCCTCATTCAGTCAGGAGTGTGCACCTTGCTCCCAGTTGAGGAGGTCTTTCACACCACCCAAGGGCCACTCCTGAATGGTCTTTTTGGAGTTTCAAAGGAGGAATGGGTGGGGAATACAGAGGTGTTCCGCCTAATCATGAACCTCATTCCTCTTAACCGTCTTGCTTTTCCTTTGAGGGGTGACGTGGAAACGTTGCCAATGTGGAGTCTTATGAATCCATTTTTTCTGCAACCAGGGGACAACTTATTGGTGTCTAGTGAAGATGTTCGCTGTTTCTCTACACCATGTCGATACCTGAACCCTGGCAAAAATATTTGGCATTCAACAAAAAGGTTCCCGACACCTGCCTCCCTGAGCACCTTCGAGGTCGGGAGGTCTATCTGGCCTCACGGGTACTCCCGATGGGGTTTTTAAATTCGGTGTCACTGGCACAACACGTACACCGCAACCTTACCCTGTGGAGCAGCCGGCAGGGGCCCGATGATGTTGAGGTCAATCCTCCAGAAGGTGAAATCCGTAAGGATAGGGCACTTACAGTGAGCAACCCTGCCTGGAGGATTTATCTTGACAACTACGACCTGCTGGAGCGGGTGTCGGCCCTAGGTGTCGGTTCTCTGGAGGGAACCTTAGCTCCTGGGGTGCTTGCATTACGACAGGAGTACGAGGTCTGGGAGGTGCCCCGGAACCTCAAGAAATCCGTCAGCAGGCAACTCCATGCTGAAGTGCAGGGAGCACAAGTAAATGGCGTTCAAGGCGTCGCATATCCTCGAGAGTCAAAGCTGCTCAAATACCTGGGAGCCGCACTTTGCTTGGTTCGTCAGCGATTTGTTTCTCAAAAGCAGCTGCAAGTGGTTTGCGGCGGCCTGGTGTACTTCTCCATGTTCCGACGTCCATTGCTTGGCTGTTTAAATTCCATCTGGAGGTTTGTGGAGTCTTTCAATCATACGGGTTCACACCTCCAAGTCTTTCCGGACGAGTGCAAGGGTGAAATGATGAAGCTAGTTAGCCTAATACCTCTCGCACGCCTTGACTTTCGTCTTCCATTCCACGAACAGGTTACATGCAGCGACGCTTCATCCACAGGAGGTGGTATTTGTGCCTCCTTGGGGGTGTCTCGATGGGGAGCGGTGGTTGCCGGCGGGAGCCTCCGTGGGGAACTCCCTGAGTTGCGGCAGGAGCACCAGGTTGTCACCATCGGCCTGTTTGACGGGATTGGTGCGTTACGCGTTGCTGCAGACCTTTTGGGACTACAAGTGTTAGGGCATGTGAGTGTGGTCGAGATTCCCATGTGCAGAGGGTGGTAGAGTCTCACTTTCCGGAGGTCCTGCAAGTCTCCGATGTACAAGATGTAGATGAGGATATGGTGCGGGAGTGGGCACGTTCCTACTCCCAGGCTTCGGTGGTCCTGATTGGTGCAGGGCCGCCCTGTCAGGGTGTTAGTGGGCTCAACTCTGACAGGAAAGGAGCGCTGAAGGACGAAAGGTCCAGGCTTTTTGTTCACGTGCCCCGCATCACAGAGCTGGTTCGTCGGGTTTTTGTTTGGTGCCAGGTCCACACCCTCATGGAGAGTGTGGCATCCATGGATGATGCCGATCGCAACCAGATGTCCCAGGCAATGGGAATCGAACCCTGGAGGTGTGACGCAGGAACCATGACCTGGTGTCACCGCCCCCGCCTATATTGGTTGACTTGGGAGCTGACTGGAATGGAGGGTGCCGTGCTCCACAGCAGCCGTGATCCTCGTGAAGTGTGCCTACACGCAAATCAGGACCTGGAATCGGTATGTCAGGAGGGGTGGATTAAGATTGACCCTACACGTGCGTTTCCCACTTTCACTACTTCCAGACCGCGTGACCAGCCTGGGCGCAAGCCAGCGGGTCTGAGTCAGTGCACTGAGGAGGAACTGGGTCGATGGAAGGCGGATCTCCATCGGTTTCCTCCTTATCAATATGCCAACCACAACCTGCTGGTTGGCACCAACAACCAGGTCAGGATGCCATCAGTTGAGGAAAAGGAATACTGCATGAGTTTTCCAGTGGGATACACAGCAAACTGTGTCATCAAGAGGGAGCGCACCAATACCACTCAACACAAAGACATCAGACATTCTCTCATTGGGAACAGCTGGTCTGTTCCGGTGGTGGCCTGGTTGCTCTCCCAGTTGTTTGGGCGGCTTGGCCTATGCCCCCTGTACAATCCACAAGAGCTGGTGGACATGTTGGCTCCTGCTGGGCAGACGTTCTTGCAATCACGGCTCTGGAGGGCTCCCTTGCGGCCAATGAGGGGCTCTCCTGTCGACCTTTCAGTCTCCTTGGTTCAGAAGCTGGCCAATCTCGTCAGTGTCAAAGGGGAGGATCTCTTGCTCACCACACCCTCCAGCCAGCTCTGTAAATACCATCGCCTTCGTGCCTCCATTCCGTCGCGCCTGTGGAAGTGGCGCATTGTGACGGGCTGGCGTTGGCGTGGATCGAAGGAACACATCAACGCACTCGAGTTACGGGCTGTACTGACCACCCTCAAATGGCGGTTACAACACCGCCGCCATGGGGGTCACCGCTTCTTGCATCTGGTGGACTCGTTGGTGGTCCTCCATTGTCTCAGCCGCGGGCGGTCTAGCAGCCGCAAGCTGCGACCCACGCTGTCAAAAATTAATGCTCTCTTATTGTGTACGGCTTCCCAACCCCTCTGGGGGTATATTCATACAGACCTGAACCCCGCCGACAAGCCCAGTCGGTGGGGTCGTCGCGTGAAGACCAAGTTTAGAAATGCCTAAGAGACATCTAGAAGCCCATACACAATCTGAGAGAGCAAAGCAGAGACAGCGTCTTGGTTCACTTAAGGACCTTACAGTACAACCAGCTACAAGAGTGCGCTACAACAATGCGGTTGACCACTTTCTTCAATTCCTCAATACAAACAACCTGACACTCCCTAAACAGCGTCAGCACCTTGACCCTTTAGTCTGTGAATTTCTGGAGTACCTCTGGTCTCAGGGTTATGGCCGAGCCCGGGCCAGTGACGCGGTCGCAGGTCTCCAAGATCAGGACCCAAAGTTACGGGGGCATCTTCAAGGGGCCTGGAGGATGCTTAAGGCGTGGAACCTCCATGAAATTCCGAGCCGCGCACCGCCTTTGCCTGAGCATGTTCTACATGCCATGGTCGGGTGGGCCTTTTTCCACCAGCATTTCAGCTTCGGGGTCTCTTTACTTCTTGGCTATTATGCCATGTTGCGTACAGGAGAGTTGCTGGGCTTGAAGGCAAGTCATCTCCTATGTGACCCTAAACAATCCAATGTGGTGGTATCTCTCGGCTTAACTAAAGGAGGCAAACGTCAAGGTGCAGCTGAATCATGCGTGGTAGGATATGACATGGTTGTCAAGTTCCTCAAACAATGGAAACTGTTAGCCTCTCCAACCATGAGTTTCTCCCCCACCCCGGCGCGGTGGCAAGCCTTATTCAATGAATCCCTGGAGGCCCTGCATCTCCAAGATTTTTTATTTCGACCCTATAGTTTACGACGTGGGGGCGCTACTTGGTGGTTCTCTCGTCACCAGTCCTTGGACAAAATCTTGGTACAAGGTCGTTGGCAGGCCGCAAAAACGGCACGTATCTATATTAATGAAGGCCTTGCTGTGCTGGCTGAATTACAGCTACCCAAAACCCTCCCATCCCTTTCACCTTTTCTCACTGTCTTTTCTCGCTTCCGCTCCTCTCCTACTTTCCAAACACTTGGGCCTCCGTGCAAACACGGAAGTTCTGGGGGACGTGGTAGGAGGCCTAAAAAGGCCAAAAAGAACAAGAGAGCTGGAAAAAACAATGAGTTTTGAGTGTTTCTTGTTTTTCCTCTTTTCTCCTGGATGGACGTGAATGACTTTGACTTAATGGATTGGTGGGTTTGGCTCTTTCCATTAAGAGAGTCATGAGAATTTTGTGGCGCTGCGGGTTTGGCTGAGCCCACAAACAACGAAACTTTCGTTGGCGGATTATTATTCTTTTCAATTTATAACAATCCAGCTGCGGAGTGATGTAAAAAAGAGAGCTGGGTGGTCTACTCTTTGTACACACGCCCACGGGTTTAAAGAGTAACCCCCATGATCTTTTTATACTCCCTCAGTGTTTTGGCTTCAGCTCCCACTCCACCCTCCCACGCACTTCGGGAGGGTAGGAGGCCTAAAAAGGCCAAAAAGAACAAGAGAGCTGGAAAAAACAATGAGTTTTGAGTGTTTCTTGTTTTTCCTCTTTTCTCCTGGATGGACGTTAATGACTTTGACTTAATGGATTGGTGGGTTTGGCTCTTTCCATTAAGAGAGTCATGAGAATTTTGTGGCGCTGCGGGTTTGGCTGAGCCCACAAACAACGAAACTTTCGTTGGCGGATTATTATTCTTTTCAATTTATAACAATCCAGCTGCGGAGTGATGTAAAAAAGAGAGCTGGGTGGTCTACTCTTTATATATATATATATGTATGTATGTATGTATGTATGTATGTATATAGTATATATATATAACAATTGGAGCATTGGTTTTATACATGGGCCGGGATACCATTCATTCGTATAACCCATTGACTTGGGAGAACCATGGTAAGATGATACAACCATTAAATGTCTCTTGTTTGCGAAAGAGCATGGGTAGTTGAACCTGCAATGTTGGGGCATTCTTAAACAGAGAATGTCCTCAGTAAACCCTGTCAGAAGCCAACTAAACCAAATGGATAATGTGGATCATATTGACCAGCCCAAATCAGGGATTGAGAAAAGACAATCAGAATCATGTGATAAACTGTACAATACTTACTGCAAATTCTACCATCTAATTCTTCAAATAACCCTTAGAAAATGCATGTTTATTTTTTTTACGGTTTACCAGCACGGTAGCGGGTAACGGAGGATGTATAAGGGTATCCTGAATGGAGCAAGTGGAATTCACTAACAGCGCTCCCGATATTGTGATGAGTTCTAAATTTGAGATTTTGCAAAGGTGGTTTGCCTATATGTCAGATGATTGGGATCCTGACAAGCCCATTTGTAAGCAGCTGCAGGGCCCGTCATGGTGCCCCCACGCGTAGAACCATACACCTGCACATATCATTCCAAATTTGTAGAAGTATGTCCCCCTCTTTGTCTCTTTACAAACATTATATAGTATTATATATAAGAGATACAGATAGATGGATAGATGGAGAAATGGATAGATAGATACAGGTGTGTACCATCAATCTTGGAATCCCCCAGCTCGGTGTCTTACCCTGGACGCTCAGATCAACATCTTGCAGCTGGCGGTGTGTGGCACCTGGTTCTTCCTGATCCTTTGCATGTCTGTGGCTTGGAGCGGATTTGTCGGAAAATCTGCAGGAATCCAGCAGGTTTTACGCGACTCTTCATGGTGAGGCCCCCAAGTTCCCAATTTTTGCTGGTTAAACCTCATGTTTGATGGTAAATATCCTCATACTTCCAGATTATCCCTATGATTTGCATGTCTAAGCCTTGATCCACCAGTTGTATGTAGGTTTACACGCCCATCCAACTGTGAATATATCCAACATAAATCCCAAATAGCGCAGTTACAACCAGCTCACGTATGGCTTGTGGGCAACAGTTGGATTGTTTATATCCAGACATTTGTTTGTGAATATCCCTATCTGAAGTAGTTAAGATCCTATTTTGAATGGTTATAACGGTTATTTGTTTGTTTATTCCTTTCGGTGATTACAGTTGCTTGATCCCCATCCCAATACCCAGTATATATATATAAATACACTCTGAAGATATCGTCACACATATAAACCCCATGTATATCCCGTGTATGAACACCTATATATACCCTCTGGTAAACTAACATAACTATGGAACATCACCATTTTCAATGGGAAAATCCACTATAAATGGCCATTTTCAATAGCTATTTTGACATAACCAGAGGGTATATATACATATCTGCCCTGATTCCCCATACCTCCATTGGTATCGATGCCGAGTTGGACGTCTTCATCGGGGACCAGGGCTTGGTCACAGCGCCGCATTGGTCGCGTCCACCCATGTCGCGGCTGTCCTTGGAACCTCACGAGCTGGGAACGCCCATTGGTTTACCATGGTATGCAGGCTAGAAATCTGGGACACGCTGGAAACTGGTAGATTAACTGACATGAACCTGAGATTTTGCACTAAAGAATCGTTTTCAGAGAATTTAGCAACCAAACATTGGTTTAAAGAAACCTTGGAAACTTCGGAAACTGGGGTATAAACCGGTGAATTGGTACTTCACAATCTTCACAACTGTCTATAAAGGTGCCATGTGGTATCCACTCATTTGTTAGTTTCTGAGGTCAGCCCATCATTTCCCCCGTGCTATTTTTCCGATGTGAGGACATCATTGGGAAACTGCCAGAATGAGCAGAGATGAAATTGCGGATTTACAGCATCAAACAAACATTCAAACTGTACCAGGAAAACAAAAATGAAATCATTCAAACAAACAAAGCATCCGAGGATAGAGCAACACAAGTTTGAATTTGAATCAAACAACGTGCATTTTGGCCACCAAGAAATCAATATGTTTCAATGGTAAGGCCGGGTCAAGCCCCTACAGCTCGCAATTGTCATTGAAATTGTTTTTTGGAAATCTCCTGCATAGCCTCTGCGTAAGGGGCCCATGGGGATATTATATCTCCGTTTTATCCCCATTGAATCCCTGTTATATCCCAATTGTATATATGTTGATACATTATCACATGTACATTCTATGTATATATATATATATATCCCAATGTATATATATATATATACATACACATATAATCCAATTTTCCTGCATCTTTTGGTGGCTTTCCGGTAAGAAAAAACAGCAGCTGTTTGCAGGTGCCAAACCTTGGCTGCCTGAGCAGATGGCATGGCACGAGGAGGGCATGGCTGGAGAAGTTGCTGCAAGTGGCACGAGCCAACGTGGGTCCCCATTGAAATTTTAAGATGGCAACTTTCAGATACCTGTACGGAAATTGTTGACGGGTGATGGTCTCAATTGTGGGGTCGAATGACTTAATACCTCCCAAGTGCTTTGATTCTTGTGTCTTATCGTTTTATCCCCATGTATAAATGGGGAGCCGACTCCAGGAGAAGCGCGAGGCGAGCAGTGGCTTCATCAGTCCACCCCACTCAGGTGGGGGATCGGAGGAACTGGTGGATATGTAGCTGAAAAGATGTGTGATTTCTATTGATTTCTGTGATTTCTGTCATTAGACTCTTCCCCCTTGGTATAAGCCCAAGTTGGTTACTTTGGCGGGTGATAGTCTGCAGTTTGCACAACATTTTGCAAGCAAGCCCTGATTTAGTATTAGATTTGTTCCTTTTAATCCCATTTAGGCGGTTAATTGTAAATCAATGGGAATTCCAGGATCCTAAAATGGAGGTACTGTACCATATAAGGCCATATTTTGTGCCGATATTCCCTTACATAGGCCTTACATAGGCCTTATATATGGTAGGTACCTCCAATCAATCGGATCCTGACCCTGAAATGGCCATTGAGTAAAGGGGATGAGATTATTCACCAACAAGGACCATTGCCCAGTTGGATTACATAATTGGTTAGTGGATCATACAGAATCATCGTGGTTATCTTGAATGATAGGTTTTAAAGTCATAGACGTCATAGATAGATATCAACCAGGATCGGAACATTGCCAACATGGGGATCTAGGCTTAACGATTTGTCAATCCACTGTAGGATGAATATGGAGCAAATCCACCGAGCGGGGATAACTCAACCAATGAATTTGATGTCATCAGCCAGATGTAGTGGCTATGAATGCTGTTAATATGTCGAAAGGCGTGGAAATGGGAATCAGGTCGACCTCAAGCTCTTTTTCACTGTCAACATGGTGAGCTTGCCTGGAGAGTCCCAAAGTGAGTAACATGTTTCGATCATGGAATTTTCGATCATGGAATTCAACATGGCAATGGACAATCACATTTTGTCGTAGGAAATCAATAATCTCCCGTGAGATGATTTTTCTGATCAATTACAGGTGATTACCCTCTGGTAAACATACAAAAAACTATGGAAAATCACCATTTTCAATGGGAAAATCCACTAGAAATGGTCATTTTCAATAGCTATGTTAAATTACCAGAGGGTACAATCTGCCAAGGCAGAACTGTTCTGCAGATCCCGGCAGGAGATAAGACCGGCGAGGGCGGAGGACACTCCGGGCTGCACTTCAGCCGGGAGGGCGTGCGCCGCCTCTCAGGTCGCCGTCGCGGCAGTGGGGTGATGAAGTCATCGAAAAAATCTTCAGTGAGGCTGTTTGCGAACCAACCAAAACACGAGCTTTGAGTTCAGAAAGCTGGAGAATTCAGCCGTTTTACTTGGGAAAGATAATCTGGAAATCAGCTGGGAAAGAAAACCACAATTTCAAATAGGTAGCTTATTTTCTTCAGGGCCGGGCGGGCCAACTTTGGCCTATCTTGGTGGTCAATGGATAAACCACTTTTAAAAATGCATGGATAGAGATCAATGGTGGCACAAGCCCTCACACGGGTCACATGGGTGTCTTAAACTCACCTAATACTGTATTCTTGATATCATCCATATATAATCCATATCTTTCTCGGATGATCTTCGGTCGTGGACCGAACTTTATTGTTTCCAACCCCCAAAAGAATCCATGCGGGTTTCTGAATGGATCCTCAAGATATGTTGGAAGATCCCATATCAGAGAATCCACGGGGCTACTAACCGGTATATTTGGTCACCCAAAAAAATCCAAGCACCCCCGAATCACTTTTTTTTATGTAGGTATGTATACCAGCAGCATGAATGGTATGGGTATTAATCTATGAATATTGTTTTGAACCCAGGTTGATCAAATCCCCAAAGTGCTCTTAAAGTGGACTTGCTGTAACTAAAGAGGACTGGCTTTTGTCTCAATCCGGACTTTGAAATTAGCCGGTACAAAAGTGCCCCTACATGTCCTTTACGTACATTTACCTTTTGGAGGGGTCAACTGCTATTTAGCCAGACTTGTAACACATGTTTAACTCCAAAATGAGGAAACATCAGAAATGTCATTTTTGGTTACTGAAATCACAATTTGAATCATAATTCCAATGGATTTTGCCCTCTAGAAACTATAGATATGGAAAAAATCAGCTTTCATAGATCATTTTCCAAGGGCCCCCGCCAGTCCCCGCCATGCCTTTGTGGGGACACTTTGACCAGGCATGGAGGCCTCCCCCGTGCGCTCCACCTTGCAAGACCTGCTGGACCTGATGCCAGGCGCAGCCAGGATCACTGGCCATGCGGCAGTTGAAGGCCTATTTTGACTCTTCATTATAAATTATAAATATATAAATATATAAGTTATGAATTTCCTAATTAACATATACATTGTATATCATTGTATATATGTATATATGTATATGTTGTATATATACATGGTGATAGATCTAAAGGTCCTTGTAAAGAGTTGTAATTGCGAAGACCGTTCATATTATGTTGGGAATCCTCACGAAAGTTCTTTTTCGAGTGCGCGAAAGTTTCTCTTCAACAGACTTTCGCCACCAATCACCTCAAGGCCTTAATCACTCGCAGCTCAGGTTCCGAGGCGGCGGCCGAGACGCCACGACCCATCGCGTGGCCCAGCTTCTTTGAACCGCGGCTGCTGGCCTGTGGCGCCCGTGGCATCGTTGGGGCCCAAGAGATGATGTCAGGTCAGGGAGATGTTGAAAGGGTGGGAGTTAGAACGACTTTATGACCCAGTTTTGGGAAAGGCAAGTCAGATAATGGCAAATTGGATGGGTCCATTGGTAACCCATCTTTTGAGCTATGCCGAAATAGAAATACCTTCAACTAGGGTCTATCTAGTGGTGAAATGGGGGTAAACAGCAATGTATAGTTTTTGAAGTCGAAACTTGTGGACCATTCAAAGCACTCTGTTTATACTTTGCATTTTTGTGCAACGCATGGGGTTGTGAAAACATCAATATCGATCTCAATAATGAGATGTATTGTCACAGACTATCAGGGAAGCATGTTTGCGATGGCAGTGCCAGAGTGAAACGATCTTGATCTTCGAAAACGTCTAGAACTCCGACAATCTTTTTCCAGGAAAAACTGGAATTGGATGCAATCCATATCAATCTACTCATTATTGAAGTGGGGGTCAAAAGTGACGGAAACACCTGGTCAAATGTGGCCAGACTGTAGCAAAACTTGGGATATAAATAGTTAGTGTAGGTATTCTGGTTGGGGGATGTTGGATAGCAACCGTGACCATACACGACACTCATTGGCGACATTACGTGGATCCCAGAAATCGCCAGCTGCTACCAGGGCTACAAACCACTTATGTAGCCCATAGCTCCGTTGTCGTTTGGTATGTCAGCATTCTTGGCTAGTGAAAAACGCATTATTTAGTGGATATATCACCATGATTAGTTTCTCAATACAGTTCTTGTGGATGAAAATTCCACTCATTTCGGTTTTTTAAATTTCCAATTACCCTCTGGTAATTTGTTACATAGCTATTGAAAATGGCTATTTATAGTGAGTTTTCCCATTAAACATGGTGATTTTCCATAGTTTTTTGTATGTTTACCAGAGGATACCAACCATGGGACTGGTCTGAGGCCACCCTGACACCCCGGGGAGTTGGAGCACTGGTCCACGGCAACAACGCGCATCGCTTCCATCTGGCAGGGTGTGGTCTGCCCAGTTGGTTTCTTTGATCCCGGGGGCACATGGCATTTTTCTAAGGTGTCAAGAAGACGACATATGGGTATGGATCAATACCTATACATAGCATTTTTACGGGGATGAATCGGATGAACATCCATAAATCCCAGCTATTTTGATGTGAACTACAGGGGTACTATTGGTTTTGACACACTGCCATATAGAAACAAGTCTTATTAGACATATTTTTCAATATTTTTCATCTGGTCATCAAAGCTGGTGAAACATCGACATCCAGCGGTCCGGATCATTTGTTTGGATCATTTTGAGAAGTGCGACTTCTCAGACCGACTGTAACCCACCTCAGACTGGCGCCATGGGATGTGCCTGTGAAGTTAAGCGGTTACAAAGTAGGATGCTCATCCAAGTGGTGCAGCTGTCATTATTTGAAGGGTTTCAAAGTAGGCTGGGATCATGTGGACAGTGATCGCATTGAAAGACCTGTGCAACTGATTAGTTACACTGGTGAACTAACATAGCAATGGAAAATCACCATTTTTAATGGGAAAATCCACTATAAATGGCCATTTTCAATTGCTATGTTAGTTCACCAGAGGGTAGTTACACTATGTTACACTGCTCAAATGTTTGTTGGGTACTTCAATGTTTCTTTTTGCCAATGTCATGCCCGGCAATTTCTGGTTGAGGGTGTTTGCTGGGTATGTGACTAATAGCCATGGCTACAAACCATATATGCCATATATGAATGGGATGAGCCACAGGTTTGTATGGGCTATGAACCACTCCATTTAGGATTCCTTGGGATGCACATCGTAAGTGGATGAAAGTGAAGGTAGGGCAGTTGGATCTGGAGCCCTGTGCGGCCTCACAGCACGCCAAAACTTTGTTGCCCTGGAATGATGAGATATGAATGGACCCAGAGCATGGGGTTCACATGGGGTTTACATGGGGCTTACAGTAAATGTGTATATATATATATAAGGTATTATATTATAAGGCTCATGTCATGGATTGCGACTATCTAAAAAATATTTGCACATGTTGCCCAGTGGGATGCCAAGCGGCTAACCCGATCAGCAAATCCTAATAATGTGGGTAGTTGCAACCTTCGTGCATTTGTCATACACTCGGCAGTGACTTATCATTCTATGGGTCAAATTTGGCGTTTTTTTTTAAAAAGATGGTTTGGACATGACCAAAACTTGTGTGTGTCTTTTTGGATCTATCCAGAATCTAAAATTCTTACCATTTCTTACCCATACCCAAACCACATGCTTGGACGAGGGATGGAGATTTTGCTGTTTCCTCAACGCCAGGCTGACGCATTTGCCTCCGCTGCTCTCTGCAGCCTTTCATCCGCATGCGAAGGACGCGCCTTGGATCTGAGGTGTCACATGATTTGGGGGTCAAACATGGACATGGGATACCGGGTACCGATAGACCTGCGAAATTGATCAAAATTGGTCCTTTGTAGTATTAAATTGTTAAACCATCCATTTTCGCGCGCGATTGATCATTTTGACCCATATCATATCCATTTGTCCCATTTGTTGTCGTTCTCTGAAATTAGGACCCATAGGTGGTAGCTGGCTTGTCGCCACCAGCACCACCAGGATAGTTCAAAACTTCTGGTACCTTTTTACTCTGAAAATGTTGGATTTTCCCCACAGATGAACGGGTCATTTTTAGTGAGCCATTGCTTTTTGGAGGTGCCTTGGCTGCGGGACGCAGTCCTTGGTCCTTGCGTCTTTGGAATGTGGTTTTTTGATGTTTTGGTCGCTCTTTGTTGTTTTGCTGTTGCATGGCATTGTTGCTATAAGATGGGTTTCAATCTCTGGATCTGGGAGTGGCGCGTGGTTTTGCCGAGCCCAAAAACCCGCAAGACTGGAACCCTGCAATCTTGGAACCTGCTGGGTTGCAAAGTTGGTCTGATGCAATATATTCAATACATGCTGTGTATTGTCACTGTATTGTCACTGTATTGTCACTGTATTGTCTATCTTATCCTCTTTGATGTTTCTTTAAAGCTGCCTGTCGCTTTCCGAAGCTTCCAGCCGAAGGAGCTCACGGTCATCAGTCGCCAGGGACACATGGCCTCCTGCCCCGAACCTTTGGGCGTGCCTTGTCATGGCAAGATATGGTAAGCCGAAGCTAATGCCCAGTTATCGTGGATGGAACCCGGCATTTTGATGCTCAAGCACCATTTTATGTGGTTGAATCAGTTGAATCCCCCATTCTTGAGGCCAACATGGTAAACACAAAAGGATTTTTTGTTGGTAAAAAAACATTAAAAAAACACGGGAAACTTCTCCGTGGATCAATGGCAAAATTGAAGGATTTTAGAGAAGGTAGGGTTACCAATCCCATCCAATCCCAACAATCCGCATTATCATTGGCTATATCCCAACAACCAACATGTGTACATGACATCACGTAGAAATTCTCTATATATATATGGCTATGGATCAATACCTATAGATACAGTTTATTAGGGGATGAACATCCATTTGCCACCTATTTTGATGTTCACCAGGGCTACATGGTTTTGACCCATTCCCATATAAATAACAATCATGTAACAATCATATAACATAACAACAAAATAACAACGCGCGTCGTTCTCCGAATCTCCACATCCTGCCAGTTCCGCCAGGTGAGCGAGTGCCGAATGGCACAGAGCCTGCCGGTGCCACTTGGCACACGCCTTGTTGCTGCCGCGGCAGGCTGGCTACGTTGGGGTGCCCAAAGGGGGATATCGCCTGGTGAATGGTAACAATGCGACTAGAAGAAATGGATAGTTAATGACAGTTATTTAGTTATTTAAGGTTATTTATAAACATACTGCGAAGTAGGATGGGTACTTAGTTCAGGGTGAAATAGAAATAAATCATCCGAACTGCCTGAAAAGCTTGCTTTTGCTTGTGACATCTTTGTGCTTTTCAGATCCAAACCAATCTTCATGCCTCGAATCTAACATTTTGTTGGTTATACCATACCTCGAAAAAACATCCTGGTCATATCCGATTATTCTTGTGTCTCCTTGTTCTTTGGGACCCAACGTTTTGGTCAGACCATCCATTTTTTTGCAGGCCATGGTTACCCTCTGGTAAACATACAAAAAACTATGGAAAATCACCATTTTTGATGGGAAAATCCACTATTTCAATGGCCATTTTCAATAGCTATTTTGACATAACCAGAGGGTAACCCACATTTCTGTAGGTTAACCACCCTGGTGGTCCAACCTCTGTTTTCCGCTAAGGTTCCCTGTCCAAGTCCAAGGAGCATCATCTTCATGTAGCCTTCATTGATGAGGATCCGAGGGATGGGCAGTGCATTGAAGCGTTGATTTAACTACCCAAAATAGAGGTCATTTTAAGATTCCAGGCATACATTGATATACAGTGTATTATATATACATATGTAACAAAAGTATATCATATACATAAAAACATATATATATATATTGCTACGTTACGTTGATGAAGGGATGAATTTGTGGGATTCTTCGATTTTTGCCAAGTGCAATAGTATGATATTTCCCGAACTTGTGCTCTTGAAACGCAACCGCAAAGATGGATTTTCACTGTTGGGGCCGTTTAGGGAAAAGACGCAGTTGCCAAAAACGATGAACAAATCGATCTTTGCGCTTTCGTCCGTTTTTTCTTTTAGTGAGTTTTCACATGTAAGGTTCTGCTTGGTTTTTGGTACTAAAACAAACATGTTGGAAACGCGAATCGGCCAAACCCATTTGCTTTTGAAGTATTTTCAATTTTGCTGGTCTATTTTGTTTTTTCTGTTCGATTTTGCAACCGACTCAGTTTAAGTGTTGAGATCAGTTGTATTTTGTACTCTCTACTAAAGCTTTATTGGTTTGCGCTTTGCGTTTTCCCCAATCTTTCGGGTACTCGTAGAAAGGGAAACATCAAGAAGCTCGTTTCTCAAATTTACCGTAAATGTGTTTGGAAAAGCCGTTACTCACAACAAGACAACCCCGTACGACCAGGCCTTACCCGAGATGATCGCCATCTTCAAGCACCGCCAGGCCGGCCAAACATGGACATCTCAATGGCAACGTTTCACCATGGGTAACGCTTTTCTTAAGCAAGTTTATGATTTGCCATCATCATTTTTGTTGGTTTAGTGAATCCATACTTGATAGATGTTAACAGTTGTTTTGGGCGTACTGGCCTGTCGTTTTTCATTAAATCTTTCCTTTGGTGGTAAAATCATTCTTTTGTTTTTTATGGGTGGTGCAACCACCCTTTTTCGTTGGTTCCAGTCCCCTTTTTTGTTGCTTTGACTCCCCAACTCCATTAGATCCAGATTCCTGTGGATCAGCGCCTTGGGCGGAGGGCATTTGGCATCCCATGGGCGAGCTGCCGTTGTCCAGTTCACCTGGGGCCAAGGTGACGACTCGGTGACGACTTGTGCAGGAACTCGGGGTTCACCCCAACATTTTTAGGGTGATCTTCTAGTTTTTAGCCACTCACAAAAGGAGGGGTGTTTAGCCAGACTCATTGAGTTTGTTTTAGTCTTCAGGGATTAGGGCGTGAAAATCCTTTGCCACACGCTTTAACAGGTTGCCACCCGCTTTATCCGGTCTTTTTTCTTGCAGAGACTGGGGATGGATTAATTAATCAAATTAATCAAACATTTCCCACGAAAAGTTCTTTGGCAGGGGATAGGATGCTGAAGTCCTGGAAACGATCACTCCATTCGCATTTTTTCCAGGCTGAACCTTCGACCCATGTCGAACCCATCTTTCGGTTGATTCATTCTGGTTGACTCATGTAGCAAGCTCACGACATGACGAGAGATAATATGTACAGCAAGCTTGTGACCTCACCAGACATGCTCAAAACACTGGGGAAACCATCAATTGCATTCGAAATATTCGAATCAGCTTTGGGACTTTGTCTATCCAGTTCTTGTTGGTTTGACGGGTGAAATCTGTTGGTCCTATATTGTACGTATGTACATCTGCGGCCGATCATTTCAGTTGGTGATTAGTCTTAACCTCCCCTTTTGTAGATTATATAACTACCTGTGTTTTTTGTATGTTTGTTGGTCGTACATCAATCACATGTTTCATTCTATGAATTCCATTTTTAGCGTAATTGTATTCATGCTATCACCGTTTGTTTCAGGCCTTGTTTCACCACACGTGCATACCTCTTGTACATGTTCTACATGTTCTACATGTTGTACATATGATATATATATACACATGTTGTACATGTTGTTGATGTTGTCGTTGTCGTCGTTGTCGTCGTTGTCGTCGTTGTCGTTGTCGTCGTTGTCGTCGTTGTCGTGGTGGTGGTGGTGGTGGCGGTTGTGGTTGTGGTTGTGGTTGTGGTTGTGGTTGTGGTTGTGGTTGTGGTTGTTGTGGTTGTTGTTGTTGTTGTTGTTGTTGTTGTTGTTGTTGTTGTTGTTGTTGTTGTTGTTGTTGACTACTGTACCTCCATCGCGTCACTTGGTGGCATTTTCAGCACCGGGCCTCCCTGCAGGTGTCCTTGGCTTTTGATCCCAAGGGCGAACTCCTTCTGAGCACCGAGGGTGGGCTGGTGCAGCGCCGGCGTTTGCAGGAGCTGGTGATGTGGGAAGCTGTCAGGATCAAAACATTTGGACATTCAACAAAAAGCGATCCTTTTTTTTCAACAAGAAGTTTTTCATATCATATTCAATTGTAATTTCACAAACAAGCAATTGAGATTTTGCTTCTATGAATATGGGATCAAACATACTCTGTCTGGGATTAACGAACCCTGAAATGGCTCATGATTGGTGTTATCTCATTATTTGAGGGATGTGATAAGGCGTTGGGGGATTCAACCATTCAAAAGCGATGATTCAGCCAGCAAAAAGAGGGAATTTAACCAACGAAAACTGAGTGGCACAACAAAGGTATCATTCGGTTTCAAAAATGGCTTGTCATCGGTCATTGTTGTACTAACTTTTAAGTTATCCCATACTGTAGTGTGGCCCCACTATTTCAAGTCACAATATTGGAGATCCAGGCTCGGGGAGTCCGCGAGTGTGAAAGGTCATAAGGTTTTCAAAGGCATTGGAGTCTTCCTGTCCAAATGGACAGCGCCTTCCGTAAGATGATGGATCTGTCCTCACTTACGAATTTCCACAATTGGGATGAGCTTCATTGACCCCGAGATTATTTGGGATCCTTTGGGCACTCTACCACTCTACTGGTTGACGGTCTCATTTCTCCCGAATTCTTCCATACCTCAAATGGTGATCCCAAATGGCTACACAGTCTATGATCAACCACCAGCCTGTCTAGCTTTCCATCACCTGCTCGACCTGTCTCCACCCAATCGCATTTTTCAGGGATCAGTGGTGGGACCTTTCTTCCCAAAAGCTTCATATACACTTCACATATCTCCACATATCTTCACATATCCTCACATATCTTCACATACTGTTTCCATCTGTTTCCATCTGCTTCCAGATCTCTTCTGAACTTTCCACAGGGTCCCAAGTGACTCTCTTCGATGCCACCAGAGGCTTTCCATGGGGATCCCGTCGGCCCCACGAGGATGGAGCATTGCTCAGCACCGCAAGCCACAAGTGGGGCCTTGCCTCTCCAGTGGCACAGTGGCAGGCCAATCCAATGAACACTGAGATTTTCACCGGTGTTTCAAGCAAAATAAACGAGGGCTTTAACGAACAAATCATGGATACTTGACCAACAAACTTATCCACATGTAACCCACAAAATATAGGGTATATACTGACAGGAATGGGTGCTATAGGGATCCAAAACGGATATCATGAATCAGAGATGGTGCATCAGAGGCAAATCGTGTGAAATGTATTGAAGTGGTTCAACATTTCGGAGATGAACTTGTCATTTTGAACAGTAAAACATCCCATTACTCTTTTGGGGTATCCAATGACTTGACTCGTACCCGTTTCAAGAGCCAAAGATCATTGGAAATCCATGTGTGTTGTTGGGGATGCAGCAAGTTTCTCTAAGACCAAGCCTGAAGTTGGTCACTCACAATCTGGCCAGGGTGCTTGCCCCATGGGCGAAGGCAATGACTAGTGGCGTGCTTGTTGTTTCGTGTGTTTGGATTGGCTTTCGTTGAACCAAAGAAAGAGGGGTATGTATTGGATGAAGGGCTTTGATCAAGAAAACCGGGGATTTCGTCTGCAGAAATGGAGTCCTACCAGCCAAACCACAGGTTCCACCAGCCAAAGTCACCGGTTTTACCAGCAAATCTGTGGTTTCACAGGCAAAATGGTGGTTTCACCTTGCAACATGGTTTATATAACTGTATAACTATGACTCCTTACACTAATTGGCCCGGCTAGGGTTATGAATGCCCGGAACTTGGTGTAACAATTTCCTAAAGGGTTACAACCATTTTCTAGGATCAACATCTTCATCATTGGGTGACACGTTGCCATTCGTGGGTCTGGAGCAGATGCAGAAAGTAATAAGTTGGTTTTGGTTTTTATTTGTCGCTGTGTCTGCCATATGCTGCCCAAAGCCCCGTTTGTGCTGGTTGAATACACAATTTCACTTGCAAAACCCCGGTTCTTGCTGGTCAAATGAGCGTGTTTGCTGCAACCAAAACATGTTTTTTGTTGACCGTAGAATCCTTATTCAATGTTTTGCCAGTAAGACTAAATTCTTGCTGAATCCACATTTTTCGCCATTCCAGTCTCTAGAAACCCATCAGTGGATCGCGCACTGCCAGGGCTGGCACATCTTCGTTTGCGTCGGGCTGGAGAGGCCCTAGATCCCACTGCCATGTTTGACGGGAAAATGATGGGACAATGTATCAGTTAAATCATATGGCTGGTCTGAGGGGGAGGCCCTAAACTGGCAATTTTGAGGGAAACATGGTGATAAAGTGTCGGATCTTGGGGTACAGTATCTGTTCTTCTTATACATTAAGGGGCATCAAAAAGGGGGTGATCGGGGTGTAACACATGTCTAATATCCAATGCACATACATTACATTGCATTACATTACATTTCATTTCATTTTAATTACATTACATGACATACAATATATATATATAGAATTGATTTTGATTATATATGTACACATATATTATCACTACCTAACATCCAACATATACTATCTAATGTCATCATCCTCATGTTTCTGCCAGGCCTGGCTTCCTGAGCTCTTGATGAAGACAAAGACGGAAGCACCGCACCCTGGACGTGGGAGGCCCCAGCGACCCCTGGTTGAAGGTTCAACCAATAAACATGGATAAACATGGGAACATGGGAACATGGCGTCGTAACCGATATTTATGATGGTCTTGTTTGGGACAGGTCTATGGTTACAATATCTTACAATGCTTAATGCCTGTTTAATGAGAATTTATAGAATCGGCCATTGGAATCCCCATCAACCAACCAGTCGAGGTGTTTTTTTGGATACTCCTCAGGTGACCATGGCTTCAAAGTTGGCCAAATTGCAATCACCTCAAAACAACGGAGCCCTCTCCATGATGATTCGTAATGACAACAAGCACAAAATGTGTCCCCTTCACATCAATGAGTTGTTGTGATTCAGCTAGTCAAGCTGGGGTAGACCCCTGGTGTGGTGCTTAGTGGGATAGTTTGAGCCGTAAATGAACTAGCCTGCGGTCCACCAAAAAGCAACTGCATGTTTTGCGGGATGCGGGGCTCAGGGTTGTGTTGATCCATTGTGGTTTCTATATCTCTCCCCAATTGCCACCACACAACCGGTTGATTGGGGAATAAACAAAAAGATGAAGCCCACGAACCCGAATGCTCACACGTATGTTAATGGTACAGATGTCAAAACACATGGTTAGGCAGTCACGCACAATACCTTTCTGTAATAGTTTATTTGAACAGTCTTGTACATGTTTCCCTTGTTACCAGTCTGCAGTGTGGAGTGGAAAGTGTAGAGTCTGGAGTGTGGAGTGTGAAGTAAGGAGTGTGGAGTGTAAAGTGTGGAGTGGGGAGTGTAGAGTGTGTAAAGTGTAGAATGCGGAGTGTAAAGTGTAGAGTGTGGAGTATGGAGTGTAAACTGTAGAGTGTGGAGTGTAAAGTCTCGAGTGAGGAGAGTAAAGTGGAAAGCGTGGAGTGTAAAGTGTAAAGTGTGGAGTGTAGAGTGTATAAGTAGAGTGTAAAGTGTAGAGTGTGGGGTGTAAAGTGTGGAGTGTAAAGTGTGGAGTGTGGAGAGTAAAGTGTGGAGTGTAAAGTGTGGAGTGAGGAGTGTAAAGTGTGGAGTGTGGAGTGTAAAGTGTGGAGTGGAAAGTGTGGAGTGCGAAGTGTGGAGTGTAAAGTGTGGAGTGTGGAGTGTGGAGTGTAAAGTGTGGAGTGAGGAGTGTAAAGTGTGGAGTGTGGAGTGTAAAGTGTGGAGTGTGGAGTGAGGAGTGTAAAGTGTGGAGTGTGGAGTGTAAAGTGTGGAGTGTGAAGTGTAAAGTGTGGAGTGTGGAGCGTAAAGTGTAGAGTGTGGAGTCTGGAGTGGAAAGTGTAGAGTGTGGTGTGTAGAGTGTGGAGTGTGGAGTGTAAAGTGAGGAGTGTAAAGTGTGGAGTGTGGAGTGAGGAGTGTAAAGTATAAAGTGTGGAGTGTGGAGTGCACAGTAAAGTGTGGAGTGTGGAGTGCGGAGTGTGGAGTGGAAAGTGTAGAGTGTGGAGTGTGGAGTGTGGAGAGTAAAGTGTGGAGTGGAAAGTGTAGAGTCTGGAGTGTGGAGTGTGAAGTAAGGAGTGTGGAGTGTAAAGTGTGGAGTGGAAAGTGTGGAGTGCGAAGTGTGGAGTGTAAAGTGTGGAGTGTGGAGTGTAAAGTGTGGAGTGAGGAGTGTAAAGTGTGGAGTGTGGAGTGTAAAGTGTGGAGTGTGGAGTGAGGAGTGTAAAGTGTGGAGTGTGGAGTGTACAGTGTGAAGTGTAAAGTGGAGTGTGGAGCGTAAAGTGTAGAGTGTGGAGTCTGGAGTGGAAAGTGTAGTGTGGGGTGTGTAGAGTGTGGAGTGTGGAGTGTGGAGTGTAAAGTGAGGAGTGTAAAGTGTGGAGTGTGGAGTGAGGAGTGTAAAGTATAAAGTGTGGAGTGTGGAGTGTACAGTAAAGTGTGGAGTGTGGAGTGGAAAGTGTAGAGTGTGGAGTGTGGAGTGTAAAGTGGGGAGTGTGGAGTGTAGAGTGTGGAGTGAGGAGTGTAAAGTGTAAAGTGTGGAGTGTGGAGTGTAAAGTGTGGAGTGCGAAATGTGGAGTGGAAAGTGTAGAGTGTGGTGTGTAGAGTGGAGTGTGGAGTGTAAAATGTAAAGTGTGGAGTGTAGAGTGTAAAGTGTAGAGTGTGGAGTGTAAAGTGTGGAGTGTGGAGTGTGGAGTGGAAAGTGTGGAGTGTGAAGTGTGGAGTGGAAAGTGTGGAGTGTGAAGTGCAAAGTGTAAAGTGTGGAGTGAGGAGTGTAAAGTGTGGAGTGTGGAGTGTAAAGTGTAGAGTGTGGAGTGTGGAGTGTAAAGTGTAGAGTGAGGAGTGAGGAGTGGAAAGTGTGGAGTGTAAAGTAAGGAGTGTGTAGTGTAAAGTGTGGAGTGTGGAGTGTAAAGTGTAGAGTGTGGAGTGTGGAGTGTAAAGTGTAGAGTGAGGAGTGAGGAGTGGAACGTGTAGAGTGTAGTGTAAAGTGTGGAGTGTGGAGTGTAAAGTCTCAGGTGAGGAGTGAGGAGTGTAAAGTGCAAAGTGTAAAGCGCGGAGTGTAAAGTGTAGAGTGTGGAGTCTAAAGTGTAAATTGTGGAGTGTGGAGTGTAAAGTGTAGAGTGTGGAGTGCGGAGCTTCCCCCATAGACACGGCGACGCCACAGGAAAACCAGCGACTCGAGACGAGACACGCGGGTGCAAAAAAACGAGCATTTCGTGCGAGACTTCCTCCAATTTTGATATTTTCCACACGTTATCAAACAGTTTGGAATGTCAGAAAGTGCCACGTCTGCCACGCAAAACAACATGACAACCTGCTTGGAAACATTCGAAAAGGACAGGTTTTCCAGCTTCCCCCATAGACACGGCGACGCCACAGGAAAACCAGCGACTCGAGACAAGACACGTGGGAGCAGCAAAACTAGCATTTCGCACGAGACTTCCGGCACTTTTCACAGTTGGCTACATGACAAAAGGACAAGTTTTGCAGCTTCCCCTATAGACACGGCGAGGCCACGGGAAAACCAGACACGCGAGAAGAGACAGGTGGGAGCACCAAAACGAGCATTTCGTGCGAGACTTCCTCCACTTTTCACACTTTGCAGCTTCAAAATCGACGTTTTCCTACGAGTTTTCCTTAGAACCTGAAAATTTGCAACCTCAAAATCGATGTTTCGTGCGAGGCTTCCGTCAATTTTCAGCACATGTCAGAAAATGCCACGCCTGCCACGGAATTTGCACCTTGTCACCACTTGACGCAGCCCTGCCAATGCGATTTACAAAAACACGCCACAGGACGCGTCTAAAGTGCTGCGCCTGCCACGAAAAATGACGATGGACGCGTCCAAAGTGCTGCGCCTGCCACGAAAACTGCAACACATCTTCTGAAAACGTCGCAAAAGTATTGCGCCTGCCACGCAAAACGACTTGCGACACGTTGCAGAACACGTCTGAATGTCCCGAAGTGCCACACCTGCCACGCGAAACGAAGCAGCCAGACGTCTGAAACCTCCAAAAAGGACCACCTCTGTAAAACTTCCCATAGGCACGGCCATACGGTCCTCACGCGAACGGTTGCGAACGGTTGCGAACGGTTGCGCTCGCGAACGCAACGTCGAGCGAACACACCCTCAACCCCCAGACCCCCAGAGTGAAACGGGAACCCTTGCTACGCATTCGGGAATCACCCATCAGATGTGTTTAATTATGGTATCTCTTTTTTTTCGTAGATGTTATTGCCTTCTTTGTGTGGGATATTCCACAAATTACCCGATGAATGCATTGTAGACGCTGTTGAAACTGGATTTCAAACTGGTTACATCAATCAAGCTATTGGAAATCATCCAAACAAACATTTCATCTCCATTTTGTTGATCAAGATTGCTGTACTTCTGGCTTCAACATCCCCACGGTTGTTGGACATCCCCAGATGTCTGGCCGAAATTGTAGGTTAAGTCCCGATATTTTGGGGGCCCATTCTCAGGTCCTGCGATCTTCCAGTGAGATGGCGCGTTTCAGGGTGGAAGCTATTGGGAAAGGAAAGCGGTTGATGGGTAAAAAAGTGGATATTTAATTTACCATAATTTACCCAGTAAAGCGGTTTACCGAATAATTAAGTTGATAAATTTGTTAAATAAGGGTATTGTAAATAATTGTAAATAGTAATGACTTATTCGGTAAGGCGCTGTAAATGATTGGTTGATGAGGAAAGCGGCTATTCGGGATTTATCCAGTAAATATCTCAACATGACTTAACAACCAATTGGATATTTACTGGATAAATCCCGAATTGGTACGGTTCATGGGCTTCAATGTTTGCTATAAATGGAGAAAAACAATATATATATACATACAATTATATACATATACATATATACATATATATATATAGAAATATACTAGTCAGCTGGAGACACCTTTTGGAGGTCTAAGATTTGCCATGGTTCGTGGGTTGGCAGCGCTTCAATTCACTCGAACACGGGGGGAGTCCATCCAAGGACGACTTTAAACCAATCTATGATGTGATGATTTGGAAGTTGAAAGTCTTGAAAGTTGAAGTTATGTTGTAATCATTGCACAACATTGCACAACATTGCACATTTTTTTCTATATACGGAGTCTGACCCATGTTGGTTGGGCCATATGATTGTGTCAGAGTCAGGGTGAAAGAACCTCAAATGGGCGAACACCTCACCAATTGCGTGGTATCTTCTGTTTGGTTATTTTGGTGATTGGTTTATTCCAGGGTACCATCAGATCTTGTATGACCGAAGTGCAGTGAAACATTTTGCAACGTACAATTTGCTTCTGAAAGAAAGCGACCTCACTGTAAACGGCTCTTAGTCAGGGGAACCACCCAAAATATAGGCTTGTTTCATCTCCTTTCAGGTTTGTGAACTATCGCAATGCTGCCACCCAGCCAACCAACTCTGGAAGGCGCGCAGTTTCAAGCGACACAAAAGGCCTGTGCCACCTTTTTTTCACACCGTGACGGGGCTCGTGACGCTCGTTGAAGGCACATATCTGAGACAGATGCCTCGCAACTTGCGGCCTGGTGCTTCTGCGTTGATAAAAGTCAGCGCCCAGTTGGATATGCCAAAAACAGACTCAGAGTAGGAAGTCTCACCATTTTTTATGCCAAAACCAGACGCAGTAGTCATTTGTTGCTTTGCAGTAGACTTCCCTATGTTTCCCACAAGTCAGCCGCTGGTCATTACGGTCATTGATACAGATTGATACATCATGATTCCAACAGACCTGCCGCGTCTCCCGCACTGGGAATCTTTTCCCCCGGGAGCTACGCCATCCTGCCACTGCAGGACATCGTTTGGGACGACAAAAGTCCTCACCAGTTGGACTTCATTCCAGTGAAATTGTACTGTTGTTACCGTTGTTGCCAATGGAAAATCCAGTCTGGAATGGGTCAAAAAATGATTGGAAACTGGGCAAAACCTAGCAAAACAACTTTTGAATGGTGATTTGTTGATTTGATGCAGCCAAGGAGCTTACCAATTTTGACCCATCTCCAGCTAGGCAGAGAATCATCTCGAAGGTTCCACAAGTTGTCATATGTTGTCATTTGTCCATTGCTCACATCGCAACATATGGCTACTTTATATATATATAGATATCTCTATATGATTTTGCCAGAGGCTGCGATTGGAGTTCTCCTGAATCCACGACGTGGATGGCACTTGACGATTGCTTCACCTGGAAAAATATGGACCAACAGTTTTTTTTTTTCTGGCCTAGGTTTTTCAATATCCTACCTGAGCCGGTGCCAAGTTTCTTTCATATCTTTTTTGTACCAAGCAGGGGACGACTTTGACAAAGATGAGACCCTGAAGACTCGAAAGGATTTTGCAACTGCAGGAGTTTAAAGGTAATATGGTCAAAACTTAACTGCGCAATACATTTGTAACAAATATACACATATGTATCTATATTTACGGTATGTTTACAGTTGTCCATCTATATTACATACATGTTTGTGTATCAGTGTATCAACAAGTATATGAATATTGACGCATATACTTCACACATAGACACTTAGTAATATATAATTCATAGCGATCAGGACATTATTTCCTTGTTCTACTGTCTCCATGTTTGTTGGACAATGATCCAAGTTTTGGGGACACAATGGTGAGCCACACACACATTTCAACTCTTGTCAACTTGTGTATCAAAGAGTGTTTGGATGTTATGTGCTTCGAATGACTTGCTCCATGAATGGCGTATCCTCAGTTGCTGTTGGGCTATGGAGATCCGTTTTGATGAGCACTTTTGCTATGAGAAGTTCGACATGCAACAGACTTTCAAAGCATTTGGCAAACACGATGGTCATCCTGGATGGAAACAGGACTTTGATGTTTGAATCGTTTGTCAAAGGTTTCACAGCATACCGCAAAGTGCCTGACACATTGCAAGGGCTTTGAAAAAAACAGAAATGCTTCACTTTGGGCCCTGCATTTTTTCGACTGCTGAATCGTGGGTCACCATGGGCTTGCAGGTGGGAGCTGGTGAACCTGGGGCACCGCTGGGCTGAAAGTGACTCATAAAACAAGTGGTTATCACAGGGACCCCATAGATTTCCTGATTTTGGTCACCAGTGGAAATGGTGGTTGAATCATGGTGACATCTTTGATCTGAATTCTCTGGGCTGTGGAGCCTGTTCTTGGCTGATTCTGACGTGGGTCACCCCAGGTACTGGCAATGGAGAACATGAACTTTATCGACTGCAACAGGGAGTTCCCCACATTTCTTCTTCTTATGCCTTGGCCATTCCTTCATGAAAGATTTAAAGAGACAGTTGAACGAATCCGGAGATACGAAAAGGGGGGACCAGCAGCAGATCTGATTTCGACACAGCTGATTGGCAGTTTTAACACGTTTCGACATGTTTCAACATGGTTTCAACATGTTTCAACTATTTTGACATACCCTCTGGTAAACTAACATAACTATTGAAAATGGCTATTTATAGTGGATTTTCCCATTAAAAATTGTGATTTTCCATAGCTATGTTAAATTACCAGAGGGTATCTTTCCATATCTTTCTATCACACATCGGATTCCCGGGGCCCCAATTGATCCAGATAGGTGGTGTAAATGCACCAAGCAGTTTTCAGTACACCGTCCCGTGCCATCCACAGCTCACAGCCACGCAGTTGAAACGCCGGAAGAGCTTTGGAGGTTGGTGGATGAAATTCGTGGGCCGTCAGCATGGGACCATCATGCAAGTCATACGTAGTCATACATAGTCATACTATGTCATACTATACTTCTTTTACATTCATGGCAACTCAGAATTGGATAGCGATGTAAGCTGTACGTACATACTCGTTCTTCTCTCAAACCTGTGGGTTTTCTGTGTCTCAGCTTTGCCTTAGCTGCAGCGTCCCATTTACCCGGTGTTGTTCAGACCCCCCGTGGCGCTGTTCAACTTTTTTGGCGTTCCAGGGCTGATTTTCCAGCAAAGTTTCTCAGGAAGCAACGAACTTGCCATCCACATTGGTCCGAGGTTAATCAAGTCTCAAGAAATCCACTAGACAAAGTCTGGATTTCTTTTGTTTTTTTTTTTGGTTTTTTTTTGACAACTATTGTATACTGCAAGATACTGTGAGATACTGTAAGCATTTGTAAGCACTAAGCAGCTAATTCTTGGTGCCCCTTAGCCGGGATGACTCTCAGCGAGGCAAAGATGGCGTTTGGTGGACCAAGTTCGGGTGCGACTCCAAGGGCTTTTTCAGGGAGGTGATGGCTTCGGTAGGACGGAGATTCCCGATTTCTCACCCCAAAGAATTCCCGCTTTGAGAATCTTGAGAAAGTTGTGCTGCTTGATCCAGATTGATTTTTTTTTTCGCACCTTGGGAGATGGTTCGACACGAGGTTCAAGAACATGTCTTGGAGCGAAGCTGATGAAGAACATTTCAGGGAACCGTTTATTTGGACTGCCAAACCTTTTCCAAATCTGGAGACACCGGATCGAACACGGGCAGCACCCAAGATTGGATGGTTTCCCCAAAACGTCAAAACAATCAGCCAGTCCATGCGTTTTTGCATATACCCCTGTCTCTCTAAACGTGCAGTTTTTTCAAGGCCTGGTCTGGCCGTTTCAAAGATGTTCTATTTTCTAGCTTAATATGATAGTTCTCAAGCAATTTTCATTTGCTTAATATGAGGATTTACAGCAAGCCATTTCTTCTTTGGATGGTTCTATGTAAACCCCTTTGTCATTATCTTTGGGGATGAACATCCATTACAACCAGGCTAAATCCCATGATTTGCCATCCCTTTCCCCTACAAAAAACGACCAAAAACCATATTGCTGGGTCATGCTGGGTCTATATCCCATGAAAGTCCCATTGCGGGCAATTTTTTTCGCGAATCCAATGAAACAATCCCATGAAAATTATATCTGATTATATATATAATTATATAATATTATAAAGATTCCATTAATTACATCTGATTAATTATATACCCATACCATGGTTGCCTTAGGTAAAGCCATATCAGAAATTTTTTGAGGGTCAAATCATCTACCGCCCAGGGCAGCCACGATGGATTTCAGTGCTCAGGCGGAGATGGATGATTTCACAATGGGGTATCCCCAAAACCCATGGGTTTCAATACTAAGTTAGCCATGGTGTCAAATGATGGGGGTACCATTACTCACCATGGGTTTCAATACCATGGGTTTGTGTGTGATCAAATTTGGAAGAAATGGGGTGTCCCCCCATTTTTCCGGACACCCACAATTTTTGAGGCTTGACCTCAGGTTCAGCATACTTTATACCAATGGTTACTGGGGTTCTTTGGGAACTTCCACCATCATGGGGCCTTGTCTCAGAATCGAGGGATTTACACCAATTCGGTGGCGATCGTGTGGCGTTGGGACTTCCGTGGTTTTTCTGGACCGGTGACCGGTTGGTGAATGGGACCACCATTTTGGAGGAACATGAGGTATCCCGCTCAAAAGTATAGCTTTTTCAATGCTTTTTCTACCGAGCCTATTTTTGGGCACTCAACTCATCTTGACTCTGCAGATCCACTCTGACTCAGATCCCTGACAGGAAAAGACGCATCCCTCCGACACCATTTTTAAGGCACCACTGGGATTAAAATCAGCGGTGAAAGTGGAGACATGAATCGACAGTGGATGTTCCCCCCCAAACAACAACAGATCATCTTGGCTAAACTTTGAAGACATGAAAAATCACAAAAAAAGAAAAAAGCACAGATGTTCAGATGTTCATCCTCCTTTTGTGGTTTGAACCTCAAATTTCCTATTAAAACATCCATTTTCCTATGGTTTCCCTATGGTTTTCCTATTAAAACATCAAATTTCACTCAGCTCCTTGTTGACGTTAGCCGCTAACGCCCGCTGGTTCCGCCAGAATGTGGTGGAAAGAAAGACCTGGGATCCTGCGGCCATGAGGCCAGGCGGAGTGATGCCTCATGCACAGTCGATGGATATTACCAATCAAATATGGGGATGCGGGATATTAATGGATATGATTTGATATATATATATATGATTATATATATAATTATATATATATATGTACATGTTGTAATACAGATGGGAGTACTCTCCGGTAAAAATTAGAGTTGATTGATAGTGACTATTGGATAGTGACAACTGTTTGGGACCCCACCAGTTCCAAGGATTTGATCCGGCGGTTTGCCAAAATAGGCTTCCCCCCAAGTCCATCCTGGCTGCAGAGTGGGTTAGTCAAAAAAGCCGACCCACCACAAAAACCCCTAAGGGATCCATCCATTTCCCACTGTTGAGGTACATAATGATACATAAGTACACATATTTCCCTTATATTTTCCATGTTTCTTCACGCTTCTCATGACTATAACTCCATTCTTGATGGTTTTACATATCTCCATTCCTGTTTGGTTTACGGATGTACAATGTTGTGAGATACCTGACAAGGGTTAGACATGATCTCCCCATTTTAGTCGGTGGCTCCACGATTCTCTTGCTTAATCCTCCACTGTTGTGGGTCAAGTCCCAATCTTTTGTTGGTGAATCTCCCATTTTTGGTAGAGGGCCCCTATCTCATTACATTCTGGTTCTTGATCCACCTTCGGTGACTTTTATCCGTGCCAAAAAAACGTCGTCTAGTTGCATCTTTTGGGCAAAGAGATGGGTTTTAAACAAAGAGTTTGCTATAAAGTTTACTTATCTTATTACAAGTTTAGCTAAAAAAGCCATGAATGTGGGGATTTACCCTCTGGTAAACTAACATAGCTATGGAAAATCACCATTTTCAATGGGTCAATCCACTATAAATGGTCATTTTCAATAGCTATGTTAAATTACCAGAGGGTATGACATGAATTGAAACATGAGATGCACCAAATCTGGGGCACCAAATCCCAGCATAATTTCAGCTCCGGGGGTTGCTCCAGTCGCGTGCCGGCGGCTCGTTTGAAGCCCGCCGCTCAGATGAGGCGGGGAACGTGGGGGTTTCACAACGAAACTTCAACAGCAACAGTGGGTTTACCAACGAAACCTGGGGGGGTTCACAGTTTCACCAACAACCATCGGAAACATCGGATTTAGCCGATTTAGACCTAAACACCTGGGGGATTCACCAACAAACCAAGAGGATTTACCCTCAATGTATTCGGAGGTTCACCAAAAGACAATGACGATTTAAGCAAAAACCACGTAGGAGGGTCACCTTAGACAATTCACCAAAAACATCGGGAAATTTCAGCGACGAAATGCTGGCAAAAAACGGGACCTGAAGCAACCAATAAAACTACCCTCTGGTAAACTAACATAACTATGGAAAATCACCATTTTTAATGGGAAAATCCACTATAAATAGCAATTTTCAATAGCTATGTTAGTCATTACCAGAGGGTAAACAATTGCTACTGGGTTACCCGAAAAATGGAATTTTTTCACCACCGAACTAAGGGATGACAGCCTCATAAATGATGGCCACAAAGTTGGACCTTTGGTAAATATCCCCAGATATTTCCCCATTTTGGGGTTAAGATTTATCACTTTTTGTTGAGCTGTTGCGAAAAAAAATTCAAGAGGTTTGATACCCTAGTGGCACATTGACTGCAAAATTGGGTAAACTTTCCAGATCGGTTGCTTGAGGTCCTGCTTCCCTGATTTATCCAAATTTAAGTTCTTTTTTTCCAAATAGCGTGATTCTGGTTGCTAAACATTATCGGTTTGATTCATATACAGCGAATATGTGTAATTATATATACATATAATTATATATACATACACAGTATATCTATATATTGTGCTTGGTAACAAACCCGTTTTGGTTGGTTATAGTTGTACTTAATTATTGGAGATGTTAAGAACCGTGTTTCCCACTGGTGCTTAACAATTATAGTTAGTCTAGTGCTCCCCCGTCTTTCCTATCTACCCGCCCAGATTATGATACAACCAAATTCTATGGGGTAAATACTAAAGACAGGGGAGCAACACCTTATAGAAAACAATAACATAAATCATAACAAACAACCATATAACAAGAAAAACAAAACAACATAGACAATACAAATAATCATAAAATAGACTATACCGTAAATCATAACAATCACCTATACACTTACCCTCATTCAAAAGCCCATTGTATCGCTAATACCTATGAGATGGACTTGAAGATAAATTCTGAAGGAATTTATCTATAAAGCCACATCCCAGCAAGGGTAAAGCCAATACATAAAAGTGATTGAAAAATCAATGCCATAAACAGGATTTCTCCATCTTACCAGTCCAAGATTTAGGCAAAGGGACTGCCTAAATTTTAGGCTACTAGGTCGCCCAAGCAAACGGTCCCCAGTAAGATAGTGTGATACATTTGTTGTGACTGAAGCTTCTTTGCTTAAGGAGTTTGTTCAAAGGGGGGGCCTGTTCTCCAGCACGGCGGACGTTGCACTCTGTGGAGCTGGGAGGACCTACTTCTCTGAGTGGATCCTTCTGTCAGTCTCTGCAGTGTGTGGCTGACGTCATGGCTGGAGAACGTTTGGCCCCATGGCGAAAAACAGGTCGCAGGGCTGACCCGCGACACTTCGAAGGCTTGGAAACTGGGGCCTTCCTGGAGTTCTCTGGCTACGATGACCGTCATCGCCAGCAAGGACGGATCTTAGGCTATTTGTCCGGAGTGGGCCTCGAGACCAACATCACCGGAGGTCGAGTCTTTGAAGGGTAGGTGTTGGCAATTGAAGATGAATACTATGAATACTGGTTTGAAAATCTGTATGGGCGGCTTGCAGATTCGCCCGTGGTCTTCTTTCACTTTTGTGATGCGCCAGTCGGGATTTGTGGGAGCCTGACTGAATTCCGCAATCCGATTCATATAGATGTGTTCCGCCTGGTCAGTCCTACACAGGCGGGAAAATTGGCATGGCTGACTGATGCCAAGAAGGATTTTGTCAAAATGCACCCGGCTATTGTTGGGGGGGCGGATGTTCCTGGGGGTGGGGTTACTTCCACACCTGGGGCAAACCAACCTCTTGACAATCAGCCCAGACAGGTGCGAACGGGCGCTGAGGGAGTTGAAGGATTGGCCCGCGCTCTTGGTGGAGCGCCCGGAGGAAACAAGCGCCCTGCCAGTGAGGAATCTGAACCTCCTCCTAAGGAGGGCCGAAAGAAGAAGAAGGAGAGGCATCGAGGACGCTCTCGAAAAAGATCTGACAGTGACCCGGAAAAGCCCGACAAGAAGAAGAAGAAGCCCCATCGACATGGCAAGGACCAGGATGAGAGTGAAGGAGGTCCACTGCGAGAGGAGCTCAACAAGAAGACGCCCCCAGTTCCTCGTTTATCAGCTTTGGAGTTGGAAGGAGGACACAAGAAGAAGAAGAAGAAACGAAAAAGCCGTGGCTCCACCAGTGAGGGCCGAGATCGTTGTAGCCCCTCGTCTTCATCGAGCACTGGGGAGCTTTTTCATTCTGCCGCCCTCCCGCGGGGCATGGAACGCCTCAGGCGCATGCATCAGAAGAACCCGGGCCGCCTGGCCTCTTTGAGCCTGCTGAGAATGCAGGAACTCGTGCATCGCGCCCAAGGGAGGGGAACGGCAGTGGAGATGACAGACCAATTACCAGCGGTGGCCATGGGTTATGTAGCAGGAGTGTTTCTGGTGCAGAACCCTCCAAGCCAGGTGGGGATTCGCAACTTGCGGGAGCTCAAGACGGTTGCGACCGTCATAGACATGCTGTGTCAGAACGACCCTCTTCGGGCCTTGGACGTGATGGTCCAAAGATTCAAAGCGCTGGAGCTGGCGCACAAGCAGCAGAGTTGGTCGCAGGCATCGCAACTCGAACTGGTGTTGGAGGACGACCAGTCAGCGGTCTTCAGACCGGAACTCAAAGCAGCACAGTCCGAGGTGAAGGAGGACTGGAAGATTCAGAAAGGTCCCTTCCGCCCGCCGAGGCAGTCAGCGTGGGGGACAAATTGGGCACCCACGAACGAGGGGATCGAAGGAAAAGGCGACGGAGACACCAAGGACTCGCCACCAACCAACCAACCGAAAGGAGGAGGCAAGAAAGGGAAAGGCAAAGGCAAGAAAGGCCGTGTTGGTCGAAGGTGACCCTTGTTGAAGGCCAGCTGGAGCTGCCGGCCTTGGAGCGAGCTCTCAGGGACTCACCGGTGGACGACCAGTTTACAGAAAACCTGCGGTACTTGCTCCGGGACAGCAGGCTACACAAGCTATATGGAAGTATCCTTGAATCCTATGAGAGCCTTGAGGATAAACGACGAGTCTATGAGGACTTCACATCCTTGATGGTTGAGTGGAGTAACCACACGCCCGACATGATCCTGAAGCTGCTTGAGAATTTCTACAGACCACTGGCCAGGGAAGGAGGAGTTTATGGAGACGCAGGTTTTGGCCGAGTGATGGGTGATGTTGCTGAGTGGCCCCAAGGTGGCACTGGAAGACATCAGCGTGCCAGAGAGGGCAAGCTGCTGGGCGTTGTTGGCACCAGTCAAGTGCGTGAGGTTTTCTCCGGTTGGGAAGCTGCTGATGGGGGAGTCTATGTTGGCGATGGTAGTGAGCACTTTCCTACCTCAATTTTCAGGGAAAACTATGCGGACAACATCGCAGTGGAGGATGCGGCCGCAGTCTTGGATGGAAGACCGCTGTATGTTGACCCGGAGGGATTTTCCACCGCAGCAGAGGTTGTTGAGAAGTTCTCGGTCACCGGAAAGAAGGATGTCTGGACTTGGGAATATTGCCAGGAGTTCATGGCAAGCCAGCTTCGTGGTGAAGTCTCTGTCTCCCTTGTCGGGGTGGTGCTAAAAATGGTTTTGAAGCGCTGCCCTGGGCATCTGGGAAATATCTGCCGTATGATCCCAGCCTGCGCTAGGAGGCAATTTAGACAGAGCCCCATTGAGCTGCTGCCAATTGCAGTTCCTCCTGACACCCAGGTTGAAATTCGGTTGCAACGCTTGCTGCTGGATGGTGAGCAAATCCGTCACCTGTCGGATGCAGAGAGGGCATCGGCATTTGAGCTTGCCAAGGAATGTGGCACTGATGCATGGCTGGGGTTAATCCTGGCTGTGCTCAACGCCCTGTTCTGTGGCGGCTCCCGGCCTCTAGGCAAAGTGATGCCCCATCCACGCATTCATACTCCAGAACAGCAGAAGGTCATCGACCAATTCCGTGGGCTCATCCACCTTTGGATTGAAGAGGATCAGCACCGATTAAGGGTGACAAACTGGGAAGTTCAGTCACAGGAGCTTGGTGACTTTTATACAGGTTTTGAGGTCACCAAAGCGTACAAGCTCAGTTGGGCAGCCATTGCTCCGCATGTTCCTGGACCTGGCGAAGCAGGACGGGTCCCACTTGAGGAAACGGTCGCAGCTGAGCTGAGAGAATTTGTGGCAGATCCCGATTTGCTGAGGATCCCAGACGACGAGCTGGGAGAGGTAAGGTACTCTGCCCCTGTATTGGTGGAATCAAGCTCGGAGTACGACCTCATTGTAAAACACTTGGTGGAAGCTGGAATGCTTGAGCGTGAAGTTCCAGCTGAGACAGTGAAGGTCAACGGAGCACCAATCTACAATGGCTTGTTTGGAGTCCACAAAGGCTGGATTGATGAAGGAGGTGGCAAGTGGCGCCGTTCATTGCGCCTCATCGTCAACCTGATCCCGACCAACTTACTGCAACGGCGCATGCCCGAGCAAGCTTCAAAGTCAATGGGTTACGCTCCGATGTGGGGCTCAATGGCGCTGCTGGAGGACGAGGTCATTTTGGCGCATGGTGAGGATATCAAACACTGCTTCCACATCTTTTCACCTGGCCCTCGTTGGAGGGGATACTTTGTCATCTCCAAGGAAGCTAGTGGAAGCAGCTTCAACGACGGTGTCAAGGGGAAGGCACGACCTCGTGTCCGCTCAGCACCAATGGGTTGGGCCAACATAGTCGATTTCGTCCAGTCCTCCCTCGAGAAAATGGGCAGCTTGGCCGGAATCCCAGCGACGAAGTGCGTGAAGATGGGGGAGCCCAGTCCACTTTTGGAACTCAGCACGCCCCGGCAGTATCATAGTTTCTATGTTGATAACTATGATGGTTTCCTTGTCGTAGCCCGAACCGATCTGGGAGAATATCAGGGCCGACCTTCAGACAGCCAGCTAGAACTCAGACGAACTTTTCAAGCATGGAACATAGGGCGAGATGAGAAGAAAGCCGCAGAGGGGACCCTGCAGTGGGTGAGCTTGGGCGCCGAACAGCTGGGAACTGAGGGATTGGTTGGAAGTTCAAGGAAGTTCCGAAGGTCAGTGATGTCGTCGTCCCTCAACCTCCTCATGAAGGCTGGCATGAAGACATGTGACCTGGAGTTGCTGTCAATTGTGGGCAAACACATGCATGCCGTACAGTACTGCCGGCCATTGGCGTGCTGCTTTGATGAACTGTATCGCAACCTCAGCCTGGACGATCCAGAGGTGCTTGTGGACATCAGTGCTTATGAGGAGCTCTTGATGGTGACGGCCTTGCTCCCGATCCTCTGGACAAGCCAACGCTCAGCTTTGAGCCCCACAGTGTATGCTACTGATGCATCACCGGAGGGTGGGGGAGCATGTCAGACCACGAACCTTTCAGCAAGGGGCCGCTCGAAGCTCCATCTTGCTTGCTCTGAAGCCGATGACATGGAGGGCGGCGCTTGTGACTCAGTGGTTGTCATTGAAGTCTTTGGTGGTATGGGTGGCCTACGAAAGGCCCTTGAACTTCTTGGCATTTTGCCGCAGGGCATCATTCTCATCGACTCTGACCCTGTCTGCCTGAAACTTGCGAAGCGGCACTGCGCTTTTGTGCTGACGGTGGACAACGTTCACAAGGTGGACAAGGCGATGATCAGATCTTGGCGACTTCAGTTTCCTCGAGCCAAGAAGGTCGTTGTGGGAGGAGGATGGCCATGCATCAATCATTCATCATTGAACTCCAATCGGAGAGGGGCAGACGCAGAGTCGTCACGACTACTGGATGTGATGCTGGCGCTGGTAGAGGAGTTGAAACAGGTCAGCCGACCTCTGCGATTGCCAGACTGGGACGTCGTCGAGTTCTATGAGAACGTGGTGATGGATGAGCAAGATCTTACTGTTCAGTCAGGGAAGATTGGTTGTCTTCCACTCATGTGTGAAGCTGCCGACGCCCTCAGATGCCGACGACCGCGGCTATATTGGATCAAGAACTTGCCAGTTCTTGAGGGACAAGATTTGCAGCTTCTTCCTGATCAGCAAGTAGGTGATCTACAGACCAAGTTGGTAGTGGCCAAGATCTCTACCGAAAGACCACCATTGGAATGGTTTCTTCGAAAGAACTGCAGCAAGCTGCATGATGATGGGAGGCCATTCTTCACCTTTGCAAGGCCTCATCCTCGGGCAGAACCACCCCGAGATCCAGCAGGATATGACCGCTGTGATGCCAAGACCCTGGGGCGCTGGCGGGGCGATTCATTTCGACTGGCACCTTACCAGTATTCAGAAGACAACCTGGTGCGCACAGCTCAAGGCCCACGGCGCCTGCTTTCAGATGAACAGTTGAGGATGTTGGGTTACAACTCTGATGCCTTGGACGTCAAGCAGAAACTGTCAGAAGACCAGAGAGGGCAGCTGATTGGCAATACCTTCCCCGTGCTGGTGGTAGCACGGCTGCTTGTGGCCTTGTGCGTGTCATCAGAGCATGTTCAGGGCCTGGATCTGACAACTGAGCTTTGGAAGGTTTGGAAAGGAAATGAGGATCGTGTTCAGCAACTCAAAGAGTCTTCCTGGACGGTCCGTTTTGGTCCGGGGGCCGCGGGGTCAGCAGGTGGTCTCCGGCACTCCCTCCGGGTGTCTGGAAGCCATTTGCATTCCCCTAGGTCCCTGTTAGACCCCAATGCTGCTTTGAGTGATGAGCAGCTTCTCACATATCTCATCACTCGAAATGTTTCACACAGAGGTACCGATGTCAAACTGGACCATGGAATTCCGTTCTCTGCCAGCGACTTCTGCCGACGATCTGTGGATCCCACGTTGTGGGAATGGAAAGTCGTGCTGTCTTACAAATGGAAACAGCCCAATGCCCACATCACTCATCTGGAAACAGTTGCAGTGTTGGATCTGATGCGGAAGCTGAGCAGAACGTCGACCAACTTCAACAAGAAGTCGCTGTTTCTGGTCGACAACGCTTCCGTTGTGGGTATTCTGACAAAGGGACGCACCAGTGCAAACAGCCTACGACAACCTCTCCGACGCCTAGCTGCCATTTTGGTGGCCACCTCCGCACGCCTCATAGTGGCCTGGGTCAAATCGGAATGGAATCCAGCAGATGGCCCATCGAGATGGGTCACTAGACGGGCTTTGCGCGATGCCTAGACAGCGGCAAGTGTTGGCAAAAAGGACCCGGGCACAGAGGCGACAGGAGCGACAGGCGTTGGGAAGGTTAAAATCACAAGTAGTTTCACCAAAAACGGAAGAACGGTACCTCACAAGTGTTTCACGATTCCTGGAATTTCTTATTGCGCATGGTAAACCTTATCCCCAGTCTTTTCTGATTTTAGATCGTGAAGTTTCACTGTTTATAGAAGAATTATGGGAACAGGGAGACCCAAAAGGATGGGCTGGTGACTGCCTTAGTGGCTTAGGACATTTCATTCCATCCTGTAAGCCATACTTAGTTGGTGCCTGGCGACTTCATGCGGCATGGGGACGAGCTGAACTTCCTTGTCGTGCTCCGCCCTTTACCCCCCTGTTACTGTATGCTGTTGCGCAAGCGGCTGCTGACTATGGCTGGATCGATTTGGCTGTCCTTCTCATTCTGGGCTTTCACACATTTGCGCGTGCAGGGGAGCTCTTCCAGGCAAAGGCTGGGGATTTTGTGTTGGGAGAAAAATCGGGAACTTGGACTCTTCCCCTGTCTAAAAGTGGTCAACGTCAAGGGGTCACGGAGAGCATTCTCTTGACTGATCCTTTTGTTTTGGTTCTCCTTCGAAATTTCATGTCTAAACTGGCCCCGGGGGATCCTCTTTCCACTGTTTCTGGTGGCACTCAACGAAAACGCCTAAATGATGTGCTTATTTCCCTCAAGATTTCTTTCCCCTTCCGGTGGTACAGTGTTCGCAGGGGTGGAGCAACACAGGCATATAGAACCACTAATAACATTTCTGCTATTTGTGTCAAAGGACGATGGAATAGTGTGAAAACTGCTCGTATTTATATCTCGGATGCAGTTGCTCAATTAACTGAACTCAAACTATCAGATGCGCAGTTGCGCCATTTTCGCCATTTGGCACACAAATGCCGACCTTCTTTTGAAACGGCAGTTGTTTGATCTCCCTCCTCTCCCTTACCCTTGGCTTCTTTCCACCTGATCCTTCCTGCTTGAGCCAAGCTACGAAAACACTCGCGCATTTGCGCAAAAACGGGAAGGATGGTACACAGGGTGTGTCTGTTTCTTGGCATTGGCCAAAAAGGGAGTGCAGACACAGGTGGTTCTGGGTAGGTGAATGCGCGCTGGGTGCTGAGGGAACCTGGGGGGCTCCAGACATCTGGTGGCTCTAGATGTTCTTGGTGTGTCCTGTTGGTTGTTCCCTTGGTGTTCACCTTTCGTCTCTGAGATGTCTCATCTCTTAGATCAATTACGCCTCTAGCGCAGCTCAGTCACTAAAAAGGAAGTCATGAGAATGTTGAACACTAGCAAACGGTCCCCAGTAAGATAGTGTGATACATTTGTTGTGACTGAAGCTTCTTTGCTTACCCACCACCAACCCCTGTGCGCCACCACATGGGGGCCCTGTGTACTTGTCTGTGTCTGTTTCATGGCATTGGCCAAAAAGGGAGTGCAGACACAGGTGGTTCTGGGTAGGTGAATGCGCGCTGGGTGCTGAGGGAACCTGGGGGGCTCCAGACATCTGGTGGCTCTAGATGTTCTTGGTGTGTCCTGTTGGTTGTTCCCTTGGTGTTCACCTTTCGTCTCTGAGATGTCTCATCTCTTAGATCAATTACGCCTCTAGCGCAGCTCAGTCACTAAAAAGGAAGTCATGAGAATGTTGAACACTAATTTTAGGCTAATGGGTCACCTAAATTTTAGACTAAGGGATTGCCTAAAAATTAGGCAAGGAGGGGTGTTCCACCCTATAGAGGATTTTTGAACCAACTACAACACTGCTGTAGTGCTACTACAGCACTACTGTAGTAGAACTACGGCACTACCGTAGTAGTGTTTTTTCAAGCAAAGCCCCACCTACATAAGGGTCTAGCACTGGTGATTTCATCAAAATATTAGTCAATTATTTTATGATAAAATCAGTCATCAATTTTCATCATAAAATTTTTGTGGTGGATTTCAACAAGGTCTTCATTTTCACCCTGTTCAATTCTTTAAAAAAATGTTTGTCTATTGACTTCTCCAATACTGCCATCCTTGTATCAAACATAGGGATTTTTTGTACCACATTTATCCATATATTTATCAGGATTAGATCTTATAAAGATATACTTACCTGAAAAATCCAGAAAAACAAATCATTGTATCGGTTTGCCTCATTTTCTTTGATATAGTATTTATGTTGGTTCTCATCCATTTCTATACATAGCATAGTATTACTAATCAATTTTCTCAAATCTATTCTCCTTTTTGTTTCACAGCATCCACCTTCTAAATCTACATAAAATGGTTTGTCATTTTTGAAGCCTTCATATTTTGAACATAGATGTGTCATTACTTGTATTTCTTTTGATTTTCTCTTCACTGTCAGTGCTTTGGGGTCTTCTGGGAATAGATTTACAAAACAATGACTACAATGACCATTCAGTTTTCTGTTCCCTCTGGTTCGGCAACCTATGGTATGTATGGATTTACAGACTTCTTTTCCCTTACAGTCTGGGCATCTGTCTTTCCTCACCTGATGCTCACATATTTCACCACCACCGCGTTCTTCACATCGGCTTCTTCTTTTATTGTGCTTACAGAGTGAGCGCCCTTTACACTCTATGCATCTACATTTTCTTTTATAATGTTCGCATATTGAAGCACCACCACATTTTACACATTGACATTTCCTACTACCGTGCTCACGTATTGAAACCATAATACTTACTTACTATTTAACATTCGTCTGTCTTTAAATATCCTTCACCTAAAACATACAACATTTACCCCTATCATTTTCACAACCATAAATCCTGTGAAAATCCATTTTCACAACCATAAATCCTGTGAAAATCCATTTTCACAACAGCCTGTGAAAACCTATTTTCACTACTATTTTTGAATGGTGAAAATCCATTTTCACAGCCATAAATCCTGTGAAAATCCATTTTCACAGCCATAAATAAATCCCGTGAAAATCCATCATAAATCCTGTGAAAATCAATTTTCACAGCCATAAATCCTGTGAAAATCCATTATTAAAGTGGCAACTATCTGAAACATACAACATTTACAGCAGTCATAATTTCTTCAACCAATGCTTGAGGTATTCTATACAAATCCTTTTGTTTAAACAAGGTGTAGTTTTCAGGCCATCTATCCTTGCTGTTGCTGGGTGCCCTTTGTGCTGTTTCTTTATGACGGTTTCCATCCATACTTCCACAATCTTTTTTACAAAGAGGTCTGGGTGTCCAAGTGTCCAAGTTAGTCCAGAGCCTCGTTCTTTTTCTATATGGCATACTGTATTTACAGTAGTCAATGTCAAAGTATGGCAAACCCTCCATAAATGGTTGCTTCTTCAATAAGCCCGTCTGGGGATTTTCTATGAACCAAACCCTAGGCTTGAAGTATTTGATTATCTCAAGAGTTTTCATTACTATTTCATTTGCTTGTTCAATCTTCCTTACCCCAGTTTGTTTAGCAATGCTATACTCAATACAAGGGGGTGAAGACCATATTACATCAAAGTATTTCACTGGATATTTTTTGTATTTCCATTGTAATATATCACAATTAATATCAGCCCCTTTCAAATCCAATGAGACAACAGTCCAGCCCATATCTTTCGCAACAGTTCCCACACTGCCTGTCCCTGAAAACAATTCTAACAATTTCATAATATTTTTATAGATAATAATATTATCAAAATTTCATCTATTCACCCATCACTTTGAAGACTTCACCATCCCTTTCAATTCTATAAAACTCAAGTGTCTGAGACTTTGGGATTTTTATCTTGCCTTCATTCAGCATTTTCAGATACTGCTGTTGCTTGGTTTCAAAGGTGCCTACTGGTCTCCCGATTTTTTTAGCCTCAAAGATTTTATCAATTCTTTCCTTTTCAGCATCAGCATCATTATTTTCAGCAGGTTTATTTTTCACTAATATATCAAGTTTTTCTAATGCCTTGTTCATTAAGTCCATCAACACCTTCACATTCTTGTTGTATCTTGTCATCTTGTTCAGCATCTCTGCCATTTCAGGCTGTTTATCATCTAAATCAGACATTTCTATATATAACTATTTATATATTTATTTATTTATCAGTTCAAAGTGTGTTAAAATAACTCTTTAAATAGTTTCAATCCATATCATTTATTGCCAGTTGTCCTTTACTTCTGGGGGTAGTAGTCATTACATCCCGTATCATATTGTTAGTGCTTTCCTTATTTTTGTCCTCTGGTGTAATCTGGCGGTTAAAACTGAAACTGATGCTATGGTCTTCACTTTCTAAAACAATTTCACCATCATCATCTTTTTTGACATTCATTGTTTTATCATTCTTGCTGATTTTGAAACTACAGGGGGAACATTTACATTTGATGCCCTTGGGGTTGATTTCAATTTCATTTCTCATCTGTAGTTTGCCATTACACAAGGGACATTCAAATACAATGTCTTTAGATGTCAGTTTTTGTTCCTCATTCAGATTGACAACAGCGGGTTCTTCATCTGATAGTTCAAAATCTTCAGGTATTGGCTTTTTTGGTATTTTGCTTTTACTGCTTTTCTTTGGTGGCATTTATATAATACTTAAGATAATTTATAATTACCTTCAGAAACTCCAGCATTACCCTGAATATCTGCTTTATTTTAGTATCTTTTACAATTGGAAATTTATTATTATCATCAGTACTATCTTCAATCACATCTATTGTAATATATGTATTATAATCACTCATCCTATGTAATTAGATGATAAAATTATTACTATCTAATTATATATGGATTTTTAGGCGCAAACAAAAATCCATAAGGGGCGGTAGGTAAATGTCAAAGAAAATGAACTGTGCTGATTGAAACATAGCATCAAACAAATTCTTGAACAAAAAGGCTTCAAATCTTCTACTGCTTGTTGTCATAGCAAAAAGAGACCGTGTCGGGGAAACAGAGCAAAAGCCCAAGGGTGGATTTTTTATTTTTAATTAACATTCTTATGATGGGC